GATTGTCACATGGCTTGTTACAGTGAAATTAAAGTAATTAAAACTGCCTTAAAATCCAAGGCTATTTTTCTACTTTGTGTGACAAATCTTCAGTTGTTTGCTACACTCAGTTTGGTGGTTAATAAAGACAAATAGCTCATATGGAGAAATCTGTCATTATTAACAAGACTCATCTACTCATCCCTGTTATTAAAAATAGTGACTTGGTTTAAAAAATAAATAGCAATCCATTGTAAAATATCAGCAAAATATGTAACCATTATAAAGAAATAATGATCAACTAATAATCAAAATAAAGTGACACTTTGAGGAAGCCTATTCTTCATCTGCATGTTTTTGTATTTCTAAGGCACATATTTCAAGTGGTGTCATATACCAGGGCCTAGAATAAAAATATTCTCTGTTACTCTTGTCAGAATTTATGCACAGAAGCTTTTTATGCAGGCAAAAAATAAAAGTTAAATAATAGTCATAGCTGTAATGTTGGTGTACTTGTACAGCAAATTAAAGGACAACTTTAAAAAAAACCAATATACTTTTGATTTTTTGAGATAGATGTAGGTATCCTGTACTAGCATTAAGAGATTTTGGCCCAAATCTACTTAATGAATTTAGTATTTCATGAAAAGTAAGCTCTCAAAATATTGAGTTTTTCAATATAGTCATCAAACATTTTCACTGAACAGCTGTGGCCTTTTATAAGCCGTGTAAGCCATTTGCTTTTCTAAGATTTAGAACTGTTTTTGTAATTGAAAAGAACTTAATAAACATTATTTTGCAGAGTAGTAATAAATCAGTGTTGATGCAATTAATTAAGCTTTGCCACTAAGATGAATGCTAATGCAAAACCTTAGGAAAGCCTGGAAATTATAAAGAAGTTATGTTTAAAATTAACTTCGTGAAAACCTGTAATAAGATAAATGCTATTAAACTATCTTTTCCCCACTTAGATATTTTTTTTTTTTTAAATGCAACAATCAGTAGGGACTGTGTCAGGATTCTCCCAGAAGCCTGCAGCAAAATCTTACTTCAGTGGAGTTGGATAGGGTGGCTCCATGATTGTCCTTCATTTTACAGTTAAACTTCAAACTTGAGCTGCCGTGGCTTTGTCAGAATGCGAACATCTATTAAAACCCAGGAACCATTTCCTGAAGGACCACCCAGCCCTTTTACCTCCAGGAAGGTGACATTGGAAGAATGTGATGTGTTTTGTGCAATGTGAACGAGCCCCTGCAGGCCTTGCACCAGAGAGAAGGTTTCAATGAGCCTGCAGTCTGGCAGGACTGTTCTGCTCCACATTTCCTCTGTCTGCAACCTACAAATAGCCACACATACAGTTTATGGTTCTGTCTTGGCTTTCTCATGTTTCTTCAACCCTGCATGCTTGTCTCAAGCTCTATCCTCAAATTTTGTGTAACTCTGTCTGCACAGGTGTCTTGTGAGCTGCTTTGGAAAGCTGATACAACTCAAATCTTATTTAAACACCAAAATTAATTAATCTGTTTATTATTGACCAAAAGAGCTTTAACACCCACAGAGTTCCCTCCCATCTACCTGCTCTGAAACTAAGGCTAGCATAATTTCTATTCCCCTAAAAGGAAGGCTGGGAAGGCATGCTCCTGAAGCTCCCACACTGCCATTGAAAAATGCAAGGAGCTGTGCATGATGGAGCAGAGGCCTTGTGCTGCAGTCCCACCATGCCTTGTCATTTGTCCCATTTGTAAATGCTTCCAAGGGCCCTTCGTTCCTACATTTCCACTGCTCTGTTCCCCTACACCTGTGCTTGAAAAGTATTTGTACACTACAAAGGCTTAGCCATAAATCTATGCAGATATTTTAGGGATTAACATAAAAGTATCTCTACACTTAGATTGTAACTGAATGTGATTCTATAAAATGGTAAGTCTCTGCCATGTTATTTAATTTAGACTTTTATAATTTAATTGCCTTTTTTACCAGGTAATTTGTTAAGACCAAATATAGCCCCAATACACAATTAGAATTTGAAGCACAGCTTTTAATATTAGGTATAAGGCACTTACTGTGTGCTTTCATTAATAGAATCTGAGAGTACAGATAGACAGGTAGCTAATATTTCCATTTTTAGCTAGCCAAATCTGTATACTAAAAATAAAAAGTAAAACATAATTCATTTGCATTATTTATTTCCATGTTGCAGACAGAACTCTTCCCAAGTACATGCACTTGTATATTGGTGAAATTTTAGGGCGCAATGAGTCCTGAGATTTGGTGTTTGAACACAGTTACAAGCCACACAATGTACTGAGAGGCAGAGGCATTTACAGCAATCCACTCTGGGATTACAAATGGTCACTGTGTGGATCACAGTGCTTCAGCAGTGACAAAATTCTGTTTCAGAAGTGGCTTCTTTTCCCCTTCTTTCACAATCAGTTTTTCCTGACTCTAATTTTTTTCTCTTGTACTTCTTCCCTGCTAATAAACTCAGCTTACAGCAACTATAATTAATTTTTAATAATTATTTTGTTATTATTAATTTTTTCTGTATAATTCTTCCCATCTCTTTTTCTTCCGTCTTGCTTCTTACAAGAATTTAAAGGACAAAGCCAATCTCCATAAACTACAGAGAGTCACCATTGTGTAAAAACTTACTGCCAAATAAACATGTAGATGCAACTCAGAAACATTGTGGCAATGGAAAACATTGACTTGAACTAATTTTTTCAAGTTCTGTCTCATGAAAATCTTTTTCAGATGTTACCTTGAGATGCTGCTGCTGCTGCTTTAATCATGTATGGGTACATGTACAAAGGAAAAATCCCGAAGGAGTGTGTTCTAGGGGACAAAATATGAACGAGTTGTCACATGTGACCATAGCGACATAACCATCATGGAGGACAAAGCATGAAGGCCAGAACATTAGCAGAAAAACACACTCCCAACTATTCTTTGGAATATATATTTTGTTAAATCCACAACATCTAATTAAAAAATTGTTGAGGGGTAGATTTCAACACATTAATGCAAGAGAAAAAAAATTGATTTTATTGAGGAAAGGTTATGGTGGACATGGTTTGTGCATAACAGTGTGTACTAAATTTTGTCTAAACTTTCTTTAAATGCCAAGTAGAATGTGAAAGCTGCTTATAGAATAAGAAAACTTAAAAAAATTTATCTCCATTAACAGGTCGCCAGAGTTTAGGAAAGGTATATACAGAGCTGAAGGACAATGGACAGTAGCAAGTAAGATGCATTGACTAGATCTTGGCAGCCATATACTGAACATTTAAGAGCTGTCATTTTTGCTTATTTGTAAAAGTAATTCTACATATAGACCAGTTAGGTGGTCCTATATCTAGTGGAATCAAGGGTAAATGATTCCCTAAGATCAGAGAACTGAGAGTCTTGCTTCAAGGAGATAGTCTAAAAAAATATCTTATATGTGCAGTTTCTAGTTTTTAGAGTAGTTTTTGTGTGGGGGAGCTTGAAAAGCTGCTGCTGTACTGGTGTACTCACTCTTTGGAGAAAACCAGTACTGAATGGTGTCATGACTTATCACTAGAAATGCTGAATAAAAGGAATGCATTTATGTTTTGGGGAGTGTTCTTTTGATTAAGGTGGAATGTGCCACACACACTTAATTTATTGGGGTTAACACAGAGAGGGCTCCTGCCGGTGTTTTGAAAATCACTTTGTTAATAAAATCTCCCTGTGTACCTAATGATTACAAATTGCTCTGGAAAAAAAAAAAAAACCACAAAAAAAACCCCAACAAAACAAACAAACCAAAAACTGAGCATGTCTACTTTGCAAAACAGCTGAATAGGCAGTAGCTTACTTTTGTCATTGGTAGCTAAAATACCATTCAGTTGATTAGACCCATGTGCTCTGCTACTCTGACAGGGGGATTGACACAATATTTTGAGATCAGGGTTTCATTGCAGCAGTTTTTGTTTTACTATGCATGTCTTTGAGTCTGGATAACATAAAAGCTCCAAAATTGTATTTTTTGGTAAGAGTAAGACTGTCTTGTTTACTACAATTTCTAAATAAAGCTTTAATTGAAAATTTTATTCCTTATTTTATGATTCACAGTTCAGTGGGATACAGGTTTTAGTAAAAATTAGGAACAGGCCACTGAAAAATGAGATAGTATCTCAAGACAGAAGTATGATGTGATGATAGCACCTAAGAAAAGACAAAATATATAATATGATTGTTGCTCTTTTTAATGGTACACATATACCATGGCATTGATTTTTAAATTTACTTTATAATCAGTAAACAATTTTATCAGCTTATTAAACTGATTTAATTTCAAATAACCCAGTGGAAAATAATTTTTTTAAATTAAAAATATTATTTGGAGAAAGATTAGGGCACTGGGAAGTATATTGAGGTAAGTTCAACAATGAAATTGTTGCTTCAGATCAGGCCAAAGATGACTGTCACCCAGTACATTTTTTGTGGCCCAAAATGTTCAGCAGCCTTTGGGAAATAGTTCAGTGGTCTTACTGCTATGAATTCTTGGTTTATGTTTTATTGATAGTTGCTTATACTGGTGACTTTGTGTGGGACCTCTGTAAGGTCATAAGACATACCAATGGTTCTGCAGCTGTGCTTAGTACTTCAGCAGAAAAGTGTTTTCAGGCTTATTTTGTACACTGACCACAGAACATCTGGATAGAAAGGTGTACTGCAGAAAACAACCAGAGTCTGAAGGAAAATAAGTGAGGGGTAGCACTGATTGCAATGAATTTTGATCTGGTAATTGCATAGAAACGAAAAATAATTTTTTATACTGAGGTATTTTTAAATGACAAGTGAACAACAGGCACATCCACAGTTCACTGACATTAAAGGATCTCAGGAAACTTGATATGAACCTTGGGAAGAGGCAGGGCCAGAGCAAAGACACACATCTCAGCTGCACCATTGGCTGCCTCTGTATCCATGTAAAGTATAAAAGTGTGTATTAGTTTTTTGCTTCTTAGGATATTCTGACATGATTTTGCTTTAAAGCTGTGGTGATACAAGCACTTAAGAGAGTGCACTTAAGGGAGTATAACATTTCTTTCTCTATGGATCAACCAATTCTTCTTCTGCTCTTATTAAAATATTTATTTAAGGTAAGGAAAATACTGTGGTTTTTGGGGGTGGATAACTAGTAAAAGTTGAAGGTTTGTGATTTGGGCTGGGTTTTTTTTCCCCAGTGTTCTAGCTCTCTGTTCACAGGGAGCTCTCATTTAGTGCTACTGAACTTTCCCAGTCTTCTTTCTACTTAAGTAGTTGGAAGCTCTTTTGAGATCTTTAGTCTGCTTTTTTACCTGCTTCTTTGGGTTTAATGTTCCCCAGAAGAAGTGAGAGATGCCAGCATCTTTAAGTCATCTCTTAGACAGGTATGGTATGAATTAAAAGCTTTAATGAGTACATTATCATACCTCTGACAGTGGTAAAAAGCAGACCCTTGGGGAGGACTGCAAGAATAGCATTAGAAAATTACCTATACTGTGCCAGTTTTCCAGCATTTGCAGCTTAAGAACTTCCTGAGATGGATGTATTTGTAGTGCCATTTTTGAGCTTCATTGTAGTTTCTTCTATGAACTTCTACAAACATCAATGGGCCTCCTCTGACAACCCTAGAAACTTTTAGTACTCATTTTAGTACTCTTGTCAGATAAACTACTTATTTTGTGAATAACTGTCTTTTTTTCCCCTCTTCTTTAAATCTGGAGCATACCAGCTGTGTTTCATCTATCACAGTGCTTGTACTTGAAGAGAAAATGAAAATCAATCTCTGCACACTTTTGGCTGCTTAATATTTTATTGATCTCTGCTGTATTTCCCCTCAAGTGCCTCTTTTTCAGAGTGAGAAGCCTCCTTGAGTCTTATGTTGAGACACAGTTGATAGCAAAAGTCAATAAGTTGTTGTTTGTCATTTAGGTCTCCTGGCTCCAGTGTAGCTAGCCTGAAGATAGATTTGAAAAATAGGTCTTTTTGGTCAATTTAATACTTTTGGTTTTATTTTTAAAATGGTTTCATTCTTTAGATAAGGGCCTAATATGTGATGGCAAAGTGCTGGCAACAAAAAGGAACATTCTAAATCCCTCTCATTCGGTCTAAGTATGGAACAATTTTTGTGTACACTTGAAAATGCATTTCTTGTTTTTTAAGTCTAAGTAGGATGTATTTATGTATAGTAAAATGGCTCACAATTGCTGGTGGTTGAAAATTATTTAAAATGGTTAATCCAATTATTGCCAAATATATATTTTTAATCTTTAAAATCAGATTTTCCTACACTTTGAATTGTCTGGGCTAGACAGATTTTGTTTTCAGACAATGCAAGCCAGATATACACCTAATACACTGAATTAAAAATTTTAAATTTTCCTGGAAATATATTCCTCAAACATTTTTGTGCATGCCATCAATATTATAAGGCCATTGTGTCAGTTCATTACAGAGGAGGTATATACCCTCTTGCAAAGGATTTACAGAGTTTAAAGTCTTTATAAGCTTTACAAAGTTTATACTTCACAATGTATAATCTAAACTCTGAACACTGAGATACTGAGAGATTTATAGTTATGATAGTTATTAATTAGTTAAAGGAAGTTATGTTAAACAAAATTGAATTCCAGAGCAAGTTATACTTAAAAAAATAAAAAAAACTAAGTTTTTTTTTGCTTGTTATGGTTTTGTTTTGTCGGGGTTTTTATTGTTTGGTTTTTTGGGTTGTTTTGTTTTGGTTTTTTTTGTGCATAGTAGATTGCTTTACAGGACAACACAAAGTAATATAATAATAAAACTCCTAACTTTTATTTTAGTGACCTAAGGGTTTGTATTTGATTTTAATTTTGGTTTACTTTTTAAAGTAGATTTTAAGTTTATTGCCAAGATGGCATTTATTTGTCATCTCAATTCATTAAGAAAGCAAAAATGGACCACAAAAGACAGAAATGCAGCATTTTATAAATGTTTTCTGATAGGGATGGGCATTACATACACCAATTTGTTTGAATTTTACATGTGATTCAGGTTTATCTTAAATTAGATCAAAGCAGCCTAGAAATTAAATTCAAAATAAAATTCAGAGAAGGAAGCTGCTTCTGTGAAGTGTTAAGCTAAAGTCCCATGAAGTCAGGTAAATTTGTCAAAAAGGTAGTGTGAAAAATGCAGAAGACTTGTGTCTAGAGTGAGTTCCTTTCTGCAAGAAGTTGAAGTGCTGAATGACATTTGAATTGCCATGGCTAAATTAGATTGCTAGGGAGGTGTTTAACAAATTCTTTCTTTACCTCTTGAAAATGATTGTTTATTATTCTGAAATAGTTGAAAATTTTGAAAGTGATGCCACTAAAGCTTTTAACATTACATGTAAGATCTCCAGCTTATGACTGCCTATAACTGTGGTTGCAGTTTGAGTAATGTAAGACTGAGACTGAGATCTCCAGCTTCTGACTGCCTATAACTGTGGTTGCAGTTTGAACACTGCAAGTGAAATCTCTGACATTGTTTCTAATATAAAATGATGACAGGTTTCTGCCATATTTGGGTCAGCTGACATGATCTTTCTACCTCTGGAGAGAGAAAGAAAACTAGAACCTGTACCTGCAGAACTTGTAAAATAAAGAGGCGTCTGCGTCACTCAGTAGAGCTGGTGATACTGATGCATGTTAAAAACTATTGCTAGCTGACATGTTCTAGGTAAAATTAATTAAAATTGACAGAGTTTACTTATTTAATTAGCGGTATGTTTGCTGCATTTTCTACTAAGTTGCATTCATTTATCTTTGTGTTACAGGGTGCACAGTGTGTAGATTGTGACCAAGCGAAAAAGCCTCCTAGAATAGTTTTGATGGAGTGGACTGAACTGCCCAAAGGAGAGGATCCAGACTATTATATTCTGACATACCAGCAAGCAGATGCTTTCAGTCAAAAAGTATATTTTGTCAATCTAAGCAATAAGTTGTTCCATGTTATTTAAGATGTAGGTAGCAGTTATTAATAGCACCGTGGGGTTTGGTTTTTTTTGGTTGGATTTTCTAGTAAAAAAAAGTAAGATGGCAAATAAAGAGGAAGTTTAGAAAAAATGTATTGGATTTTTTAATTCATGTCATTTATATGTACTCTTACAGAGTCCTACTGGAGCCAGTGGGACTTAAAAGACCCTTGAGTATGCTGTTGAATCAGGATGGATAGTTATAGGCTCAAAGTTAAGAAATTATGTAAGTTCTTCAAAGTACTGTGGTTTGAAGGAACAATTTAACTTCTCCAGATGCTACCTCTAGATCTCAGTGGGAAGGCATTATTCTCATTTTGAGTGCAGCATGTCCTGTAATTTAAAGAAAGTATGGGGATTTTAATATGAAGGTGTTTGTTATTACTGTGATTTCTAAAAGGCTTTGTTTCAAATGCATTGGATATTTTGCAGTATAACTGCAGCCTCCAGTTTGACGTGCAGCTCCTTCTAAAGCTTCATAGATCACATATAAACTGTATTTTTATTACTCTCACTATATTCAGAAATTTTTTTAACTTGCAGAATGTAAGAAACATTTCTAAAGTTGAACGGAAACCTGTCAGTACTGCAGTTCTGCTCGAGCAAAATAGGAAGTATGATATTACAATAGAATCCCTGAAAAATGGCCAAATCTTAAGTGTGAAATCATTTAAAACACGTAAGTCGAGTAGCAGCAAAAAATTTTGGTATCTTTATAGTTAGTTTAACACTGAAGATTAAAAAGTTGGGGTTCAGATCCCGAGTTTACTCATGTATTTAGGAATTTGCACTGATGTATGTTTTCAACCATGAAGGAATAATTTTTTATAATGTGTTTGGTTCACATAACAATTCTAAAATATGACACTGGTGTAAAAGTTTGTGAGATTTTTAAATATTACAGGTTTTGCTATACTACAGTAATTCTAGAAGAAAACATTTATAAAGAAGGACCATTGAAAAAATACTTAAAGCATGGAAATTTCATAATAACATAGGGTCATTGTCTTATGTAAATTAAAAAAAAAAATAGTTTCAACTTTATAACAGTCCCTCCTTAAAAAGAGTTAATAAGTATCTTGAAGATCTTAGCATTGTGATTAACTGGGAACAGACTTTCATTACTGGATTGTATGAGTTTAGCCACTGAATTTATAAAAACAGCTGTAATTTATAGCTGTAAATCTGTTCAGGACCACAAGCCCCACTGGTTGTGAATGAAGGGGCTTTCCAATCTCAACTTGATCAGTGAGAATAGTTTATAACATGACCTTTGTACACATTGCAAGCTCATACTCTTGCATTTTTTTTGGAATACAGACTTGTATCTGAATTCAAGCAACATCATTGGGGAAAAAATAGTAAAAGCATTGCAAGAGCCATCAATTGATGAAAGAACATTCAACAAGCTACAAAACATGGTTATGCTGCTAATGTGTTACTGCACTTAGCATCTATTACTTAACTGATCTTCTATCCAAATATGTACTTTTACAGTTAAAACACTCTTGAAAGTATGTACTTTTACCTCTGCTTGCTTCAGACATAAGATAACATACCATGAAAATAAAGGAAAACATGACTTTCTTAAATGATGCTGCATTTCCTTATCTATTGGGGCTATCCCTCATCCCTTCTCAAAAGAAGAAAAGTAATAATATTGATGAAATAAATCTTTGAGTTAATTTTTCCTTTGTGGCAAACACAGTATTTATTTTTTTCATTGTCTACTAGGTGGAATTTCAGAAAATGACATCAAAATATTTGTGACAGCTACTACAGTGTCTTTTAATTGGAGTACGATGATCAAAGAATTTTCAGTTTCTCTTTTCCTGAATGGTACTTCTCAGATTATAAAAAGACCCAGTGGATTCTTTGTATGGAGAAATTTGACACCTGCTACCATTTATACATTTAAGTTTATATTTGAACAATTAAATCCTGAATTTGTAAATGTGTCTCAATCACTGGATATTCAAGCTGAAACAGGTATATATTAGAGTTTCTTGAAGTCACAGTGAATGCAAGTTAGTACTGCATATTTTTTAGATGGGTTAAGAGTAAATTGTAAAATCCTGTATTCCATGTAATGCATTTTAGTAGATACAGATGTTATTTCTAGAAAGAGGAAATAAATTGAATGTTATTGACATAAAAAGGTTATTTCTAGTCAATATTTCTTAGTATTTTAAGACCAAGAATTCAAATTTGCTTGTGCAAATATTTTAAATGTATTTTGGCAGATTAAAATGGAATGAAATTAATGTTGAAGTTAAGCCTTGTAATTATTGGAGTGTATGGGTTGAATTTGCTATGTAGTTTCAATGAAAAGGCAAAGAAAACCCTGAATTTGGTAAGAATTTGGAACACTTTCTGAAACATTCAAAACTATAGGATTTTTATTGTTGAGTGGCAAGCTTAGCTGTGCAGTTTTTTAAGTGCTGTGAGGGATGCAAGCTTCTGAGGATAATGTAGCTTGGTTGTGTATCCTCATGCCTTTAAATGTGTTACTCTCATAATGCAACTTAGAATCTTTACAATTAGATACACAAAAAAAGAATTATATACAATCAAATTCAAGGAAATAATTCTTTTCCTAGATGCAAGAAAATATTAAAAGCAAATTATTTGTTAAATTCATTTTTATAATTTAAAAAATCGAGTCATCAAAAACTTAACTTAAAAATTAATTTCTTTTCTAGAATATGACAAAGATTAATATATCTCTTCTATTTTTCCTTCTTCACTGGGCTGCAGTTGTAGCTTTTAGTTCAGTCAATCAGATTTTTTAAAACACAGGACTTTGAAAGAGTGTTTTTATAATCACTGAATATTTTTGAGGTTGAAATAATGATTTAATTAAAGGCTTTTGTTCTCAAAATGTCTGTGTAATTGTAAGGAATCAGCACCATTTCCATGAGCAATACAGCACATATTTAAAATCCTGTCCTTGTTGCCTTATAGGAAACTTAAAAATTAATTTCTTTTCTAGAAAATGACAAAGATTAATAGATCTCTTCTATTTTTTCTTCTTCACTGGGCTGCAGTTGTAGCTTTTAGTTCAGTCAATCAGATTTTTTAAAACACGGGACTTTGAAGGAGTGTTGGTTTATAATCACTGAATATTTTTGAGGTTGAAATAATGATTTAATTAAAGGCTTTTGTTCTCAAAATGTCTGTGTAATTGTAAGGAATCAGCACCATTTCCATGAGCAATACAGCACATATTTAAAATCCTGTCCTTGTTGCCTTATAGGAACCTGTTCCAAAGGGTGGGTGGCATTCCAGAGCAGCTGCTACCAAATGGGAAAGGAGAGCAAGCCATGGAAGGTGGCACAACAAACCTGTGAAACCTCCTCACAAGGGGCACATCTTCTTGACATAGGGAGTGAAGAAGAACATGGGTTTGTGTTGTCATATCTCCAGAAAATTAGTCGAATAATCATGTTATGGACAGGTCTTAATGACCTAAAGGTAAGTATATTTTATCATCTTTGTTATTACAGATGTAGAAGCAGGAGAATTTTGAAAGAGAGGAGGCAATCCTTTGGAGTAAAAATTACTAAACAGTACATTGGTTATTTTTTACTATAGTTATTAGCAATTAGATGAAGAATCATTGTTTCTTCCTATTTAGAAATACTGAAACTATTTAGAAGGCCATAGCAGGAGGGAAGAAAACCTTCATAATATAGATTTAACCTGTAATATTTGTGTGTGTGTGTGTGTGTGTGTGTGTGTGTGTGTGTGTGTGTGTGTGTGTGTATTTCCCGGGGAGATTATTTTGCCTGTAGGTGGTGCTGCATTACCAGATTTCACATCTCAGTCTACACACTTGTTACTATGGATCTCGAAGTCTGGGGTTGGCTTTCTCAGTTTTGATGCAGGTCTGAAATGTTGAGTGTTGAGCTTACTGAGGTCTGTTCAGTATGGATTGAGCAAGGTGGTTCTTGTAAAATATTTCCTGTTCCTTATATTTCGGATATGGAAGTTCGTAATGCTACATCTGCTGTTACAAAATGATTCAGTGTGGTGTGGTGTGTGTGGCTGGGGAAGAAGTACAGACATAAATAAAGTATTGGAAGAGCTCTTGGAAAGATAGAGGCACAGTGCCAGAAACGTGGGACCCAGGCTTCTGTGATTTGGTTTAGTGAAAATTATGTGCTAAGTGTAGAAGGTTGGAAAAAGCCAGTGGTTTTTATTTTAAAAAATCTGCAACCTGAAATTTAATTTTAATGTTGTTTTGGCAAAATTATTTTACTGTGAAAATAGTAAAACCAAAGCAAACTTTTTGTGTAAGAGCAGGAGTGGTGTCACACCACATGTCATAGAGATAGAAAAATTCCTTTTTGCAGAGTCTGTTAAATAATGGTGCTACACAAAGAAGTCAGAGGGGGATAGCATGCAGACTGAGGAAACACAAATCTGTCTAGCTTAGAGAAGCACTGTAACCATGCTGGTTAGTAAAGCACCAGGAATATATGCACTTTACATGTAATAATATTTTGTTGATATTACTCCAAAGTCACTTCTCAAATTGCTATAATTTTTACACCATAGTGATATTCCTTGTAACCACCTGGGTATTTTAAAAATAAGGTAATATTTGTAAGAGGCTGTCAGAAGCATCATAATTTTTCAAGTTGGAAAGAGTACTACCAAGTTGGTTTTTCTTAATCTTTTCTTCTTAAGAAAAGAGTCAATTGCCAGTTTGGAATTCGGCTGTTAGTCAACTGTTTAATCATTGCATGCATTTTTATGTTTGTGGGAGTCAGTCAGTTAAATGAACTAGATGAGAACCATATTTTAAGAGTAACAAGGTATAATAATAAAATGCTTATTTACAAGAACCTCTTTCCTAAATATTTGTACTTAATTAGTGGGTTCAAGTGCTGTCTGAACATGTTTCAATCTGAAATGTCACCGTTTGCATCTGTTCTCATCCTATGAGAACTCTGAATTGTACTTGCACCAAATTGCACTTAGCTGGAAAAAGAGAAAGTACCTCAAAGGTTAGAAACCTGGAGTCAGGTGTGAGAGTGTCCTAACAGCTGAGAAGCCAGGGAAAGATAGATAGCATTTTCTCATCTGATTGTGATTCTAGTCATGGTTTTTCAGGTAAATATTTTTGTTTTCAGACTCAATTTATGAGTATTTTTTATTGAGTGATTTTTTAAGTGAATGCCCTTTTTATAAAATGATCCATACATGATTATTAAGTTATTAGATTAATAATGATTTTTAAAGTTTTGTTTGTAATGATAAAATATACTCATGTGGCTTATATTATGCTATGTTATATTTTTATCTTGTAATCTTTTGTGATAGATCGGATGGAATTTTAGATTGGAACCTTTATTAAAAATAGACCTATATAAGTAACTTGTATAAATGATGTACATAATTCTTGGATATTTAAGAAAACACTTGCAATGAGGGAAAACTTAATAATTTACAAATATAATCTAAAAATATCTGTGGTTTAATTTCATTTATTTCAATCTAGGAAGAAGGTCAGCTTGTGTGGACAGATGGATCTCCTTATCTTCTAAAAGATGGTATCTCATCTCTATCAATGATACCAGAAAATCAAACTGACTGCTATGCCCTTCAGAAAGATCCCACTGGCCCAGACTATTTTTTCACAGGATTTTTCTGCTATGTCCAGCTACCATATATTTGTGAATATGAATGTAACTATATTTTTTAAATATCTTGCATTTATTCTTAAAAGTCTTGCCCTGATTAAATTTATATTTTAAGATACAAATATAAAAATAAAAGGGTTTTAATGATTTTTTTTTCATTTTTGATGCTTTTTTTCAGTACCTGTGGTACCAGAAAACTTCATGTTTGATGTGCATGATGTCGAGACAACTGAAGCTGTAATTGTGTGGAGCAGTATGGACATGTGGCTTAAGTCAGGCTTTGCACTTATACTTAAGTACTATTTTGCTCAGTGGAAACCATACATTCTGAACTTGCCTGTGAATACAACTCAGACAAAAATTGGGCAGCTGTCTCCAGGCCTTCACTATAGTTTCTTATTAGCAGCAAGGAACCCAGAAGGAGCACAGACTAGCTTAAGTCCAGTTGTGAAGGTAGAAACAAGTAAGTTGCGAAAATAAATAGAAGTAATAACCAGATAACCATATATATTTTATATTTTCCTTTAATTACACTGTATTTTCTAGACTGTATTTTCTGCACTGTTTTTCCTGTATTTTCTATTTATCACTGATACACTGTCAAGGTTGCTTTGTTAGATTTGCTCTAATAATATTTATCCTGCATGTAAATGTGCACTGTTAGGTTTTCAGGCTCTATTTCAAACAAACAAACAGGCACAATAAAACACCCCACAGTTATTGATGAAAGGCATGAGAAACTATTATTGTATTTCTGTTCCTAATCTTATTCCACAGGGCCCTTGCATTCCCAGAAGTTAGAGGCTACGTATGTTTCATCTACAGAAATCCATTTAAAATGGAAGCCTCCCCAGCATTCATACAGTGTTTCTTTTCACCACTACCTGGTCAACATATTGGATACTGAAACCAACATCTGGGAACAGTTACCAGTTGAAAAAAGCAAGACTTCAATAGTCATACAAAATAGAAAACCTTATCACCAGTATCAGTTATATTTACAGAATGTCGCAGAGAAAGGCATTCTAAGCTGCCACGAGAAACCTATACTAATCACAACAGGTGATGTATCCATTTTCTAGTTGTTTCATTTCACTGGACAGAGTCTAAATTGAAAATAAAAGGCATAAAGGTATTTTTAAAGCCATGTCAGATTGTGATTGTTGGGATAGTCTTCAGAACCTTCTAAAATTGTGAAAGTACCAATCCTTTTATTTATTTATTCTTTTGCCTACTTACAGCATATTAGTAAAGGCTAAAGAAGTGATATTCTGCTTAATTCTGATTTATAGTTTAAATCTCTATTTTCAGCAAAGTTAAAACATTACTATGATTTCTCAAATTTTTTAGGGCAAACTATGTCATCTTTTTACTCCATATATATCCAGTGGAATGAAATATGCTTGCAAAATGAGTCCTTATTTTTTATGAGAAAACAGAAAATAGAATCTGCCTTTAACAGGTAGTTGCCTGCAAATTATTTTAAGAAATAATGAAATGAAACAGTAGGTTTAAAATCACGACATTTTAGAAGAAAAAAAACCCAAGAGACATTATTGGAAAGTGATTGTTAAGTGATAGTAAGTTTGATGTGTGGTTTTATACTGACTTTTTTTTTTTTTAATCAAGCTGTCAGTCCACCTACAGCTGTTTATATTTACCCAGAGGATGTAGAAGAAGAGAGTGTAATCCTTCACTGGAAGCTGCCACAAGAGTGTCAGGAATCCTACATTCAAGTGAAACCTAATGCAGGCATCGGTGAAACAAAGAAGTTTTTATTAAGTAATAAAGAAGAATTAAAGGTTGATGATCTAACTCCGGGAATGGCTTATGAAATAGCAGTGGCAAGTGTGAAAAATGGAACTAGGAGTGAACTGAAGACCATTCAATGCACTTTAAGTAAGACATTATTTATGGTGGAAACTACAGACATATGTTAGTCTCACCATTGTTGCTGTCACCTAATAAAATTTGTAGATCAAGTAAATTTGCTAAATAGCCAAGGATCAAAACTTAAATGTGAAGTGCAGAGATCCAATCCTAGATGTTAACAGCAAAATTAACAATTGTTGCAAACACAGTGCAGCCTTGGAAAATCTATTGGTACTGGCAACAGCTGCGATGGGAACCACATCTGGAAATCCTGTTCCCACTGGCAAAAGAAGCTGGGTGAATCATTGATTTGCACTGAAATAGGAAAATATTGGAGTGGTTGAAACAGATTATTGATTTTTGGAAGTACATTAGTTGTTCTGAGAACTGTGAGAAACAATTGCCCTACCATTAGTGAGAGACTGCTAGGAAAGAACTAGAAGTAATACTAGCTGAAAATAAAAGCTTTGCATTGTTTGTCAAAGCATCTTTCCCATTGATAGGGAAGGGTTTATTGAAGGGTCTTACTTTCCCAAAATGTTGAAATGCTTTTGGTGCAGTATAAATTTTTTGCATATGTGAAAGGAGTGGGCAGGATTCACTTATACATGTACTATATAAAGGCTGCAGTAGTCAGGTTATTAGATTCATGAAATGCTGAATTATCATTTCTTTCTAAATGATAATTCAGCAGTATTTTGGAGGGTAACACTCCTAATTCTTTTCCAGATTTTTTTATATAGGATTATATTTAATACCTCATTCATGACACAGATGACAAAATTCTAAATGGGGTATTTCACAGCTGTCAGAGCCAACTGTAAGGGAAGAAAACTGAACACGTCAATGTTGCATCCATCAAATACATCTCATTCTCCATGGTTAGATCCCTGTCCACATCTACATTTCTGTATAGTTTTCCAGTTATCCTGCTTACCTTCTTGGTGCAGTTGTGGTTGAGAAGGAAATTCCAGTAAGAAATAGTTAAAAGATCTGGTTGTTTATTGTTTCTGAGCAATGACGTGCTATGGTAGATGTTAATTTCCATTTGGCAAGAGTATTTCTCAGGGCAGTTTCTTCAGATGCATTATGTGGTTTTCACTTAATTTATTTTCAACTATTTTAACACACGGCAATTTTTTTCCTTCTAGAGCCCAAGCCTGTTCAAATTGCAGTTCCTTATGAGCTCCATAGCAATGCTGTGGTACTGTTTGTTCACATGCCCGATGTCGGAGTATTTGATGGCATATATGTTACAAGTAAAGAAGGACCTAATGCAACATTCATTTTAAAAAGTGATGGTAAAATAACAATTGAGAACCTCACTGCAGGAAGACAATATGATTTCTGTGTCTCCACAAAAAGTGGAAAAATGTTGAGCTCCTTTTACCATATAAATGGTGTAAAAACCTGTGAGTATTTTAAGTTCTTATAAAATTGCACAATATAAAACCTTTTGAACTTTATTTTCATTGCAGTGGAATAGAAAAGACATGCTATTCAAAAATCATCTTGATATATTTATGTAAGCAATTGCAGTTGCACTAAGACTAACTGGTTTTTAAACAAGACTATAAGAATCCCTCATAATTTCTAAACTTACTAAATTGTGGTTTTTGTATGGTGTATAAAATGTCTAGCAAACACTTCAGGAATTTAGGCTGTATTAAATTACTGCCCTTGTGGGAGACAAGACACATTTTGATCACTTATTTTGAACAAGTACATGAGTATCAATGGGATTGCTTCTGTGCCTTGAAATTATTAAGTTTATTCCTCCTGGTGTATCTTTAAGCAAATGATAAAAGGTTCTTCAAGGTAATAAATTAATTCACAAGGACATTAAAAGAATGGTAGTGGATAGGACACCTTCTAGTAATGCTTTTAGAAACAGAATTTTAATAGAAACCTAAAAATATTTTAAAATACCTGCTGAAATTCTGTGGTTTTACTTTCCTATTTTTTATATAAGTTTTTATTTTCCCATTCTATAATTTTAATTTGAAATTCTTTTTCTGCTCTGTTTCTTTCAGAATAGAAATGTTGTAAAAGGAAAAGTTAAGGTAGGATCTGAAGAAGTAAGGAAGAAGAGTAGAATGAGGGCAAGACAGAAAATCACCCCAAATACAGAAAGCCTCGAAAGCTGATATTTCTTAAAACACAGTTTTAATAAAAACTTGGGGTTTAACCAATCTTCTGACAGCATTCCCTAAATTTAACGGGAAACTACAAAAGCCAGTATTGTTCTGACTCTTCTGGGGCCTCAAAAATTTGGAAGAAATAAAAATCCTGACACTTCAAATGTATACAGCTTTCCCTTAGAAAAAGTGTAAATTTTGATATATTCCAGACAGAAATGGCTGTGATGGGGATGAAAGAGATGTAAAGGAGAGTGGAGATTCTCCTGTAATGTGATCTGAATTGTACCTCACAAGACTATTCTAGTAAGGGATAAATTGTTTTTGTCTTGCCTGATCTGCCCAGTTTTGCTGAGCCTTTTGACAAAATTTAGGTGCATTCTGACCACTATAGTAGTGCTATTGGAGGGATTAACTTCGTCCTAGAGAACTTTCCTACCCAGGAGTGCTAGTTCTGTTGTCAAGGAGAAATGTAGTTTCAACCTCAAGTAATTTTAAGAAAAAACACAACCAATTTTTCTTAAATAGTGGCATTACTATATCTTTTTTCTTTCTCTATTTTTTATGCTTCTCTATTTTGGAATTGCTGTGTGTCTGCATGACTGATATCAGATTTTGCCCTCTGTTAGTCTGTTATTGATGATCTCCACTTTATGTCTCCCCAGGAGATATGAAAATGTTAGATTGAGCAATGCCTGGGGTTGAACAGAGAGGTGTTTTATGTTCTTCTGTAGGTCTGGCAGCTCCCCTGAATGTACGAGAGGGTGATGTCACTGACACTTCCATCCAGGTCTTGTGGGATGGCGCTGATGGAGATTTCGAGCAGTACGAGGTTACCTGTACTAATTGTGCAGGTGCTTTCAAGGTATGCTGTGTGGAGCACCACCTGTGGATTCACACTGCAGCTATTTTCAGTCTTCTATTAAGCAGTCAGAGACTGAATGAATGGCTTTATTTCCCAATAAAATAGTTGGATGTGTGGTTTATATATGATAAGTAAATTTTGTAAGGAGTTCTGTGAAAGCTGTATTTGGTTTTCTAGGTCCAGAAGGTCAAGCAAGAAACAGCAACATTTTCCAACCTCAGTCCTGGTAAGCTGTACAGTTTTGCAATTCGAACAGAGAAGGAAGGTTTCAGAGACAGTGTTTTTGTGACAAAAGAAATAGACACAGGTAAGATCACAAAGTTATCAAATTCAGTATTTGTTTTACTCCATCCATATCTCTTGCTTTCTTCTCTTTGAGACAAAAAATTTATTTTTGTCTCAAACGAAGAAGAGTATTTCAACCATCTTTGTAATTTTCTCCTTATTCTCTTTTATTGTTATTTTCCTTATCCTTTGACTGCAAGGGACCGTTAAGAAACTCAATATATTTCCTGTGTACAATGAGATACCAATGCTAACTTCATGTTGATTCAAGCAGCTTTAAAGTCCAGTACTTGCATAGTGGCTGGCTACCAATATTAGAGAAAACAATTTTTTTCCTTATACTTCTCTGTAATGCTTTAATTTTCTCTTCATCTGTGGCTTTGAACACACACACGGACACACATACATACACACACATACATACACACACACTTAAATGACCAGAACTAAATTAGGTCTATTTTGTTTTCTTATGGGCCTCCCCTTACATCACAAGTAAATTTGGGCTTTATTACATTTAGTTTTACTTTGGGTTAGGACATTTGATTCTCATCAGTGTAGTTCTCCTCTATTCCAGTACTTTGGAGTGGTTGGCATGGCCTCTCAGGCTTTTAGATCTGGCATGTGATAGTTTCCTCTAAAAGGTCACTAATGTGAAAAAATCAAGTATAGTAGATGTGATTGAGAGATTGAGAAGGTTCAGCATATGTGATCAAAGATATGTAATGTTTTGTATTTAAGGAACCACTGAATTAAAACTGGTACAGGAAAAATGTAAAATTCGTGAGAGAACAAATCATGGAGAGGCAATTGTGGAGCAAGTAAATCATGGTACTCTGACATTTCCTTTTCAAGATCTAAGGACTTGAAATTAAAGTCCTTAAAAAACCCAGAAAACAGAATGTAGAAAATAAGCAAAAGGAGATGGTTGTTTATTAAATGTGTAGATAAATTGCAGAACTTCTTGCCACAAGGTATTTTGTCTGATGATTGTGATCATAGGTTAAAGTGGAGACTAAAGACATAAAAGAAAAATCTGCTGGGATTTACTACATAGAACCTTTGGTTCATGAAATCCTTGGGCTGCAAAATGCAGCCTGCGGGACTGCTGAAAGGAATTACCACTCTACGCAATTCTTGCTTTTTCCGCAGGCATATCCTTTTGGCCACTGTTGAATAAAAGATACTGTGCTAGCTGGGACTTAGGTGTCTGCACAGTATGTTACCTCTTACACTGACATTTCTTTTCTTAAAAAATTGTCAGTTTTTGAGGAAGTCCACATCAGTGATGTCAGAACTGTACTAAGCAGCATTACAGCCAGCTTGGCTCTGGATTTCCTGGATAATAAAGTCACTTTGCATGTTTCTGCAGTGGTTGTAGTCTGCATGTCCTTGAGATAAGGAAGAACATGACATCATTTATGTGGAGTTTTTATTGCATTCTGATAATGAGAGGCCTGTCGTAAAGAAATGTGTTCAAGATGTATTTTTGAATCAATGCATTTTGTTTTATTGTCACACAGCACCAAGTGCAGTCAAATATCTGAACTGTAGCAGAGACTCTGAATCAATAACTGTTACCTGGCTCCCAGCCCAAAGTATGTTTGATGGATATGTTCTTTCAATAAACAGTAAGGTCTTTGATGAGAAGAAAATTTTACCTTCTGGTGTGAGGTATGATGATTACATTTTAAAAATAACTGTCATGGACTCAAAACAGCTGTTTCCCTGGATATTTAAAATAATTAGCCTGTGTTGTTATCTATATGTTATATGTTTTTGATGGCTTAGTTGATATACATTACTATGCCCCTGTATTTTAAGAACTGCATTTTTTAATCAAATTGCAATTACCATATGATGTGTTTATGCAAAAAAGAGCAAACAAAATACTGCATTGGGGTGAGCACCAGTAGAATCTCTGTGCAACTCTGGATATTTAATTCAATACTTTAAAACTTTCTAGTACTGGAACTTGCTGTGAACAAGTAGTGTAATGCATCCTATAGTGTAATGCATCCTATAGTGTAATGCATCCTATTTAAGGTTTCATAGTATTAAAATATTTTTTGATTCCTAAGATATAAACATGTATACACACATAATATGTATATAATATGCATAAAACTATAAAGAATTAGCATATGAACATACATATTTTTTTAGAACCCCAAAGGACATAATCTATTCTTTTGATATTTGTAGAATGCACAAATTTGAGCATCTTCTGCCGGGCACTGATTTCTTAATCAATATTGTGACAACCAATGGATTAAAAAGAAGTCTCCCTACTGTCCTCAAGATTAGCACCTGTAGGTTCCGTTTAGTAATGACTTTTCATGGTTTCAGATAATTAATGTTTTTATATTTTAAGATGTTTTATAAGAAAAGCTATTCCTTATTATATCCATGCATCTTAACAATGACTGAATGAACGCTTCTAAGTTTTTCTTTTCAATTTAAACCTCTTTGAAAGTGACTAAGTATATAAAAGCTTTTTAAACACAGTTTCTTCTGCATTAAGTGGGATATTGCCACTAACTGAAACAGCAGTAGTCTGCTGATTAGTAGTCTGCTGAGCAGTAGTTAGGATGATAAAAGTTTTCCACAAAAATTGACAAAGGTTGACTTAATTTCTGATTCTGTTTCTAATATTGGAGGTGATTTTCATTTATTTGAAATTCTTCTTAAGTACAAAATGAAATTTCTTTCTAGATGGAACTATAAAATAATGAATTAAAGCTATGTATTCAGTAGATGTCAATTTCCTTAAAATAAAAATAGATTATTTTAAATCTAAATTTTATATCTTCAGATCCTGACCCACCATCAGATTTACAAGTGTTTGGACAAGAAGAAAATACAGTCTATTTTTCTTGGAAACTCCCAAGAGGAGGATTTGATATGTTTCAGGTGAGATGAGAATGGGAAGAAACCAATGTAAATTTTTTTGTAGTTTTTCAATTATTGGAAAGAAATGTTATTCAAAAAGGTCAGCTAAATATGTACTTCCTATTACATAACAACTGTAAAAATTGTTAAAAGATAATATTTTTAATAGCTCTCAAAAACTGAATTTTCAACTAGTGTGAAATACAAAAGATCATAGGTCAAGGGTTGAATGTAACTGCAATGTAATATTTTTTTCTTAGTTTTTCAAATTTGTAACGCAAATTAATTTAACTGAAGTAAAAAATAAAAAATTCCTTCCTTACAGAATAATGTAAATCTTTTGTTTATAAAATTAAAGAATATTTATGGGGTTGTAAAAAAAATATAGCAATTTATTAGACAAAACTGCAAACCTTGAATACCTGCCATACCTTTCCAGCTTTGGGCAGTAAGTAGTTTAGGGATTTTCTGAGTGAAGTTGGATATACATAAAGAAAAACAGGGACTATTCCTGATTTTCTTGTTATTTATACTTCACAATTTTGTTATGCCCTGTTTAAAAAAATTAGTACTTCCCTATTCACCATACCTTTCATGATTTTATGAACTTCAATTTTTTCAATTTCTCATCATTCCTTATTTCAGTTCTCTGTAAAAAAATGATCCACAATGGCATCTAAATACTATGGATCATGTTTTACTATGACATGCAGACAGTCTCTCTTTTGTAACCTTGCTTTTGCAGTCTGTCTTTTATTACCCTTAGTTTGTAGCCACTGTATTGACATGTGGTCAACAAAACTTAGTATATATTGCTGTTTTAACACGTCACTTGAATCAATATGGATTTCTAGGGATAATCTTTCACAGTCAACTTACTTGAATGGGATATTCTTTGGTACACAGCACTACCATGAGTCATAGTACCATGAGTGTTTTAAAGATCTATGCAGTTTTTACTCCAATATTTCAGTGCCCATTTCTTTTCCTTCTGCTCTCCATGGCTTCAATTATTATCCTTACCTCAACCTGAAATCTGAGTATCCTTAGGATAGTTCCTTGACATTTCTTCTCTCTTCATTAGTGTAAAGCTGCATTGATCTCAATGGATAAGAGCAGCAAGTTAACCTCTCACACTATTTGCTGGTGCAGCCTGGAGTATATTTATGAATTTTTAAATTAAATTTAATTATCTTGTTCATATTTTGAGCCAGTTCAGATACACTTCTGAATGTGATAATGCTATTTTTGCCACGCTATGGAAAATAATTGTCATCTGTAATATTGATCTTTATGTCATGGTATTATTGTTCAGCATCTCACAGAGCAAGCAGCCACATTAGACAGTGCTTTGTCTGTATAAACGAGCTTATCTTTAAATCTTTAATGAGAAAGGCTTTCGTAGACTGGTTGCTTAGTAAGGTGCACCTGCATAAAAGGGATCGCTTTACTAATCATTTAAAATTAATCATCCCTGCTCACCAACTTTCTATGCAATATATTGTAGTTTGTAAAGTGAAGAGTGCACAAAAGGTACTTTCCTAACTTCTTTATACTAGATGTAAATGTTTAATCTATAGCTTTTCTTCTAGCATCTTGCATTGCTGTAATTCTAATAAGGTGAGGACAGTTTCCAAAATTTTGTTTGTATAAACAGGCACTGTACTGGTAAAGTAGACAGAGGGGAAATGGATCATTCCTCCCCACATGAATAGCAGCTAACCCCAGTGCTTTCAGGTCACTGCCATGTGTACAACATCCCCTTTCTGCTGGAGAAAACTAGTGGCAGGACAGGACTCACTATGCAGGCAGTTGCAGCCCTACTTGGTCTCAGTATTAAGAGCAATACCTGAGAAATGTGTGGTGTTTCTTGGAGATGCTTGTCCAGTGCCCTCTTCTGCAGGGCAGGCACGGTCTGCATCGTGTCTCTCACTAGTGCAGATAGGAACCAGTCTGCAGGGACACTCTTCTATGTCCACAGAAAGAACAGGTGCAGGAATTTTTTGTTACCTTAGAATTGTCTGGGAGATTAGAAGAAATCTAGGAGTTAAGCCTAGCTTCTAGGAGTTAAGTCCCCAGATTTCAATGTCTTGACATCTCCAGCCTTTTTATTCTCTGCAGTGGCTCTTAACAGATGAATTTTCAACGTATAGCAGTGAACCAGAAGAAATCTAGGAGTTAAGCCTAGCCTCCAGTTAAGTCCCCAGATTTCAATGTCTTGATATCTCCAGCCTTTTTATTCTCTGCAGTGGCTCTTAACAGATGAATTTTCAACGTATAGCAGTGAACAGACTTGAGTGACTAATCCCTTTGGAGTCTTTTCAGAATCTCAGCTCTTAACAGTGCATGGGTGTGTTTTTTGGTTGAATGGTTTTGGGTGTTGTTTGGGATTGTTTCTTTTGTTTTGCTATTTTGTTTTGTTTTGAGGTTTTTTTTGCCAGAAAGGTACAGAGTTACTTAATTGTACAGTTAATCACTAGAGCTGTGTGACTGAACAGTCAGAGTACACTTTATTGTCCTTCCTCCAAGAGCAAAAACCTGTAAGCCTCCACTTTGCTTCCTCCATCTACTTTTAAAGTCATTGCTTTCACTACTGGGCTATTAAGGAATGCTGGAGTTTCACATTGATGGAACATAATATAAAGCTTTTTTTGTATTTAAAATGTGAAAAATATTCTAAATGTTTTTATAATAACAGGTAGTTACAATCTCTGATCATTACTTTTATGAACTTAAATAGTCTAATATGAAGAATTCTTTGCTTTGATAGCTTTCATATTATCTGATGAATAATGAAAAGCTGCTTACCAGGACTATTTATGACAGCAGAGCTGTAGTGAAAAATCTGACCCCTGGGACAGAATACATTTTTCAGTTAAGGACAGTTAAAGGCTTGGATTCCTCTGTGGCTGTGGAGAAAAAAGTCATCACAAGTAAGGAAATACCTTATAAATTGTCCTTTTGAAAACCAGTAAATGTTCAGAGACATTTAAATCATTGTTTGTAAATAACTCAAAAAGGTCACAGAGCTCAAAATGAAACTTCAACTTTCAGAGGAAAGTTGTGCTTCTTGTTGTGATAGTTGCTCAAATAGGAGCCTTGTAGATAACTCACTGGATTGAGGTTGAGGCATGGCTGAGAAGAGCTCTTTGAAAAAAGCTTCCAGCTCTAACAAAGTAAGATTTTGCCAGACTAGATCTTCATATACTTTCATAATTACCTTGCCTTTTGTTTACAATTGTTTCTGTGTCTCCTAAGTTCTTGCAAGCCCATGGTCTCAGATTGCAGTATTGATCCTGTGCAAAGGTGCAGAATGTCTAAGACAGTAAGAGGAATTGTGCATCAGAGAGCTTAACAAGGTCCAGAAACCAGAATCTTGCACTCATTTTCTGTCTCTGAGCAAACATGTATTTTCCAATGCTCCAGTGATAGAACATAAAAAAGTGGTACGTTAATTTGTGGCAAAAATTTAAAGAAGAAGATTTATGTTGAATTCTGGACTGCCAAAGCAAATAAAGAGCAGCTAGTTGTAATCAGAAAATTAATCAGCTCCCAGGTTTATAAACATGCATGTCACAGACCTCCTCTCTTCTTTGATGGATATTCTGTGGCTTGTTTGGGCTATAACTCCTTAACTCAGTTAATAATCAAGGAGGCTCTGCACTTAGTTATTCAAAGATAAGTGAATCTCTGACAAAAAACCAGAACAAGTCCTGCAGATTATTGTGAATGGAATGTGCAGCAGAATATTCATTATCATGTTCCTGAAGATGAGTTTTTTACTCAGGCAAATATTGTCAAGAGAATTGTGGATGGGTCCTGAGTATGCCTAGATTACAGAAAGTATTATTTTAATGGTAAACATTTAGGATTTTTTTCATGCTGAGTAATAGGCATATGTTAATTAGTATTTTTCATAAAGCTTCAAGCAAGATAAACTAATTATGTGTATGTGACATATAATATATTAGAAAACTTTAGAGTGACCAAAATCTCTACTTTTGCTTACAGTGTTCCATTCTCATCCTGTTGTTCCAGTGAGCAATATTACTGTTCTTAGAGAAGACCTCATAAAATTGAAATTTTTCTTCCATAAATTTCATAATGCACATAGGAGGTACACGCCCAGGTTTTATTTACCCTGTGCAACATAGTGGCACAGTTTTCTGCATATCCATACAAAGAGTTCTAAATTTTTATACATATTTAATGATGTTTTGAAGTCTCAAAACATTCATTTAGGTAAAAAAACATTTATTTTTAAAAGCTGTTATTTTCTTATGTTTTAAGTACTAAGAAATAATATTTTCTTTATTAATCTCAATCATTTTTACCATAGAACCTGCTGGGATATGTGGTCTGATATTAAAAATGGTAAATACTTCCTCCGCAACTGTAATGTGGAATCCAACCAAGACTAACTTCACTTCTTATAAAGCATCTTTATCCAACAACACCTTCATTAAAAAGTTCAGAATTCCAGGAACAGTGACTGACTTCAGTGTTACAGACCTGATGGCTGGGAGCATTTACAATTTCACACTGAAAAGACTAAAAGGAAATATTGAAGGAGTTTCTGCTTTCCTTGAATTTATAACAGGTCTGTATGGTTTCCTGCTTCCTCTGCCAGTGAATGGTAGCTGTCTTTACCAGTGTATGCTTATCAGTGTGCATCTCACTCAAAATTTCAAGAGATCTTAGGTGTAGTAGTTTGCTGTTGTTGTGGGCATTACTTACTAGGTATATTACTTATACCCTTTTCAACCTGCATATAGTGATACCTGTCAGAAACATAATGTCTTTAGCTGTGCTGCCTTTTTTTTTTTACCATTTTTAGTATTTCAGATCTTATCCTGCAGAGATACACACAAGCTGAATTTTACCTTACAAATATTTCAGTAGGTTTTTTTCTTACAGTGAGTGAAGTTAAACAGGTATATAAATGTTTGTAGAATTAAGGCTTTAAATAGTAAACTACACTCAGAAATTTATTGTGGGTCTGTACAAAAGGACCTCTATAACTATAAAAGGACCATTTTTAGTATTTCAGATCTTATCCTGCAGAGATACACACAAGCTGAATTTTACCTTACAAATATTTCAGTAGGTTATTTTCTTACAGTGAGTGAAGTTAAACAGGTATAGAAATGTTTGTAGAATTAAGGCTTTAAATAGTAAACTACACTCAGAAATTTATTGTGGGTCTGTACAAAAGGACCTCTACAACTATAAAATCCAGCTTTAATGGAAGTTGAGAAACATGCAAATAATAGGACTGATGAGAGCAGTAGGACTCAAAACTTATTAGAGTATACTAAAAGAAAGAACCTATACTCTCAATTAAACTTGCACAACTCCACATACATTATTAATATTTTTTATTCTGTTAGTGTTAAAATAAAACCATGAGTTAAAAAACCATACATATAAGACAAATACAGATGGAATGTAAAATCTAAAGTTAGTGTTTGGATATATCAATATTTCAGATTATTTGATGCCAGAACTGGAGTTATCTGTTTGAAAAAATTATGCAACTTTGCATAGTCTGTGTAAAGGGTTCATCAAAGATATAGAATCTTAGCAGATTTACAGCAAATAAGAAAGGAATGGAAATCTTTCAGAATTGAAGCCATACATTATTCAGGCTGCACAGTGTGATACTTGTGTATAAACTTCCAGAAGGTTTGGGCTGAATTCAGAAGAACCGTGTCAGAATGGTCAGAAAGGCAGACAGAGGACTGAGTGCAAGGGTGATTCTGAAATGAGGCAAAGCACATCATTGACTGGGCTTGTTCAGAGAGATGAGCATGGGGAAAGCTGATAGCTGTACGTGAATTCCAAAGTAGAAAGAAAACAGATGAACATGGCCAGAGATTGTAGGGGTGAACAAATTATACAGTCTTATATGTAGATAACATTTTAGTGACCTCTTGAAAGATTTAAAATCTTCATTTTTCATTCATTATTCATTATTAGGCTTAGAGTGAATAATGTGCTAAATTTAAATACACTAATTTAAAGTTGCATTTAAAAGCAGAAGAAAATGGGATGTTGTGACGTGAGCAGGTGGATGTTTGACTCTAAGAAAAGGAGTAGACTACTCAGATTTTGGGATCTTAACTGCCTAGAGTTCATGGAATTGCTGGGATTCCAAATACATGAAATGTATAAAAGTTAGCAACCCTGTGGCAAACAGCAGGACAAACACTAGCTATATCTTGAATTTCAGCTGTAGCATTAGTTATGTCAGCAGTGCTAACTTTAGTGCTAACTTTAAGGCTGAGGACAGCAGAAACCCCAGGACTGTGCAGAGATTTTGTTGTTAAGTGAGCACTGTGCAGAGACACTTGAGCTTGCTCTCTGTGAACGGGCATCCCAGCACAGTTGGGAGGCCATCAACCAAATCCCAGAGGTTGTGTAGCAATTGTAGGACCACATGCTGCCATATCCAGACTAATCCTTTGCATAGCAAGTAAACTCTTCTTGGATGCTATTCTATTCAGTTGTAACTACTAATATATTTTAAATTGAGTTTCTTAAGAGAATGTCTTTTATTCCACAATTCTTTTTCAGAACCTGCAAAGCCAGAAGGTCTTAAATTCTTCAATGTTTCATCATATTATTTTTCACTGTATTGGAGACTACCGTATGGACTTGTAGACAGATTTCATGTGGCTCTTGTTCCTGATCATGCTTCTGTTGTTATCCTAGATCTTGGAGTTAGGGAGTATCAAGTAAGTGCTTTTATTACAGGACTTGCAGGGCTGGCTTTTCCTTAAGCGCTGTGCTGATGAGCAATTCAAGCTTTCCTCCTTAGCTGTTTAATGCATATATGAATGTGAAAGTATTAATGAAAAATTGGTGGGATGGGAGCAAATTTCACACCCACTGTTTGCTGCCTAACAACAGGTAGTGAAATTACTGGTTTTTTAAAGTCTACTAGAAGGACTCAGACCGTCATCCAAGGATTCATGAATAGTTTAACAAGAGAAGGGCAGAGCTATTGAGTAGTACAGACTCATTAATTGTGTACTTGCCAGGAAGATCTGTGCTTAAATCATTAATGCAGGCAACATTTCACTGCTAAGCCATCAAAAAGATATAGGAGCACTTTTTGATCCTGCTGTCTGGAACATATAATATTAACAGAAATAATGGTTGTTCTGGATGTTTTGCTGTTGTTTTTCATTGGAACTGCAAAGACACAGGTATTTTATATAATTTCTTGCTAAAAAAGTTAATAATTATGTTTACTGAAAAGGACAGGTTAGTTTAAGGGTCAAAAACCTGGTTTTCAAGTTGCCTTGTTCATTCTTTCAAAAAGGAATTTTATAATGCTTCATATTTAATTTGATAATGATAATACAGAAAAACTTCTGTAGATACTTTGATAGGAGACTCTGGGATAAAATTAATAGTTAATTTTTTGTTCTTCAATATTGAATATTGCACACACCTTATGAAGGGTGATTGATGGCAAAATACTATAGGTAACAGATGTAGAAAACTATTTTTAATTGCTCAAAATTGTCTGTGGTTTTTTGTGCTTTGTTTTGTAGGGGTATTTTCTGTTTGTTTGTTTTGGGGTTTTTTTGAGGGTAGAGGGGTTAATTTTTGTGATTCTTTATGAAAGGCTTAAATTAGATAATGTTCTGTTTCAGGCTGATTTTTCCAATACTATTCCTGGAACAACATACAATGTTACAGTTTCTTCAGTTTCTTCTTCAGTCTATAGTTCACCTGCAAGTAGAACTGTGACAACAAATGTGACAAGTGAGTTAAAAATGACTGATGAAATTTTGTTCATTTTTTAAACCATGCTTTCTTATGTTTATTATGTGCATGGTAATGTCCAAGAAATTATAATCAATTTTGAACAGTCTTTAAAATTTTTCATTTTCTTTTACTATTTAAAAATATACTGAATCAGAAGTGTTCTATGAGAGCTTAAGAGTTTACAAGCTTTTGAAAAATTTGCTATTGTGTCATGTAATAATATCCAGACTCTGATTTATACCTATAGTGGTACATAAAGAAATGTTCAGAGCAATTTCTAACAAAATGTAGCCAAAGTAGATGTGCTTTTTGAGAAAGTAAAATTTAATTGAGTGCTAGAATATGTCAGATGTCAAATTGACATTAAACTCTATTTTTTAACAAAGTTCTAGACCAATACATTTTTTACATTCTTACAGAAGAATGTTTCTGGTGTTCCAAAATTAACATAATAATTTCTAACAGGACTTTAGCAAGAAAAAAAGATTTTTATTCAGAAGTGCATCAGTTTTCAGTAGTTTTATGAGGTTATGCTGGCAGATAATTTAATTTCTCTGTAGAATCTGTGAATGTGTCCCACTCTCATGAATCTTAATTAAAAATTGGTTTACATGGGTGTGTGCTTGTGCGTGAGTATATGTGTGTGTGTGTGTGCATATATATAATTTTTTAAATTTTTTTTTTTTTTAGATCCTGGGCCACCTGTGTTCCTTGCAGGTGAAAGAGTGGGTTCTGCTGGGATTCTGCTGTCATGGAACACACCACTCTATCCAAATGGGAGAATTCTATCCTATGTTGTTAAATATAAAGAAGTCTGCCCGTGGATGCAAACAGCTTATACGCAGGTCACAACAAAACCAGACAGTTTGGAAGTTCTTCTCACCAGTCTTAACCCTGGAACAACTTATGAAATTATGGTAAAAGCTTTACAGACACCTTTTAGTATTTTGAATTCTGATTTTTTGGTAAATTATGAGTTTATAGTAGATTCCTGTAGAGTTTTCTGAGGGATCATGCTATTTACTGTTGCCATATAACAAAATACATTAGCCAGATTTTTGTTTAGTTGAGTTTGAGTAGTGTTTTTAAAATCTACTTAAAAACGTCTCAGTCAAACCTGCACTGAAATGTACCTTCTTCTGCTGACATTCAAATTAACATATGGTAATATGTGGTAAAACATAAAAAGCAAAGGGTAGAATTTTTGGAGACATCGAAATCCTTCTTTATCTTAATTGAGATTTAATCTTTAAAACTACTGATGTGCTTTGCATGTTACATGTAGATGACCAAATCAGCTCAGCCAGATCCAAAAAAACATATCTTCCATATAGGGAACTTGTTTGCACTGAGATTAGGCACCCCTGATCCATCCCTGAACTGTTCAACGATAGATGACTTCAGCCGGGCAGAACTTGTTTGCACTGAGATTAGGCACTCCTAATCCCCGAACTGTTCAACGATAGATGACTTCAGCCGGGCAGATATTAATTGCTTCTCTCTTGGCAGTATTTGCCAAGCAATTCTTTGCCTGCTTTACACTTTCATAAGAGCCTTGAAGAGGCTCCTCTTTTCAATACCAAGAATTAAATGAAACTATGAGTTGATTTGCTTCATTCCATTCTGTTGCCTTGAAGAGCACATATGAGGTAGGAGTTTCCATGTCTGTCTTAATACTAGTTTTGTTTCTGACCTCTTTCTACAATACCTACCTTGAGATAAGGTAATAAAAGCAATGTTTAGGTGAGGACATAGCTTAAGATTTATACGCTGTAATTTAAATACTGTCAAACTTTCAACCCCCTGAAGATCTCCAGTCAATTTCCTCAGCTATTGCAATATAACCGTAGAGTTTATCAATGCCTATGGATGTTTCAAGTCATTGTCCCTGTGAAGCATAAGTAGCTAGGGTTGGCTGTGGTCATGAGGTGTGCATGTGTTTGTGTGGCTTAAGAAGGAGACAGTCAGTGACACAGGTTCTTGTCATCCTAGATTAAGTCTTTGATGCTGCCTTATATTCCTTCACTGTGCTTGTCTGTTGTAGCTTTGTCCTTTTGTTTAATCTTTACAGTGTTTGAAAAGTGCACTGTTCAGTGCCAAGAAGTGATTAAAACAAGTTTCCTTTTCTGGCCTAAGGCTTTCTGTTTTCTTTTGCCCTTTGCTACTCCCTGTGTGCTGTCTGTCACTTCTACAGTGATCACACTCAGTTTTTGCACACCTACTGCTTCTCATCCTGCTTTGCCCACAGTCTGCACTGTCAGCTCCCTAAACCCCAGGCCCACAACCTTGTTGCTTTACATTGTCAGCTATAACCTAGCTGGAGAGCTTTTCACTTTGCTTCTTCTTTCCCACACCTCTCACCATCACTGTTGGAATTTTACTCATGTTTACCTTTTGTTGTCCTTTTTAATTATTTTCAAAAAAATAAGTTAGACTTCCTTCCTCTTTCTTTGTAAGTACTGGATGCCACGACTCATCACTGAGTTGAATTGTCACCAAACCCTATACTGCAGAGCAAATGGCATTGTTGTTTTTTTTCATCTCCATAAGTTTTACCAAAGTTTTGATATATTGCTCTTCTGTGGGAAGACTCGTCCATGATTGTGAGCATTGAAGCATTTCCATCATAAATTGCATCTACTCTCTCCTTGACCTATTGGCTTTTTGCAAGGAGACATGCTTTCCTTGGGGCTCTGCTTTGTGGAAGGTTGACCTGTTCTTGCTAGCCTACAGGAGAGAGAGAAATAAAAGACAGCTTATTCTCCTTTTTGCCCTTTTAAGTTATAGTAAGTAAAATAGGAATGCAGAATCTGGTTTAAGTGTATTGTAGTAAGAAAAATGAGTGTTACTGATGTTATTCTTGCTGTTGATTTTTGCATAAAATAGGGATCCTCTTTTCATGTGTGGATATTTACATGTGGTTTTCTCAATTTCTTACACTGTTACATACTTTTTCCCTTTTATTTTTTTTGCATCTAAACATTGAGTATAAATTATAGAACACAACTGTAAAGGACATGTTCATCTGTATATTTATAGTTTAAAAGGTGTATCTCTATGTACCCTCAGGATTTTCATATTCCCTGAAACTGTATATACTGTAGATTTTCTAATGTGGATCCTTTCTTTTTTTCCCTGTAGGTTGCTGCTGAGAACAGTGCTGGTATTGGAGTGTTTAGTGATCCTTTCCTTTTCCAGACTGCAGAAAGTGGTAAATTTAATAAAGCTGTTGATTATTTTGATTAAATTTGCTCTAATTTGTTCAAATAAATTTCCATCATAAATTTCATACTTGAACAAATTCCAATGCACTTAGAACAAAATCCTCATTCTTATTCTGTCACTCAGTGACAAAAGTTCATTTTGTTGTATTTGCTAACAATGGCATTTAGGGTGTGCCCATAGGGGTGTTGTACACAAAGTCTGTTTTTCTTGGAGTCTCCCTATGCCACTTTCTAGGTAGGCAGCTTCCAGAAAGCAAGGTCATAGCGGAGCAGAGCTACCTATCCAGTGGATCCCTCTGCTGTTTCCTGCAACAGTTCTAGGAGACAGACTTTGTTGTGGGATCATCTCTGCCATTGTCTGCTAAATCAATCTGTATTTTTTTAGTGATGGGTTCTAAGAAATTCAGGACAGAATGTGTTTTATTAAATTTTTATTAATTGATTCTGAAGGTAAAAAAAAATCTGAAATGAAAATTTGATTTGGTGGTTTTGAAGATTAAAACATATAGCCTGAGTTTGCACAATTTTTACTAATTTTGTGTTTGTGATCTCACTCGTGCTCCAGGAGCAGTTGTGTCTTGGCTGACGAGCTCACACCAGTGCATTTGTGAACCAGTCTCAATGGAATACAGAGCTTGTGCTGCCAAGGCAGTGACTGCCCATCTGTGTTTAGGCTTCTTTCTCTTTCTGTGCAGACTGCAGAGTGAGATATCATAATTAATGCCAGAAATCATCACTCTGGACAAATAATGCAATTACTTACGAACCCAATATAGGGAGGAGTAGTAAACTTGCCACATGGATGTATGTGAGATCATTATTCTTCACTATTTGTGCATTAGTGCTGGTAAAAGACTCTATTTCTGTGTTTTATTATTTGCTCATGTTTGACAGAGGACAGCACTGGCATTTCTCTATATGAAAACATAAGCTTTTTACTTTGGAAACATTTCTGTCTAAATTTTTATTAAACCTAAAATACCTTACTATAAATGTAATTGGAGGGTTTCTTCAAATTATAGTGAGTTATATGTAATCGGTATAACATACTTTTACATTCTCAACTGTTTTTTTTGTTCTAATTCTTGCTTTGATGGCTAAGGAAAGCCAAACATCTTAATCAGCATAAAGATGGGAAATTTAAAGTGAGAAAGTTAGCCAGAAGATAAAATTATTTAAATATAAAGGTTGTGTTTTGGGAGGAGGGGAAAAGAGTTGAAAGATGTGGGAGAGATTTAGCAGGACTGAAAGCACTAAATATGAGGCTTGGAGGAGCTCTCTCAATTCACCTGTGGAAGGTCTGTAATTGTGGAATGCCTTTTTTAAAAAAGAGTGTGAAAAGCCTTTTCTCCTTAGTACTAAGACAGCTATTGCAGAACCTGCTGCTGACTCTGCCACGTGTAAGCAGCACTAAGACAGGGCCACAGGGCTCTAATTCCCAGGAGAGTTCGGCATGCAAAATAGCATGTAAAATCTGATTTCAATGCTGCATCTCAGTCCTTTGTGCTGTGATAAATACTGATGCTCTGACAAAAGGCCACAGAAACTGTCATGGATACAAAGAGCAGCATTTATGCAGTAATAGTGAATATTGCAATTTAATTGAGTTACTAAAAGCTATGTGCGGCAGAAAAGATGACACAGGTAAAATGAAATAAAACACAGCGTTATCAAGTGCTCTTAACCAGAAAAAAAATAAAAGGGCAAATTTCTTCTGCTTCTGGAACAATAGATTGCTTTCTTCTAAGAATATTTCTAAGTTGACCAATCCAATTACTTCATATATTATGAGATTAAAATAATTATATTTCTCACTTAAACCAGATTGAAAAATAGCTGGTTGTATATCAACTATATTACATGTGTTTATGAATGTTTTTTATGTGTTTGCTTCAGAATTTGGAAACTAGAAATGGCATTAGAAAAAAGAAGAATTTGCTGGTTTTCAGTGCTGAGAAGAAAAGTTTATCTCACTGCTTTTGTTTGTTTTGTTTTCAAGCTCCAGGTAAAGTAGTGAATCTCACAGTTGAAGCCTTAAATTCTTCAGCTGTAAATCTGATCTGGTTTCTCCCTCGGCAACCAAATGGAAAGATAACTAGTTTCAAGATTAGTGTGAAACATGCAAGAAGTGGAATTGTAGTGAAAGATGTCTTGGTTAAAGTAGAGGACCTTCTGTCTGGGAGGTTACCAGAATGTAATGTAAGTGCTATAAACCTTTTAAATCAGAAATAGAGTCAACCCCAGAATACAGTTTTACTTTTAAAATTTGAGACATAAAAATGTGGAGATTTGCTTTTCAGAAAGATTTCAAAACCTTACAGACTTCGTCCCAAGACAGGATAAAATGAATGAAGAAAAGCCTTTCTGTTCAAAGTAATTTGAATGGAATTCTTTTGATTGAAAAGTTCTGTTTAATCAAAGTAAAAATGTTATGAAAGGTTAAGTTTGTCATCCTTTTAACACAAAATTATGAAATAGAAAATTCCTGGGTTTTCAGCTTTCAATTTTTTTACTTTTTATTTTACACACTATTCAATTAGAAAAAAACCAAGAACTTACACGGATTTTTTTGGTCAGTGAAGACATATAGTATTGTTAATATCTTATTTTCTATATAGTCTGGTATTTTTGATATAGTATGATACAGTATGGTTTTTTTTTATTTTAGAAGTATGCTTTATTCTGTGTGGCACATTTCAATATTTTTTAAATACTTCTCATATCAAAATAAAACATGAACATGATTAGCAGAGTAATTTTCAAAAATATGGTTGCAGTCTGAATTGTTCTTTTGATTGAATATAAGCATTGTATCCTTTTGAATTTCTTTAAGAAAATTCTCTCTTCTAGAATTTTTTTTTCTTTTTTACTTTGGGCACAATTTTGCAATTACTAAAACATCAAAATGTCAGTGAAAGATGCTTCAAAAGAAAAAAAAACTTTTTTTCTTTGACCATTTTTTCCTGATTTCTTACACTTAGTGCTTTAATGAAAAGTACAGTTTTAAATTACATAAATTATAATAAATTTGGTTTCAGGTTTGATTTGAAAGATCGTTTTAGGCATTGCAAAGTTGTCTGACACCAGGCTGGTTTAATTCAGCACTGAGAAGGCAGGCTGCCACCCATGGAACATAAGTATTGGGCACCACGATGCCTAGCAATTTTTCAGAGTTGTCTCCTGACACGACGAATTAAGAAACTCCTGTCTGGTTTTATCCATGATATGTGGAAATATGTATGTTATCCATGTGTATGCACTACACACATACAACATATATGTGATGCAAAAGGATCTTGACAGGGAATGTTTTTTCAAGAGACAGACTGAATGCTGAAAATTAAAACTAGGAATAATTAAATGAATCCTAGAGAGATGCTTCTGTTCAGTCAGATTTGAGATCTTCTTGAATAAGGCAGGAAATTATAACACTGTTACTAACAGCAGGATGCATTAGCACAGTCTGCCTAAATTTGGAAACTGAAGTACAAAAAGGAGAACCAGTTTAGGGTAATTATTTTCAAGGTGATCAGCCTTTATAATCTACATTTATTTACAATTATTGGTTATAGATGCACCTTATTATGTTTCTTATTTTTACTTATAGGATAAGAGTGAATCTTTTTTGTGGAGTACTACCACTCCTTCAACTACTTTTGGGAAATCCACGAGTCTTTCAGGGACTACAGTGACACCAAGTACAGAGGCAGCAAGTCAGATGAGCTCTGTTTGGAGTGAACCGATCAGCTTTGTTGTAACTCACCTCAGGCCATACACCACCTATCTTTTTGAAGTCTCTGCAGTTACCACTGAAGCAGGCTACATTGACAGTGCAATTGTTCGGACACCAGAATCAGGTATGTTAAATACATACTGCTTTAAAATGGCAATAAAGTTCTCAGATTTATGTGCAAAACTTCAAAATACAGGTTTGATTTTCTGCTGCAAGATACTTCTGTCCTAATCTGTCCTTATCTGTATCATGGTTTTGTATTTTCATGATTACTTAATTTTACCTGATGGAATCAATTGAAAATGTACATATATTTATGTATCTAATAATGTACAGTGAATGAGAGTTCACTTGTTGTTGGGAGACAAAGATACCAAAATTATGCTCAGGACAGATCAAATTTTATGAAAAACTGATAATTTATTAACTGCAAATAATAGAATAATGATAGAAGAATTGAAAATAACGATGAAGGGTCCTGAAGGGACAGGCATAACATTGCAAAAGTTTGTGTTTTGTGTACGCAGAAATGCACTTTAAGTTTCTTTGCCTTTGTTGAGAAATAAGAAATAATGAAGAAAACTGCCATACTTATGTTGCCAATGTGCACCTATTGCAGAAAGTTTCTCAGTACTGAAAAAAATCTTTAAGCACCAGATGAAGTTGATTTTTGATTACTTGCAATGCACTGAGAAGCTGGAATTGGAAGCAATGGTCCATGAACAGCACCTTTATAATGGCTTAGGTGGTGGAAACACTGTTAATAGAGCTATACAAAAAAGGCATTCCAGAGGAATGTTATTCTGGCTTTCTGTTTGCTAGTACATCAAGTACATCATTCTTTTGCTTGATGTGGTTTGATGTTACTTGGCTCCCTTTCATACATACAAAACAGATAGCATGTTCAGATAAAAAGAAATTTTATTCCCTCCTAGAAATGTGCAGTTGAATTGCTTTGATAGAATTTCAACAGCCTTAGTTTGCTGCTCTGTCTAGGGTTAATGTAATTTTGGTCAGTTTCTTTTCTAATGATTTCAGTTTATTTCAGCTAATTTCCAGTTTATTTGTCACCTTTGTCTCCTAGAAGTTACTTCCATATTATCAACACTATTGCTACCTTCCCTGAGAATTACATTAAACCATAAATCAAGCAATTTTAATGATTTTACGCTTTTATGGCTTCTCTTCAGAATATTTCATGTTTATGTTTAAAATTAATTGTCTGTTACGGGGTTCTTGGACATCCTAATGTAAAGTATTTTATATTCAAAGACTTTTTCCAATATTGTTTAAGTTCCAGAAGACCCACCACAGAATTTAGCCAAGAGCAACATTACAGCAAAGTCTTTCTCAGTAATGTGGGACCCACCAACCATAATAACAGGGAAATTCAGTTACAGAGTTGAGCTGTATGGACCATCTGGTAAGTCAGAGTTGATGTTACCATTTATTTTGAATAATTTGTGATTATTTCCTTACACATTCTTCTGTGCCTGCCAATCAAAAATGAATAGTCAAAACCAGTGTTATAGATCCCTTTTTACTAATATATGTTTTAATGGTTTGTAGATTAATTTTAAGGGAAAAGTCAGTCCACCAAAAGGAAAAGTATAAAGTTAAATTCAGATTAGATATTCCTAGGAATGGAGAAAATAAACTTCTCTCAGTCTTTCAGGAGAAGATAGGTTAAGCTCAGCTGAATTGCTGTGCTTATATATCTAAATCTTTACTTTTTTCTCTTTCTGTTAAAGATTTCTGGAGAATTTTCATTCTCACACAGTATGCAATCAACTCTTTAAGTCTATTTTGATGTTTTTGAAATTTTTTGAGCTCAGACATATATAGATACAGAAATTACAGAACTGCCTGTAGTTAAGTAAGACATAAACTGTATTCTAATTTTTATGGAACCACACAGGAAAAGTAAGATGCATTTTTTTAAAATCTCTTGCTCTTAAAAATCTTATCTCTTTGAAGGGGCTTGTTTGGTTGGTTGGTTTGGTTAGTTTGTTTGGTTGGTTATTTTGTTGTTTTATTCCCTATATATTCAGTGTTATTCCACTGAAGTTGATTCTCAATTAGCTTTTCCCCCAAAAAAATTTGTCCTCTCATATGTTCATCATACTAGAAAGTAGCCATGGAGTGTTTCTCTTTTAGACCTAAAATCTCCTTGTTTTTAATTCCAGGTCATGTTCTAGATAACAGTACAAGAGACCTCAAGTTTGTGTTTAGTAACCTTGTGCCGTTTACAACGTACGACGTGTTCGTCAGTGCTGAGACAAGCGCTGGGGTGGGGCCAAAGAGCAACCTCACAGTTTTCACTCCTGCAGATGGTAAGTAAACATAGAGAGGCAAAACAAATGGCTTGAACGAGACAAAGGGCTTCAGTTTTCCCTTCAGGGCCTTTAAGGTACTTTGCAAAGGAGAGAATGGATGTAAGAGCACTGCAAGAGAGGAAAAGATTACAAAAAAAACTAAAGAAAATAAATCCGCTAAATATTATTATGTCATTTATTTATTTGTTTTTGTCAAGTTCATACTCTCTCAGTGCATTTATCCGCTATCAAAGGCCTTCACAGATTGTGAAACTAATGTAGTGTCTTTCTAACAAAAGTAGTTAATTTCAGGTATAGTAATTAAGCTGCAGGGCCCCCTCTGCCCCGTTAGATGGCAGCAAGAGGAAAAGAAATTGCAGTCCCGCTGGTTGAGCCCCCTCGTTCCTTACGAAACCTCCTCTCCTGTGACTCATCCTCCCAAATCCAAGGTCTGAGGGGAGCCGCCCTCAGCAGCGAGGCCGGCCCCACGCGGAGCGCCTGTCCGAGCACGGCCGAGGGGCTGCTGCTGCCTCAGCCCTCGCTTCTATGGAACTGTGGTCCCAAAAAGCCAGCTCACCAGGTTAGAGCCCTTGGCCGCATGGGAATGCAGCTTTATCTCACATATATGTGAGCTTGGGCGACATTCTTGGTCAGCATTTGAGGATGCAAGCAGGAAAAATTGAGAGTTGGTGTGTAATAGAGAAGCAGATTCAAGGTGGTTATTTCTCTCTGACGTTTATGCTGCACAAAACAAATTTAGAAAATCTCTGCCTCAGGGATTGCTGGCAATTTGTTGTCAAGGTGTAATGCTGGGAGGAAAACATATCTTTATGTACTTATTGTATTCTTTCCTGAATAATCTTCTTTAGGCAGCTCTCAGAGACAATTTCCAGAGATGACCTACCTGGGTATAGATACTCATCTTGTGTTGAAATGCACTGACAGAAGCCAAAGAGAATTCTAGTGGTTTTGGGGTACTTCTAGCATAACACAGAGCGTCTTATTTAAATGCCAAATCTAATCCTCCTTATACAAGTAATTTAAAAATTTTGTTTTATTGAAGTGTATTAGGGAAAAAAATTTCTTTTTGTATCAAATCTGAATATCATTCTATTGAATAGAATGTATTTTACCTCTGGTTGTCCTATGGAAATTACAATATAATTAAGACTGAAAGTTTAATGAAGAAATTATATAAATGATATAATTTCTATCTATTATATATATCTATATTTATATACACATATATGTAATATATATAATATAAATAAAATTATATAAAACTTTTGTAAAAGGGAAATTAACAAGATAATTAGTGCTAACCTTTTATTTTCAATTATGCTTAGAAGTCCATATAGGAAAATAGCAAAGATCTGCTTGATTCCAATCAAGTAGACCGCAGTAGAGTGATCCTGGTGTACATCTTCGTCTCTGACCATATTCATACATGTCTTATGTGTTTTAAAAAGTGTGCATATTTTTAGAGTTGTAACTTGTTTGCTAAGAAAACATGAGAAGTAAGTCTCTACGCTGCACAGGATCAACTCAAAAGATAAGGATGTGAAATTGGATTGTCTATTGTGCTTTGTACACAGTGCTGAAAAACCTTGTAATAATCACAAGTGTTTAATGAACTCAAATTTCTTCTTGAATATTCAGTCCCAGGTGCTGTATCAGATTTACAACTAGCAGAAGTGGAAGCCACATATATAAAAATTACTTGGAGGAAGCCACAACAACCAAATGGAATCATTACCCAGTACAGAGTTAAAGTACACGTGCAGGAAACACTCGTCACTCTGGAAAACACTATTCTTGGAGATAAAAATAAGGTATTCTTTTCCCTTTTTTAAAATATGGATTTTATTTCAGATTAAATTTGCTCTCTGCCTTATCTGACATTTATAGAATGAACCAGCTCCCACAGGTAAGTTGTCAATTTTTTTAAAAGCCATCTTCATCAGTTCACTCTCTTTCTCTGACTGGCTTTCAAAAAGATCCCAATAATGCTGTTTCCACAACATAAAAAATTAAATCATTCTAGTAAAATGATCCAGCTGCTGAAGGCAGGAAGCCCCAGCCCACAGTCCTTGAGTTCTTTGCAGCACAGGGTGGCCAGACTGTTAAGAGTAAAGAACTGGGTGCCTAGATTGATGCACAGCCACTCAGTCAAACCTCTAGAAGACATGGGTAAGAGCCCTGTGAATTCAGCAGGAGTGTCCAAAGGCTAGCTAAGTGTTTTACTAGCAAGGCAGACAGGCTTAGACTTTCTGCCTCCTTTTGTATCCTTAAATTCACTTGTGTGATGCTATATGCTTAGCTCCATGCTGTGGTTGCATACTAAGGATGTCTGTGCACATCTCTGGGATCATATCTCTGATGGGACTTATGCTGTCAATCAGTTGAGCTTCTGGATTTTGGGTGCTGATGTGCTTTACGTGCTTAGAGCAGCTCTGAGTATGCAGCACAGAACTGTAGACCCCTGGCAAACATTCAGCTCAGGATTGAATTCTTTCTGGGTAGGGCTTTTTGGGCTGAATTTTGAAAACAGGTGCCCAAAGTCTGCGTAATTCCTTATTTTTTCAGACACTGATGTCTTTCACTGGATCTGAATTGGAATCTAAGTTTTTGATGTAGGGCTCAAGGAAGGAGTTCACTTTCAAGTTGAATGATATACATTAAATAGAGCCCTGGAGTCAAATGTTAAATAAGGAGCAAGGGGGAAGAAATTAGGATAAGGATCCATTCATTAAACCAGGCAGGCATCCTTAGAAAAGGAAAGTATATAACTCTGTAATTAAAGATTGTATCATAGTCCAGACACAAAAAATTAAAGTAGTCTGCACAAAAATATTTTGGTGATGGAATTTCCTAATTTTTGAGTTCTTAGTGTAGTATCATTGCTGCTTTATTATAAGTTATTGAATGTAATTTTCTAATTAAAAACCAAAGCAAATCATAATCAACCTTGTTTTATCTAGAACCACACTGACCATTGGTTAGAGCAGCTACAGAGCTTGAACTGGCAGAACCACTGTGCTAATGGTACTCAAAAACCAATAGCAATAAAAAGTTGTTATCTTATATGTGGAAAATCCTCACAAGCAAAAAATATTTCCATGTGGCCTACTATGTTGCTAGAAAAGGCTGGTGAACATAAATCATACACAGTTTTTACCTCTTGGTACTTAGGTGAGATTGATGCTCTGTCTGTGCCTGTGGCTAATGTACCTTGCATTAAAGGAGTAAAAAAGGGCCTTTGCCCTTTCTCTGCCCAGAGTCCATAGGGAAAGGACTAATGTGCATTAGTTACATCACTGCAAAAACATGTCTTTCTGGCAATGAGGTGGGTCATATGTGTGAGTGGGGAGCGTTCCAGATGACAGCAGAACAATTCAGAGATACTCGAGTCCTGGATTTGGTCCCAGATTTTGAAGGGGCATGAAGATCTGGTACTAACACACCATTTTGTACCTGTGCTCTCACCTCTCTCTTTTTTCTGCTTTTGTTTCTCCTCTCTTTGTTGTTCTTGCTCCACTTATATCTGCTGCCATTCCTTTCCAACATTTTTTTCTTTGCATCTTCTGTCCTACGGGTTCCTATATCACTTTACCTCCTCTACACTCCCTTTTCACACATATACACCCTTATTTTTCTTTCCCTTTTATTTCATCAGCTTCTAGTTTTCTCCCTCTCCTCTTATTCCCTCTCAGAGTTCTAGTCAGCCTGCTAATCCTTTTCTTGAGGAACTGGAAGGGCCATCTGAAGTCCTCTTGTTTTCAATGCCTGCTGCCTTCTTTCAGGTTATAGTTAGTACAAATAAAATCTCCAAAGTTCAAATGTGTATCTATTCAATATAGCTCCAAAGATAGCTGTAAAATTAAAGGCCTTACTTTAAATTTGCCACATTAATATAAAATATGTATTTTAAGAAAAAATTTAAGAAATAAATTTGGTGGTGTTTGATTAAACAATAAGCAGAATAAAATGTTGTAGGCTACTGGCAGCTGAACATTTTTATGACAAAGCTTATATTTTTAAAATTATTGTAATGATCAATCATGTTTGTATGCCAACAGTTTCATAGTATCTATATGCATGCACAAACATACAAGCATCATTTCTACATTATATACAAATTTAATTATATAATTTAGTGATGACTAGGTTTGTGATTTCTTTTTATATTTCTGTTTTATAGTATCTGGTTGATTCATTGGAACGATATGCAATAAATGAAAATATCAAACCTTCTTCTCCCCCTTGGAATTCAATGGAAGCAGACAATGATTTATATGAAGGTTCAGCTGAAATGTTTTCCAGCATTCAGACAGCTTCCCCGGTAATATTTACAAGTGTATCTGGTGATAATTTGCCTGATATAAATGGAGCTACAGGACTACATTCTGCTTTGGGTAAGAATTTTTAGGGTATTTTTCTACCTGCTTCTTTGTTTTGAAGGACCCCCATCACTGTCCCAGATATGATCTTTAGCACATGGTTCAAGCAAATTATAAATGGGTCATTTACTGGAGTCAGATTTTTTTACTACCAAATAACCTTCTGAAGCAAATGGGAATGCCACACAGGCAGGAACCAGCCCCTTGTCACCCAGCTGACCTTCTTCTAGTGAAAGGAGCACCCGAAAGCCATCAGCCAAGCTGCATAGACAATCAGTTATTACAGTTGCCAAAGCAGGTGTGATTGTCAGGGATTAACATATCTCCAAGCCCTTCAGAGACCTTGATTTTTCTAAGCCTTTTGACTAATAGGTTTTCAAATGTCAGTGAAGGTAAATAGGTCAAAAAGTTACAACTTTGCTGTATGGGTTACAAACAGGTGGAGATGACCCCATGACATGGTGATGTCATTAGTGAGTACACTTGTTCTGTATTATCAATGGACCACTGTTTCTTTACGAAGTATGGATATTTACAAATCATTAAGCAGCCCTCAGCTGACAGGCAGGGATTTCAAATATCACTCAAAAGTTTTACAGCATTTTGAATACTGGGGAGAAAATATAGGTTTTGTTTTTAAAAAAATTATTTAATTGTCACTGAATTAATCCATATGCATCAGCATCTAAAAACCAGAATTTAATCTTTTATTTTAAATGGCAGTGGATATTTTCTGTGCTAAGTTAATCCTGAAGAATCTTTGTCATACACAGGAAATGTACAGCATTTTAAATGTAAATCTTCTTTTTATGGACTCATTCAGTTTGAGGTATTGAGTTGCTAAAAGATGTCTGTGCTGCTGAAAATTTATTTCAGCCAGTGTCTGTTGTGATCTACCATCCTAGTATTGTTTTATAGGAGTTATTATAGTAGTTAAAGCTGTAGACAGCCACATTTTCAATGCCTTCATTTTAATTCCCTTCTCACTGAATTCTGAGCCTGATATTCAGGTATGTGAAGTGCTCACACCTTTTCATGTTGCATTGGTATAGTGAATGTTTTATAGCAGATGGTTTTGGCTAACACAGTTGGATTGTGGCTGTGTTTGAACTTTATTTTAAGTGCACTAAGCTCTCTTTGTAGGCATGCATGCCTTCATCATTCTACTGACACAACTCTTCTGGTAAAAATACCAGTGTGAAGGGATCTTGAAGGCAGCCTTTCCAAGTATTGGTCTAGCACCATTGGGAGGGAAAGGAAGATAGAATTAGTCTTTCTTGATTAAAAATATTTAAAACCCCTCTAAACCTCCATGAGTCTAGGAGCCATTGTTCTGAAATCACTGGAGAGACTACACCTTGTACAAAAGTACTCACAAAACCTCACAACTCTACTGGTTGCTCCTTCATTCTTTCACCTAGGCCAATCTATGTATTGTACACATGAAAAGGGACTCTTTAGGGAGTTAAGAGATTGAATGCAGACTTTTTTCTTTTTCTTTTTATAATTGACAGGTAAATTGATTCTTCAGGAATAAAATAGTTCCAGATTGCCATGCCAAAGTGAGTTTAGAATGCATAAGAAATAAAATTATTTTATGAGTAAGCAGCTATTTCTCTCTATTTACTCATAGATAATCAATATAACATCGATATTTTGGCTGAAGAAGTGTCATATGTTATAGAGGGCCTCACACCTTTCACAGATTACACAATTAGTGTGTCTGCTTTCACTGCTGTTGGAGAAGGACCACCATCAGTTCTTACAGTCAGGACAAGTGAACAAGGTAAATTGTAACTGGTATTACCAAAGTTGACATACATGACTTATTTCACTGAAAGTTTGAATTTTTTTACTAATTTATTGACTTACTGTATGTTTCTGTGTTTTTGTTTAAGTCCCAAGCTCAGTGCAAAATATATTTTACAAGAATATTAGCTCCTCCTCTGTCTTGCTATATTGGGATCCTCCAGCAAATCCCAATGGGAAAATAATTCATTATACTGTTTACGCTGTGGAACTGGATACAAAAAGAGCATTTCATGAAACAACTTCAAACAACAGTTTACTTATGACAGGTACAGTGTCATTTGAGTAAAAAAATTTAAACTTGCAAGTACATTTTACAAACTCATTTTTCCCAATTTTATATAATGTAGTAATTTGAAATATATATGGATCAAATCTCACACATTCACCCATGCCCACACACACACAAAAAATTGCATGTAAAAATCAGGTTGGGACACTACTCAGACTTGTCTACTGCAGAGGAATATGTAGGGTATGTGAGATGAGAGAAGAGGGCTGTTTAAGATAAACAGTAATTGTTGAAATGGTACAAGCAGGAATCTGTGAAATGGATTTCTCATTGGAATATTTGCCTCAGTCTCCTTTTTTCTTATAAGAAAAGATTGCTAAATTGTCAAGTTGTTTTCAGGTTTGAATTTTTTCCCAGTATTTTTCTGTGAAAAAAAATTAATAAAATTTTTAAAAACATTAATAAAAAATTTCTTATTTTAAGGTAACAGTTTTCATAGTAATTGAAGCAAACATATTCTTAATGGAGTTTCATTTAATCATTAATGCTAATCAGAATAATGCATACTGACTAAACCCTCATATTTGGATGTTCATATATGCATCCTTTGACATCCTTGACAAATTGTTTAAGCTATTTACAAGGTTGTAGCTGATCTACTTACCTCAAAGCCTGTTGATTTAACTGCATGCCTGTTTGACTGTCACCAAATAAATAGTATTGTACATATTCTTTTAGGGTGTATAAAGAACTCTCAGAACAGCATCCAGTAATGTAGTTTTATAAGTAGCTATGACAAAGGTCAACAGTCTTGTTTGTGAAGTTAAGAGTCAAGATTTTTTAAATTAATCTTTTCAGGTTTAAAAAAGTACACAAATTATAAAATGAGAGTCACAGCCTCTACTGCAGTTGGAGAAAGTGCTTTGTCTGAAGAGAACGATGTGTTTGTGCGCACCCCTGAGGACGGTAATACGTTGTTTGCAATGATGATTTATTTTCTTTACTGAAGTTTCTGTTTGTTCAAAAAGAAGATTAGCACATACAAAAAAGGTGAAACAAAGTGTATAGATAAAATCAACGTTGAAATTTTTAGTCTTCTATCAGTCAGTGACTTCATTCAGACCATTTTTAGGTAAGTGCTAAAAAAAAATAATGAAAGCTGTGTCATGACCTGCAACCAACTAATTTCAAATGTGATAGACAATGGAAGGAAAGCTTCAGAGTGAGTCTCCCTCTCTCAAAACAATATGTTCCTAGCACCCATCTAAATAATAATCTTTGTGACTCATTTTATCTTCTTTTTCTTTTTGTTATCATGTATAAATTAGGTTAGTTTTGAAGCATATGGACATTCCAACGATTCAGAAGTCATATTTCTATTTGTAGGAAAAGATGTTGATAAAATGAAGATTTTTAAATGCTGAATATAATAAGCAGTTGTTTTTGCATAGGTTTTATTAATTTTAAGACTGGCCAATAATTTTAATGTCAGGTATAATACTACATTACAAAGATTTTTGAATCTTCCTTTCTTGAAGGCAATTTCAACCCATGAATGCATTGGAGCAAGAGCTGGAATTTTCATTGGCTGCTGCAAAGAAAACATGGGAATTTGATTTGCAGAGCAGAGCCATGAATATTCGTGTTTTTTTGTTTGTATCAAGTTTGTATTTTCACTGGTTTCAGCAGTTATTTCCAGGTTTAGTGAAGTAATACAGAGCATGATTGCCCAATTGCTGTTTATCTCTCATTTTCAAATGTACTACAATACAAGAAAAATAATTGAGTGTAAATAAAGGAAAGAAATGGAGTACAGGATTAAAAATCATGGGTATTTATGAAGCTTAGGTGATTTGAATAACCACACAAAATATCAGATTGAATGGCGAAACTTAAAATAGTTGCTAATCTTTTTAAAAATTACATTCTTCTATGCTTTTAGTATTTTTGCAGAGGAAAAGCGTATCACTAGAGAAGAAAATTACTTATATAAGTATTTTTCTCTCTGAAAGCTTACAATCCCTTGCCTGTGAGTGTTAAAGAAATTTTTCATAGCAGAGTTTCTCTGTTCAGAGCCAACAGCCAACTGTTCATTCATTGATATAAGAGAAGTGCAAGGCTTGAGGAAACTAGTGAGAAACCCACTAAGAATTCTTGCCTCTTTTAAGGCTATCCATAATTGTTTATCTTCCACTTCTTGTTCTTTAGCTTTCCTGAAGTAATTCAGGCTGAGATTCAGGTGTCCTAATTTTAGCCAACCTAGAAACAGAAATTTGTTTGACTCTTGAAAGGACAGATGCCTCCAAATAAAAGATTCACTACAACTGTCTTAGATAACTTACATTAGGATGGAAGAAACTAGGCTGTTGCATTTAAATATTTTACCATGCCAGATAAATGGCAAAATACATTTACATTAAAAATTAAGCTTCTTCACATGGGAAATATTTATGTGGGTAGTCTTGTCATCCAGAGAGCAGTGATCTGTTACATTTAACACTTTCATTTGCTCAGAAATCAGGAACGAAAGTGATTTGTGGGACCTTTTAGGCCAAAAAAAAAAAAATTCATGATGAATTCTGAAATACCTGCAAATGGGTATTTGTACACAAACTGAATCCTATGATCCTGAGTAGGTAGTATATTTTTATCTTGATTTTACAGATGATTTCAGTAGTGAAGTAGTGAAGCCTTCAGAGGAATCAAAGTTGACATTCAGAGCTGATTTTATTCATAAGTGCAGCCCATTCACCTCTTCAACACTTCCATGACTTATTAGCTCACTGGAATCACATGAGCTCATACATTGCCAAGAGATTTAGCCACACACCACCCTGGAGCTGGACTTGCTTTGTGCATGACCTTCACACCAGAGTGTGCAAGATTTGCACAGGGTTCAATAAACGGAATTTAGTTACTGTGCATGCAGTCACTTTCTTGGTTCAATACTTGATTGAATGAAGTACTAAGGTTACTTACAAAGAAAGCAGTAAGAGGACATTAATCCAAGTTTAAATAACTGAACATGAGGAAGACAATAAGAGAATTTGAAGGATCAGTCTGCATGAGACAGGTAGAGAGAAAATTTTTTTTCTCTTAATAAGTGCAGTTTCAGATAGATTTAGAAGTAGATGAGAAAAGAAATTCCAGAAAAGCTAAAGTGTCATAAAGCAAAAAGATGCCTAGTTTTGTGGGTAGAAAAGAGACATATCAAAATTAACTAAGGTAAAAAGTGGTAAGGTTTTGAGAAGGAAAATGAGAAAATGCGTGTATCTCTTTTGGTACAGTTAGGATCCAATACCAGGATCCAACAGGTTTATGATCTCAGTTCTGTATTCAATTATTTGAAAAGGTTTTTTTCCTGATTTCTGTGTTGCAGAACCAGACTCCCCACCTCAAAACTTAGAATTAATAAATGTAACTGCAACAGAAATAAATCTGAGATGGTTACCACCTGAGCAGCCTAATGGTGTCATAACTCACTATGAAGTTCTGTACAGTGATTCCAATGATTTTTTAATCAAAAATGCCTCATCTACAAGTATATCACTAAGTGAAATGAAGCCATATACTCTCTACAACATCTCAGTAAGAGCATTCACCAGATTTGGCTATGGGAATCAGTCATCTTTTCCACTTCTGGTCAGAACTTCTGAAACTGGTGAGTACTTTTTAAAAAATGAATTTTTTTTACCAGATAACATTTAATGGCCAGGAGATAAGCTTCAACAATTCTAAAAGTATTTGCTTACTTTGCCAGGCAGTGAGTTTGAATCCCATTTTTCTCTTTTACATACAAAGCAAAAGAGCAAGGCCAGGTGCTGGGTAGGGGATGGGGAGCCAAGAGCCCAGGGGTCCCTGGGCCAGCTGAGCAGAGGCCTCGCTAGCCAGGACTTGTCCCACCACCCTGCTGCAAAGCCCACGGGGCAGGCAAGGTGTGGCAGCCAGGGCCAGACTGGAGGGCTAAACACCCCCTGCTGATGCAGCAGGTCTGAGGTCAAGGCAGGAAAGGAAGTTCACAAGTTGAGTGACAGTAACCAAGGCAGACAGAGCCCAGTGCCAGCAGGGCAGGCCTGCAGTGGGGCAGCCAAGCTGAGGCTGGCTGCTGTATCAGGCAGGGACTGGATGCAAGTCAGGAACTGGATCACTGGGACCATGGCCAAGCACAGCCATAACAGCAACGACACTGAATTGATTTCTGTAATTTTTTTTAAATTGCCTTGTTGGTACTGTGTGTGTCTAAGTGTTTTTGATCTTCAAATTCAGCCTCTTTTGAAATGTATTTAATTTAAAAAATAGAATACAAAGCCATATATTTACAATGTGTTTCATTGAAACTGGTTTATAAGAATTCTTTGCAAATCAATGAAATTGACTGGAATCTTCTATATTTTATCTTCTAGTTCCCGCTTCTGCACCAGAAAACATAACCTATAGGAACATCTCATCCATGGAAATTGAATTGTCATTTTTTCCCCCATCCATTCCCAATGGAATCATACAGACCTACACAATATATCTCATGAGGACTAATGGGACTGAGCAAAGAGTTATTAACACTACCCTTCTGACACTACGTATTACAGGCCAGTATATAATGATCTGGATCTTACGGAAACTGTGAGTTTTCCTGGGAAATGTGCAACAGACAGAGATATATTAGTTCATTGGTTAGACCTGATCCTTCTTGCCCTTACAGAAAATTTTTTGCTCCCTGTCCTGAGAAATAACTTGTGTCCTGTCATAATGTGGTGAAATGGCATTGAATGGTAGAGGCTAACATAAATCTCACTGTATTTTAGGTGTTTAAAGTACAAGGAACTTAAATGGATATCTTTGCAGACCTATCATTGTAACAAAGTAAACCCTCAAGTCAATTGCATATCTTTCTGATCTTATTCGGAATTATTTATCTATTTCCACTCATCTTTTTATCTTTTCCTAAGTTCTGTCATTATTGCTGAGGCATGGCACAACAACTAATGCTGGGAGCTCAGTACCTTCACTGCTACATTTTCAGAGTACAGTCAAGAACAAACGGCAAAGCATTCTAGCAATGTGAAGTATTAACTGGTAATTAGGGCTTTGCTCCTTTTGAAAAATATTTTGTATTCTAAGCTTTCCTAATGCTTATTTCAATCTATAATTACACAGATCAATGTGACAGGCTTATTCACCACTTCAAAAATACTTGCAGTCCATGAAAAAACTAATTTATTCCATTGATTTTTTTTATTAAATTATTCTTTTTTTGTTTAGATTTAAGTAAATATACAGAATATACTGCAGAAGTGTCTGCTAGTACCACAATGGGGGAGGGCGTTCGTAGTTCACCTCTGCATATATTAACTGATGAAGATGGTAAGTCAGAACAGAAGTTTCAGTTCATAATTTTCTATGTGCATTCTTAATTTACTCTTAAAATTCATGTCAGATTTTTTAAGTTTTGTGCAATTTTGTTGGCAGTTATATCTCTCCATTTCTATCTGTACCTATGTGTCTACACACAAACATATTTATCTATCTATCCATCTATCTACCAGTATATTTATCAGTACAAACTGTATGAAATGCTGCAATTGCTATGTGCGGACTTTTGATCTTACCAATATCTTATGAACCTGAAGTATCTTAATTATTTTAATCTAATACATGACATGGTAGAATTAAACATTGTATTTGGTTTTTCAGTCATATGAGAGCTGGGGAAAGAGAAAATGACAAAAAGGCAGTTTGGATGGTCCAGGGACATTTCTGTGGAGTTTCTTGTATTATTCTAAACAGATGCATGTACAGGTACACATAAATAGATATGAAATTATTAATATTATGAAAATGCCCAAAATCCATCATCTGTAGCACTGGACCTCCAAATTGAGCTGGGGCATGTGCAGGCTGAGGGTAGAACACAGTTGTTGCAACCCCTGGTAATTTTTACAGTAGGTCACAAGCCATCAGAGGAACCTTAAAATTATAGTTGTACTTTCAGTACACAATGTTGTAGTGGGGGTTATCATTGGTCACCTCTTGAGGTTCTGCAGGGGAATCCTGAAAAAGAATTCATAGTAAAAATCTTAGGTGCTGTAAGTCACATTTTGGAGAAGGCTGTGTCTCTTCCTCTCCTTTGTTTCAGGAGGAAATCTCTGGTAACCGATCTAAAGCGGCAATGACACAAGCAACTCAAGAGCTACTCCGTCAGTAAAAAAACTTTGCTCAAGAGTTATTTTGCTGTAACAAACTGAAAAGAGCTAGATTGGATAAATCAATTTTTTTAGCAGAGATTATTTTTATTTAGACCAATGTAGCTTTCTGTTCTTTAGCAAAAAAAAAGAAAAGAAAAAGAAAAAAATCCCTGAGTAAGAACTGTAGAATTAACTAGACATGTCAAAAAGATGACATTCACCATATGACAGATCTTTTATTGTATAGCCACTGAGGATAATATAACAAGTAAAACACAAAATACAGCTGTCAATTTTTTTTGCACCAGTAAATACACTCACAGAATGCAGTGAACCTTTGTTGATAAAAAATATAAAATAGTTTTTTCTATGATATAAGGAGTTACAAAACCTTTATGTCAACTTTCAAGATAGTGAAAGGAACAAGAAGTGAAAAACAACAATATTTATAATACACCACATGTTCCATATTCACAGGAACACAGTGTTCCAAGGTTCAGACCAAATGTTTCATAGATTTGCTAATAGTTCTGCTCATATTTTCAATTTTCATGCATGACTACAGCTATGACCTGAATTTTTAGTGCATGATGCTCTTTGGTTTAATTTGAGAAAAACAAATGTAATTGTAATATTACTTCATAGCGATGCATAGGTCCATGAATCAAGACACAGATAAAGATTCATTTCTCAATAACATGCTAATAATAAAGCAGTATAATTTATGTATACATTAGTTATTTGTCCTCAGAAAAATTAATAAGAACCTTAGAACAAAGTTAAATGTAGTCTAACATTTTCATTTATTTACAATGTTTCCTGCAGAGTCGGGGTGTGGTATCATCTAGGAATCATCCTAAAATTAATTTTAAGGATCTCAATGAATGCCTATCTTTTCATTTGCCCTTGTGGCACGTTAAATCTATGAATGTGGTCCTTATTTGATGGAGTGAATAGATTTTACTGCTGTCTAGTATCCCACAATTTTATCATCTCTCAATGCCATGCTTATCCACTTTTCCACCTTTTGCCACTTTGTATAATTCTTTACAGCACCTTTTTTTTCCTCAGGGGAACTATTATGCTGTTTTTACACATGTTCATATCTATAAAGCTCTTGCTTTTATTAGAAGGGGAAAAAAATTACAGCAATGTACTCGGGCAGTAGGTGAATCACTGTGACCTCGCCATTGCTCTGTTTTCTCATGAAGTACTTTCTCCATTGAATCACAGAAACAGATGTTCTAACAACACCATGCAAAATCCTTTGTCATCTGTCAAAAAAAGGAAAAGAAGCTGTGTCTTAACATTAGCAGATGGATTCTGTACCAGTGTGGTACCAGGTTAACTTTCTATCACAAATAATTCAAAGCCTATTTAAGGATGCTGTGTGTCCCACCAATCCTAGCTGTTTAACAAGATGTTGGGTCCTGTTCTCTCATTTTATAGCTCCAAGTTCTCCTCCACAAGCCCTCTCTGTAAAACAGTTGTTGGGTGTCACTGTGAAGTTGTCATGGAAACCTCCTCTGGAGCCAAATGGAATTATCCTCTATTACACAGTTTGTGTCTGGTAAGATTTTTCTGGAAGTACTTCTGAGGATAAATGTTAATCTGTAACCTATCAGGAATGTTGGGTTTTTGTTACACAATATGTTGAATACATGTTTTGGGAGAACAAATATTCATCCAGCACTTAAAATACTGGACTTTTAAAAATGCTAATTCAGACTAGCCAAAAAGTGGGGGAATAATTTCAGCATTTTGTAAGCATTTTCAACTTTTTTTCCAAAGGTTATGCTATAGTAAGTGAATTCAGATTTAAACTAGAGCATGATGCCTATTTTCATTATATTCTGATTAGGCCAGCTGCAAGGCAGGGTGCAAACCCATGCTGAATTGTGAAGGAGAATTGAAATAGGCTTAAAATAGAGAAATAGACAATATTGCCTCCCTTTATAAAGAGTGTGTAAGAGCCATGTTCAGAGTTTTCATATGTGCTATCAATTATATCTACTTCATATTTTGTATTTATTACATTCATAGCAAACACATATTTTTAACAGATACTTTTCATTTATTGTGTTCTAGTTTTTTCTATCTAACCTTTTTTTTATTATTTTTTTCCTCCTGTCATATTTTTTCACCTTTACAAAGGAGTTTTGTCACTTTAAAACTTGCAGCTTCTGTCCTATTCCTTGCAAAACATAGTTTGGTCTAGTGATGTGGCATCTCTTCAAAGATCCATAACTGCTACAGGGAGTGAAAATGGTTTTATTGATCACTTTTAATATGTTGCACTTATGCTTTATCATTTTTTTGCCATTGCTAAGGTGCAGGAACAGTAAATACTAAAGTGTATAAGACATGAACCAGATGTGCAAATCTTCAGTTGTTATAGGCATATTACTTTTAAGCTTACTTTATTTTATTGTTGTTTGAAAGTTTTGGGGTAGGGTTTGGCCTCAGTCACTACTATTTATTTTTTTAAAATTTCTAGTTAAGATGATGATAAACTTTCCAGAAAAGTTGAATTTATCTTCTCTTGTTAATTCTGCTCTACAGGGAATGTCTGTTGCTCTTTAAAATAATGACTGTCCTCAAGCTAGGGAAGAGTTACTGTATGATAAGGGCTATGTTTTTGATGCACGCTGTGTTCAAAGACTTGAGGTTATGCAACTTTTCGTCCTTAATGTTCCCTTATAACCTACTGCTTTTGTTACTGTGAGAAAAGATTTAGACATAATTATTTTAAAATAACCCCCACTCTTAAATGATCAATTTTTGTAAATATTGCACTTAGGCAACCACACAACTTCCTGCTGTAAGCCTTGCCCATATTCTTTTTGCTCTGTCTTGTCTGTCCTTACTGTGCCATGTCTAAATTTAGAGAGTCTTTAAGTATCATGTTAAGGCAAGGACATTGGAGAAAATCTCCCTTTACCTTCAAAGGCGTCAGAACTTCACTCCTTCCCTGGCAGGGAGCAAGGGGTGTGGAGGAAGGAGAGTAATTTTAAGTATTTAAAAGAGTTGTCTATACAGTTTCATCAAATGCACTGCAGGGGGAGATTTGACGAGGCAAATTGTCGTGCCATATAGTTGCTGATCTTGGGAGGTATTCAGTGTATTTTGGAGGAGACTGTTAATCCCAGCGCTTCTCAATTAGGCAGAAAGAAGGTTACTATAGTTGTTAAATAAATGTTCCTTCACTTAAATATTTTGCAACAGTTATAGAGAATTTGGTAAGCTTTCTTTAGATGATTTGGAACAAGGATCCACAATCAATGGAATAGAAAGGGTGATATTTGCAATGTTTTCAGTTATATTTCATGGAATTTGTCAGAGGTGGTTTTTGGTGCTAACAAGTAGTAAAGCCAATTTCTTCTTTCCTTGAGCCCAAAACCTCATACTCCTCAAATGTAATTTTAGAGTATTAAAGGTTCAATTAACAAAATTGCTGATCTTCTATGTAGCTATTGTTTTTTGCCATTATCTTTTTCTGCAAATTTTTTGTGAGATACTTATTGACTAGGTCTATTTTGAGATATAGATTTTTAAGAAAATATGGTACCTGTCTTTGTCAACTGGAATGATGCAATTTCTTGATTTTGTGTTGTCTGCATTTTTGAAAAAAATGTGTTTTAAAACCTTATATTATTTTTCTTCAGTAAAATTTATTGGCATAACTTTTTCTGCTAGGTACAGGTACTTTCTCACTGTTTGTGGAGGCTACACGCATTTTGATCAGTGTTTTCTTATTTTTATTGCAATCTCTGTAGTTTCTAAACAGAAAATCAACTTCTCTTGAAATACCTCACGTTTTTGCTCTTCTTTCTGTGCCTCATTGTGGAAATGTTTTTTGGCAACTCAGATGTAAGAATGCAGTTACTCAAAGTGAAATGTTCGCAACACTAAGCTATGGATTTTCTTCTCTACTTAAATTATAACCAGATACGTATTTCCATACTAAGAATACATTGGGCAAAGATCCAGGAAAAAATGTCTTTATGTCTTTCTTTATGTATAGAGTTTGATAACTGCAGCTGCAATCTCTTGTAAATTTTACTGACTATTAAAAATGTCAGAAGTTTGGGAAAAATGTAAATGTTAACTTTCTCTGTTAGCAAGAGTGTTTCCCATGTCAAGTGACATACCACTCAAAATCAGAGAGTTAGGATTTTTTTTTCATTCTCATAAATTTTTTCATTCCAGTTGTTTTCCAATGTAACCTTATTTAGATATATTAGATGGTGATCTTTGCCAATGGGACAGTCGTTCTGTTATCAAAGGATGAAAGCCTAGTAATTTTGAAACACTTTTCTTTTTTTTCTTTTTTTAGTATTAGAACACATTGTCATTTGTAAAGAGTTTCATGGTAATTTCTGGAGCAAGATATTTGGTTTTAATTATCAAATTATCATCTCTTTATGAAATGCTGTTAGAGACACAGGACACCTACTCATACAGAAATCTTTGAAGGAATGGAATGTTAGGTTTTTATTTTCCTCCTATTTCTTTCTTAAAAGATTATGTTAACTTTACCAGGGATACAAGACTTTTTGAACTCAAGTTAGTTATTTCTGTACCTTATTTTACTTTCTGATAATCATTTCATACCTATGCTAATACCAGTGTTTTATTAATGTTACATCTTACAATCTTTCTAGGCGGGTTTTGACCTGACCGGAGTTCCATTCTGATCCTCTGCTACATTCCACCAGAATTAACTCAGCACCAGCTAATTCCTGTTCCATATCATCTTCTATTATTCCATTTATAACTTCAGCCTTCTGACCAATTTCACAGAGTCACAGTAGGGCATGCTCCCTGCTATAATCTTTTTATATTTCGCTATTCCTGTCCAGGGAGACAGTTTAGTTATGCCCTACTGTGTCCTTCCCAAGGGTACCACATAACCATTTGAAAGCAGTTAATAGATAGAAATACTCCTCCTTAACATTTCATATAACCATTGTCTTTGTTGATGTAATTTGCAAACATATTTCTGTGGGTTTTTGGGGTTTCTTAATTTTTTTAAGAAACAAAATGGAGAGCCCTACTGTGATGCAATGATACAAAAATTATCTTTTCACCATAACAGAGAAAAAGTTATCCTAGCCTCTTTTAAAAACCTAAACTACTTGTATTTAACATGATACTGCATTTTTCATTTTTGCAAAAAAATGCCATAATTATATATATAGAGAGAAATGGTGTGTGTATACAATTAATAAAATACATTTTCTTTAGGAATAAAATGTCAAAGAGGAGTGTAAATGTAACAGAAACATCACTGGAATTCACAGACCTAGAATATAACTATGAGTATAATGCTTACCTAACAGCAAGTACAAGATTTGGAGATGGCAACATAAAAAGTGACACTATAACATTCAGAACTTCTGAAGGAGGTAAGCTTATATACAGTATAAACCTTTCTTTTCATTCAGCCTTAAAATTCTATCAGTCTTATTTAAGTTAATAAAGCCACTGAAGTAAAAGTGACATTTGACTTGTAAAGGAGAGACATTCTGCTTGTCTCTGTGGCTCTGTCTTTGCATATACAAGTATCTGTGGCTCTATAAAATTATAGTAGGTATTTCTATTAATTTACTGAGAAAAAAACTTAGCATTTCTCTTTGGGACACATGAAATCCAAATAATTTCATTCTAAACTTTGAAATAAATAATATTATTTTTGTAGTATATTTTAATAGAACCTTACTTTAAGCAGCTGTGACACAATTTCTGATAGGGAAAATACTTAGAGTATGCCTCTTAAGTCTGAAATATTTTTAATTTGAAAATTAACACTTTAATTGTACATTGATTTGTTTATTCCATTTTAATTGTTTTATACTTCCAACATGGAAAGTGACTTTTATACAATCGTATGATATGCTGTGCTTTGGAAGTCATTCAGTTTACGTTTTGTTTCTGGTTTTCCATCATTCATATTGCTCTAATCTGTTCCAAAATAGATAGTATGCAGGCATACTTCAGAATCACTGCATAGATATCAACAATTCCCCAGTGCACAACCACTTGCAGGATTAGCATCTATCTGAGCCATCCCTCCAAAACCTGTCTACGTCATCAGGTTGTAGATATTCACCGTTGCTATTGAAATGGGTATGGGAGTATGAATTCACTTTATTGGGACAGACTTTAATGAGCTGGTCCTGGGCTTTCCCCGTTCCCCCTCCAATTAATATTTTAATATTTTACACAAACTAGAGCAGCACAAAGCAAGAGAGATACATAACTCATAGTGTTCAGTGCTCTACTGCAAGTTCTGTAGAGCACTTTCTTGGATGGTGAGAAATATGGATTTAAATTCTCCTGAGCTAACTTAAGGATTTGAATTTAACTCTCCTACATCACTGTGTTACTGAGAATAACCATGTGCTGCTATCTTTATAAACAGGAGGAGGGACTAATGGAAGAAGACTTACAGAGGTCTTCCTGCACATTTAATAGGATGAGAAAAGAGGAAACAAGATAAATTATTATACTGTCCAAGCTTAAGTATCTGGTTTACCTAGACAAGTTGGGGGCCTAAATTCTGTTTATAATCAGAGAGAAAAAGCTTTAAATTTAGGTTTTGTGAAATAAATCCCTTTTTTCCCCTACTAATTGTATTTGGAGTATAGACACGTAACTCAGTCAACTTACATGTCTGCAAATGAATTTTCTATGTGCACATAGCAGTAAGTACAGGACAAATTCCATAAGAAAAAAATTACAAATGCAGCTAAATACAAATATGGTTGAAAAAAGTGTTTTAAAAATTCATTTTACATATATAGTTTTATTTCATTATTTTGTGAAGCAGTTTCTACACCATAATCAGAAATACATTTAATTTGCCATAGGATGTTGTAAAATCTACTAGAGTGGATGAACCTTGGGTGCTAAAGTGTACAAAACCTTGAGGTACAAAAGCTTTAGGTACGCTAAAACCTAACATTTTTCCAGCACCAAGTGATCCACCGAAAGATGTTACATACAGAAACCTTTCTTCCACGTCAATAATGCTATTCTGGTCTCCTCCTCAAAAGCCTAATGGAAATATACTGTACTACTCAGTTTATTTCAAAAACAATTCAGGAATATTCATACAGGTAAGCTTATTTTTATATTCTTTTGTAGAAGTCAATGAGATGTTCTAATAATTACTTAAAGATTAAATCAGTTTTATATTTATCAATAGGTTGGTTTTTCATATTCCCTTCATCATGATGTAGTTTTTAACCTTCCAAAGAAAAGCACAACTTGTAATCATATATGTTACATTGTGCATCTCATTGAGCATCATATCTTATAAGCATTAATGGCAATAGGTTTTGTTTAATATTCCATTATGCAAATAATGTGTGTATGTATATATATATATATATATATGTATATATGCACACATACACCTAATATATATCTACATACTTAACATTTGTAGTGAATAGGCTCATGATCCACTACATGCATGGCACACCCTCAAGAGTGTTTCTTTTAGTCTAATCTATCAACTTGAGTAAATTTCTGGTTCTGGTTTTACTTTTTAATACATGTTTGTACAGTATTGAAAATATGAAGGTAATGTGAAAGTAGACAATGCTTTTTTTCATATTTTTCTTACTCTCAAAAGGAAATGAATGTTTAGTATATTGAAGCAAAAATATTGTTATTCTGAAGTTAAACCTTAAAAGACAAAATCTTATAAATAATATTGAGATACATTTTCATTTAGTTTTTTTGCTGTTGCTGCTTTTGTCCTTAATTATGCAACACACTTATTAATCTCTTCTGCTTTCTGTGAATATCTTATGGTACAGAACTATAATAAGAAAAATAAACTTTACAGTTTTTTGGTCACAAGTTTTACACATTTGGAAGAAAAACAAGAAATATAAATTCATTTAGAAAATTATCTACGGAAAATAACCTTGACTGAATCAGTTTATGACCAAGATATGTTTAGGGTGAGGTATGCACGTTTTTGAGGATAACTAGAAAAAATGTTCAAAAAAGTTAGAAATAGCTGTGAGTGAATTACTGCTGGCATACTTCAGTGTACACACTTCTCTGACTCCTGTGCAAGTGTGTACTCTCTGGGCTCTACGTAGTTTCACGTGCAAGCAGGACTGTGCCATGAATTCACATCCTGATGAGATTAAAATTGGGGCTACAGTTCAGATCGTAGACTGTTTGCACACACTGCTACAGCAACAGCTTTTTTCTTAAATCTCTGGACAAACTTTACCTCAGTGCACCACCTGAGCTAACCCATGCTATGAAGGACATTTCAAGCAATTTTAGAGGAGAACTATGGATTTGGATTATTCCTGCCTTTAGGAAGGTACAACTCTTGTTGAGATGAATGAGTAAGGTGATGTTGGCACACTGAGAGAGAGATCTAAAACCCCCTGGGATGTGCCCAGGATTCTGGAAATAAAAGGAAGATAGGGAAGATGAAGCACAGTAGCACTGGCCCTCAAGGTGAGGGTCCAGTTTTATTATCATGTGATGCAGTTAGGCCAGGAAAGGATGGTGGCATGAGTGGAAGTTAATGCTGCTTTGGCATATTTTATGTTGTCAGAAGAAAAGTGCTGACAGTAGTTCTGCCTCTGTGTGTGGAACCTACCATTTTCATCCTTTTGACTTTGATTTTTATCCCATCCCTCTGCCCTCAGAAGATAGGTTTCAGCTGCTGTTGCATCTGTCTCTTAATGCCCATGGGTTATGAACATTGATCTCTTGAATCATGATTAAATCTTAATTTGTCTGCTCCCTTTAGCTCCTTCTGTCCTTCACATCCTGTCTTTCACTGTTTAGCATGGCAACTACCAATCTATTAGGACTGCAGTCCTAATCTGTACCTTGGCATTCCTGTGAATGCGAGACAGCTTTCAAACAGGTGAAAAAAACCCAATTAATTTCTGTTAGATATTTTCTATTACTCCTTTTACAACAGAGAAATGCATGTGTGAAAGTCAGCCTGACATGTGACTATATATATATATATGTGTATATATATATATGATCTATACAGACAGTTGTAAGCTGCATGAGTATGCATACATACATACATACATATAGCTTACAACTTTCTGTAACTTAGAAGTATGACCATGTAATTGCAGAGTCTGTTGCTAAGTTTTGTATTGCACACATTTAGAAAGAAAGAATCCTTGGCTGTGTCAAGATCACCATTCTACTTTTGTTTAACCAAACTGTATTTTCAGTTTGAGAAATTATACAGGAGAATTGAAAAAGTGGGTGATTTTTTCACATTTCACATTTTCACATTGTGGGCAGCCATTCTCTACCAGTCTTTTCTCTGCTTCTTTGTCAGGACATAATGTCAGAGGTTCAAGTCTTAAAGCATAACTTCTAGATGCCTGAATAAACACCCTTGCTGAAGAATATCAAGCAAACTAATATCTCCCAATGCTCTCATAACCTGAAATAGATACAGAAGTCATACTAAACTATTCTGTTGTCTCAATTTATCATTGTCTGTGCTATTCTGTTGTCTCAATTTGTCACTTCTCACACATTCTCAAAATACTCAAACATATTAAAACCTAATTAATATAAACCACTGACTATTAATATGTTAAAACTAGGAAGTTATTTGTTGCAGAGTGAAGCATTTTGTTTAGGAAAAAAAATCCCAAATACAAAAAAAGACCTGAGATAAAAGATACAGTTTACTCCTTGACTTGATGCAGAAATTTGAGTTTTCTGTCAAAAAGGGAAAATTTATGTACCTTCATCAGTCAGAGAAATAATCTATAGTTTCTTTGCTTTACTGGTCTACATGAAAAATAACACTGCAGCTGTCCAGTCAGAAGGCCTGGGATGCTCAGACCTAAGGTTCAAGACCAGAATAACAGAAGGAAATATTTAGTGATGGAGATTAGATTTAAGGATTTGGGTAGATGAGTGGGCTGTTTCTATGGGGATGCTGACAGTTGTAAAAGAAAATGTGTCAGAGAGGGAGGAATGGCTGGTAGCCAACTAGAATAAACCATCACCTGCATTAGGCTAGGTTCCAGGCCAGCTTTTTCTTTCATTTTTTGCTGTCATAGATCTAGGGAAATTGCTACTTCTGGGTGTATATACCCTGTCCCAGTGCAGTAAAGATATGACATGTATGCTGACAAAGAGTACTTCCTTCATAGATGACATGACACTGTACCTCTTCTTCACCTCACTTCTCTGTGACACTGCTGGGTTCCTACAGTTCAAGATTGCACTGTTTGCAATAGCAGCTTTGCAAGTTTTGTTCCACAATGCCTTGCCTGGTTCTTGAAGCAATCATAATGCCCATACTCTCAGTCCTATCAAGGAAATAAATCACAGATTCAATGGAAGTAACTTTCTCATGGCTAAATATGAATCTATGAAATATATCATTGGCTTGAATGAACTCTGTTATTCAATCTCTATACTTCTGTTTTGATTACCAAGAAAGTGGAAAGGTGCTAATTACAATCATAAATAAATTGGCTTGGATGAACTCTGTTATTCAATCCCTATATACTTCTGTTTTGATTACCAAGAAAGTGGAAAGGTGCTAATTAAAAACATAAATACCTGCTTCAATAAGTTTCCCCCAGTGTAGGAATTTCAGTACAGATGAAAGCTGCCAAACAGGGGAACCAGGGGCAAGGACCAATCATAAATAAATAAATTTCCCCAGTGTAGGAATTTCAGTACAGATGAAAGCTGCCAAACAGGGGAACCAGGGGCAAGGACTGAGAAAAGTCTGTGATCCTTCTAGCAACTGAATATCTGACCCCAAATCATCCAACCTCCACCTCAAGCAAAGCAAAATGAATATGACTGGATACAGTTCAGAGTGAAATTCAACTTGGTCTACCCTTGGGATCCAGACAAGGGATGAAAACAATGTCCTGTAGTACTTAACAATCAAACATTTTCTTTCACCGGTATGACCAAAGTAGGGATAAAAAGGGGAACTTCCCTACAATACACCACAAATTTAAAAAAAGCTGGTCTCAGAATGGTACAGAAGACAAAAAGGAGATAACTTCACTTGGGTTTGTACTGGAACAGTGAATATTACACTCCTTGAAGGATGGTTGGGATTAGCCCTCACAGTGTCACCACTTTCACCTGATTCCCAGAGACAAGCATGTGATCCTCTGACTCAAAACAAGAATGCAATACAAGGAACCTAAAGAAGAAAACAGAGCAGGGGTAAAAGCCTAACAGTGAAGGAGAGCATCACTGTTTTCCTTATGCAGCTAATTACAGCTTTTTGCCACTGCAAATGTCTGCCACTTCCTGAGATGAAGAAGATCCCAGTTTCTGCTGACACTTTCATGGCTTGAGTGTATTGCTTACATGTAGCTGCTTTTAATAATCTGATACTTTGCTATGTCAAAACTTCTTTCATGTATGGATGAAGAAAGGGACAGAAGGAAGAATTTCTTCAGCTGTAGCCAAAGTTCCTAAGCTGCTTGCTTTCATCTGCAGCCACAGTTAATTGTAAAACTTCCTAAAGTGTTCTATCCCCAGGGTACAATTAGTACAGGTTTCATCTTTTTTCAGTTTGTACCCACACAGCTCTTCCTGCTCACTGTTTCTCTTAATTATGTGTTCCTTTTTTTTCCTAATATTTTGTCATATCAGTAGTTTGAGATATCTCCCCTCCTTGGGCTCCTCACAGTAAAGGAACTACCTCTTAAAATAGTATTTGTTGACCCACCAAAACCCTGTTATTCATGTTGGTTCACTGAGTCCTTAACTGTCAGACAGCTGACTAAATTGTAAAGGTCTTTTTAAACTAAGAGTTGAATTTTCAGCTGTTCATACCAATAAACTCTCATTAAATCTAGGATCAAAACTTGATGAGGTAGTCTTGACATTTTACCTTGAAAACTCAGGTAATTATTTAAGGTCTTATTTTAAAAAGCCCTGATTATTACATGTTGTTTTAAATTACTAATCGTTGCTAACAATAATAATAATAATAGTAACAACAAGAGGATGTTAGAATGCTTCCTCTGGGCCAGATGATGTTTTCTGTCATACCCTGCTTGTGTATCAGAAAGTTTAACTAAATACCTTAGAATCTGATCCACTGTTTCCTGTATCTTACCAAATGTAACACAAAGCACTTTCCAGCCTTTTTCAGTTAGGTATGAAGCTAGTATGAAATCCAAACTACTTCTAGAAGAAAGTCTATTATTAAGGTGGAATATTTTGTATTTTGACTGATGTTGACATAACCAAATCTATTTGGCAAAACTGACAGTGTGCTTATGGTCAGTTAATGAGTGGATACAAAAATTTGTACTCACAATTTGTGGAGCTTCTGTTCTGCATTCAAAACAATGGATTAAGTTTTCATTGACAACCTGTTTACTTATTTATTTTATGTCAGTACTAGTGACTGCAGGCAAAACTGCAGGTCTTCAGATACAGGCGCAAATATCTCAGGGAAATGAATGAGAGTATCACCTATTGTTTTCTGCAAAAAGAAAAATATTTCGCCCATAAAAAAATTCGGTGAAGTCTTGAATTAGATATATAAATTGATATGTACTGGTGGCAGACATCAAAATTGCATACTGAACTATCAGTTTGCACAGTATGGATTCAACTGTGTGATAAAGCATATCACAATGACTTCTTCAGTAAGAACATTCCTTATGAGAAATGTAATCCATTTTTCAGCTGCAGTTTTAGCATTCCTGTACTTATATACGGTATTTCTAAATTGTAATACCCAAATATTTCTGTTGCCTTTCTCTTGATTTAGTAAGTTTGCTCTCACAGCCTCTCTTTTTCAGAAAAAAAATTCCTTGAAAGCTAACTTGCATTTTAAAGTAGAGGCTTTAGTAAGTTTGCTCTCACAGCCTCTCTTTTTCAGAAAAAAAATTCCTTGAAAGCTAACTTGCATTTTAAAGTAGAGGCTTTAGTAAGTTTGCTCTCACAGCCTCTCTTTTTCAGAAAAAAAATTCCTTGAAAGCTAACTTGCATTTTAAAGTGGAGGGTGTGGATTTGATCTAACACCAAAAATAGAGAGCAGGCCAAATAGCTGGAATTCATCAGGGGGTTGGGCAAAATCCAGCTCATCCTGAAAATATTGCTATGTGGAAAAGTTAGGATTTCTTTGGTCCTGAGAAGTGCTGTCCATGCCATTTGCTCTATGAGGCAATGTGGCTGCTGGAGAGAAATGCTACGGGCTCTTTGAATCAGCAGTGAAGATTTGACTTGCTACCCAGTGCTTGAGCTGAATGTGTTTGTGGGCTAAATATCTTCTCAATAATTTTCTAACCATGAACTAAACTGTGTTGGATCATCTGAGTCAGGTTCCTGTAAATCAGTGGATGATTCAACACATTCAACTTCAATTGATTCAACTAATGTGGTATAGCTGAACTTACATAAATAATAAGCTTTATATTTTTTCTTTTCATCTTCCAAAATTGTTGATTCTAAACAGGAATAGCCTCCTTAGAGGTGCTGATCTTTGCTGCACTAACTTGTTGCTGTAGTCACAGTATTGATGACATTTTTTTATATAGTTCAAAAGACAGTGGGACTAGGTTCTGCTGCTATCCTTTCAGTAGCAAGTAAATGCACAAAGAAAAAAAAATTCTGTTGATGTCTTCAGTTTAACATGGTGCACTCACTATAGACATTTCCATAGAGATAATGGCATGGTGTTACTCCAAGGGACAACTAACAAAAGGAACAGTTTATCAGGGGGTGCAGTGAGATCTCTGCCACTGAAAGTTTAAAGTTTAAAATCTACTCTCATAAAAATAGATTAAAGAGAGAGAAATCTTTTTATTTGATTAATAAGGAGCAGCCAAGGCATGTGTGATTCATGTAATCTATAAACAAGTAGCAGATGCTATTATTTTTGTCATTTTCTTGATGAAATATGGATAAGCACACTGCAATATTACAGTTTTAATCCTTGAATTGGCATTCAACAATTACAAACAACAGAAGAAGCCAATCATGTACTCTGCAGTACTTACAAGGAGTATAAATAAACATCATACAATCAAGTATTTCAGAAAAAATCAGTACTCATTAGGAGTCAAAACATAGGTTTATGTCTTCTGAGTGCTATGGTCAATCACATCTGCTGGTGATGGTGGTGATGGCTAAATGGGGAACTAGAAAGAGAAATCAATGAATAAAAACCATTTTAAGTGGTAACATTTTCTTTTATTTCTCTCTTTAGAATTTCACAAGTTATGGTAATGACAGCAACCTCAGTGCGTCTCCATTTGTAGTGCTGGATGACTTGGCAAAATACAGCCATTATACTTTATGGTTAACTGCAAGCACAGCATTTGGAGATGGAAACAAAACCAGTGAAAAAATAGATGTGTATACAGATGAGGATAGTAAGTTAATAACTTTTTTAGTGCTCATTGTATATCAGTGCTTTTATTAAATATTTATTAAATATTGTCTAACTTAAAAATTAATGTACTGTTATGATGGCAAAGTTAAATAAAGACCATTAAATGTGGTTTTCAATGCTGCAGTATTTATCTTTGCAAGGAAGGAATTTTGATCTGTGTCTTTGAAGTACTAAGAACATAGCGCACAAGCCTCTGTGGATACAAGCAATAAAATTGTCTTAAGCTTTAATTAAGAGTTCTCCTAAACAAGTTTAACAGAAATGATTATTCATATATGCCTTCAACAATTTTGCTTTTGATATTGAAACACAAATTATTTTTAAAAATTGTAAAAAATGTGACAACTGACACTTTCGTACTAATTATATTTTGAACAGTTATTTCTGGTTGGGGTTTGAATGTTTTATTACTGTAATCCATGCATTTAATTTTTTGCTTATTATCTCTCATAGTCCCAGAAGGTTTTGTTGAAAATCTGATCTATCAAAACATTTCCTCATCTTCTGTAAATGTAAGCTGGCTTCCACCATCCCAGCCAAATGGCTTAGTCTTCTTTCATGTTTCTCTAAGTTTAATGCAACTGGGAACCAGTAAGATATTATCTTTCCATACTCACAACACAAGCATAATTTTTGATGATCTGGAGAAATACACTGATTACATTCTGAAAATCACACCAGCCACTGATAAAGGAGCTTCTGAACGGCATACTCTAAATCTTCATATAAGAACTGATGAAGATGGTAAGATTAAGATATTTTATTAATTCCTAAGGAAATGTATAAAAAAACCCCAAATAACTTTCTAAAAGAAAAAAAATGTTTATTTTTCTTGTTTCACTTAAAGTGTTTTTGTAATACAGTTACACAAACAACTACCACACATTTCTATTTTAAGACTGTGAAATAGAATTTTTCATTGTAAATCATATTTTTCTGAGTTTATCCTTGTTTTTCCCTTTCTTATTTCTTCATATAGTCCCAGAATCAGCGCCTGTAATGAAAACATTTTCAAATCTCTCAACTACCTCAGTTATGCTTTCATGGGACCCTCCTGTTAAGCCAAATGGTATTATAATACATTATGATTTAAATCTATTTGGGCCAGAAAGGAATAACTCATTCTCTACCACAAATAATTTTATAATTTTGGAAGACCTTCTGCCATTCACATTGTACAGCATTTATGCAGCTGCCAGAACAATAAAAGGACCTGGTCCATCTGCTTTTCTTCAGTTCTACACAGATGAGTCAGGTGAGCAAACTCAATTATAAACAGCTTCAAAATATCAGGTCTATTGCAGCATCCATCTTAGATCTGAGCATCAGACTTGTTGATATGAAGGATTAATTTTCCATTGGTCTGTGAGTGAAGAGCTTTCAGACAAAGGAAGCACTGGAAGGCAAGTGTTTCCTGAGTGCTCCTCCTCCTGCCACAGTGCTCAAAAGGAGGTCACATTCTGCATAGGATTACAAAAATAACTCCATGAAGAAATATCTTTTGCCTTTGGAATGTGTTATGCTTTTCAAAGTGTCAGGGATTTTGAGGCAAACAAGAGTACCTTTCTCTTCATCCTCCCATGTAATTGATAAATGATAAAACATGGAAATATTTCTGACACATTCACACAGTTCTCCTGTACATGGACCTCCTCTCCCCTGCATGGTAAATTATACATATTTTAAATATATGATGAGTTGTGCTCCATATATGGTGTAGGAAGCAAAGGATATCCCATTCCAGTCATATATGTAATATGACTTCTGACGAATATTTTAGTTCTGACAGTAGGGATGTTTAAGTGATTAATAGATTTGTTAGATCTCTTCTAAGATCCCTTACTGTCTAAACATGTATACTGGATTAATGGAATTTGTTTTATTTCAAAGAGGAAGAAAAAAGATTGAATTAGCAATGAAGTACTGTTAGCTTGAGCTCAGATACAAATGTTAACAAAAGTGCCTATGCTCTCCTGCATGTGTTGTTTTGCCTGGAGTATTTGTGATTTGGTACTCAATAGCATTTCTCTTTTGCAGTGCCATTAGCTCCACCCCAGAATTTGACCATTATCAACTACACCGCAGATTCTGTGTGGCTAAAATGGGATCCAAGTCCCCAGTCAAATGGTGTTATTATGAGATATAATTTTAAGATTTATCAAAACAACACTGAAAAACTATATTTTTGGGTATGTTTATAATTAAGAGTGTATAATCTTTTAAAGTATTTTTTCATGCTTTAGGAAAAGAAAAGATGGCAAATATTTTAAATGTCTACTTTGCTCCCAGAATTATGAAGAACCTATAAATTCCTATTTGCTAAGACAGTTTATTTTCCTTCCCACCGTATCTGCAATTCAATTTTTCAAATTAAACAGAAAAATAGTTTGATTTTAATGTGCTTTGAATTTTCCTTCCCACCATATCTGCAATTCAATTTTTCAAGTTAAACAGAAAAATAGTTTGATTTTAATGTGCTTTGAGCTTCTAATGTTTCATTAACAGTGAGATTTATTAATCTTGGTATTTTAGTGTAAGCTTGATGTTAGAAAATGACAGAAGTTAATTGCTTTGTGTCTACCTTTGTTTAACTGTTTAGTATCTATGGACTTTCAAGATTCAAAAAATTTTTCCATCTTAAAAAATAGTAAAAACTGTTCAGAGGTCTCCATTAAAAAAAAATTGAATAAGAATTGAGTAAATTGTAATTGAAGTAGATACTATAGAAATGGGCTAGATGGGGTGGAGCTCTGAGTAACCCAGTCTTATGGAAGATTCCCTGCTCACATTATGGGGGTTGGAACTGGATGGTCTTTAAAGGCTCCTTGCAACCCAAACCATATGAATCTGTAATTTTATGATATACAAAATTTGATCAAGGCTTAAATCTGATTGCTTGGGTGGCCTCAAGGAATGCTCCATGAGCTGCAAAGGCAGCAAGCTGAGGTCAGGATTGCATCTCAAGCTTAGCAGCTACGTAGTGAGCCCTGTTCATCTGAGATGCTTGTAAAAGCTGCAGGAAAAGACAGTGTTGCAGTGAGGTCTGCTGTTATTCCCCATTGTGGGAGGAAGTGCTGGCATCATCCCAGTTTCTTCTATAATGCCTGAAGGCCACAATGTGCACGTGAAAAAGGAACAGTGGATTCTACAGCTAGCTACCTTTGAAAACAAATTCTTTGGGTTTTCATAGAAACCACCAAAGATCTGTAAGAAAGTAGAAGGTGAGAGGGGTTGATGTGAAACTAGAAATAGTTTTCAGTATTTGACTGCGAGCTACTCAGAGTGGAAGAGGCAAAACAATGGCTGGAAAGCTTCTGTTCATTTCATTAGGTCCAAGATGAAGGCTACAATGTTTCTAGAGATTAATTGTGTACTAATAATATTTCCTTCCCTAAGAACATTTCAGGTTCAAACCATGAGGCAAACATTGTTGGATTAGAACCATACAGCCCCTATTTTATCAGTGTCTCTGCATTTACCAAGCTTGGGAATGGCAATCAGTTCAGTAATGCTGTCCAATTTACAACAATGGAATCAGGTTAGATATGACTTTTTCTAAGCTGCAGTTCTGAGAGTTTTAAATATATTTATATTTGTTTTCCTTTTATGCTTGAACACAAGTCTTCCTCTTCTCTCTGAAGAAAACATAACCTAACACTATCTCATTGTCTCTTGCCTGTGTAGCACCGATTCACATTCCTATTGTAGACTATGTTTGAAGTCTGATTTCGGAAGTGTAGAATTAAAAATGTCCTCATCTGAAATGAGAGGCTTACATGGCTACTATAAATCTTTTAATAGCAGCACAGATAAAGGGAGGAAAATTAGATAGGTATCAGTCTTTGGAGATCAAAGCAAAAATTCAGATCTCTATGAAAATAACTGAAACATTAGCAGTATCAAAAGCAGCTGAACAAAAGATTGGCAAATGAACTGGAAATTATATTAGACAAATAGAAATTTCTAACTTTTTTTTTTTTAGAATTTATTTTAGGTAGGAAGATAGCCACTAAAATTGAAATACATAACATTCACTAAAGAGAGCCTGTGGGTTTGTGAAACTGGCTGTTGTGCAAAACTGTATCTCCTTTACCACATCAGAGCAACCCCCAAGCTCTGCAAGAGCTGTCAGTGCCAGGGAACAAACATGGGTTACAGGGCTCCCAGTTTCCTCTACACTGTTAGCAAAGGGAGCACACCTCAAAAGAAAAAGATCCCATATGATGACTACAGGTCTGCCAAGATCATGCTTCCAGTGAAGATTCTTTCCAGAACTGGTAAAGAAGAGTTTCTGGGGAAGAGTTTTGCAGTTTATTGTACCAAAGAGTTACAACACCGTCAGAAATCTGGACCATCACTGAGCTGGTTCAGTTTGTCTCTTTGACTCCTGCAGCTGAAGGTGGTCCTCTTCAAAAGCCATGGTCATCCATCAGTTGTTTCTATTCATCACTGACATTCCATACTTGTGGTACTTTCTTCATGTCTCTTTAACCAATTGTTCATAAATAATATCTCTATTTTCAAAGTGATTTTAGTATTTTCTACCTTCATTATATTTTATGAGCATTAAAAAAATTTCTTTTACCACTACCAGCAAATAGATGGGAAACAATAAATTGAAAGAATTTATATGAAAGCTCTGAAATCTGCCCAGTGACTTCTGTACAGAGAAATGTAATATAGTGCCTGAAAGAAATAAGGCTGACAGATTTATAAGAAAACAGATAAATAAGGAACTTCTGCTGTTGATGGTGTTGCTATGTGTATGGAGTAGGTATATACAGTATGTATACTGTATATGTTCTAGTACACTGCATTTAATAAAACGTAGGGAAATATGAGCAAAAAGGTTTTTTTGGGGAAACAAAACTGAAGCCCACAATTAGGAAGAAGCCAGATAGATGGCCTCTTCTCTCTCAAGTACTAACATCAGTCACATTCATAGCAGTTGGAAAGTAACCATCTAATGAGGACAAGGTCATAGTTTTGCTCTTTCAATGTGTTTTTTTATTAATTTGTCTGACACTGCAGTGTTTGACTCTTGCTATGAACACTGGGTTTGCTTCTCTAATGCTACTGTTGTGTGATTACAATTCCAGTTGTGTGTGCATGTTAATCTTTGGTGCCTGTGTGTCCTTTAAGTGCCAGATGCTGTACAGAACATTCGTTGTATCGCAATGAGTTGGCAATCGATCCTAGTGCAGTGGGACCCTCCTGCTTCAGCCAATGGCATAATTACACATTACATCATAGCAATTGAAGGAAATTCTACAAATTTTTCATCTTATGATACACTGCATACTTTTAGAAATCTGCTTTCCAACATTACTTATCAAATAAAAATAAAAGCTGCAACATCTGCTGGTGATGGTGAAGAACAGATATGCAATGCCAGTACACTTCCAGAAAAAGGTAAATAATTATTCAAGTTAATTTTTTGTTTAATTCAAATTATGACTATGAAACAAGCAGGTATGAAAAAACTTTCAATACAGGGAGTTCAATCATTCTGTTTATATTTCTTGCTAATAGTGAATGAAGAGAAACAGGGCTTCCTCTTTCTATTGTTTTAGAACACACCTAGTGATGAGAATAAGTTGCCATTTTTAAAAGCACAGTGAGAACACCTTTTTCTGTGTGAGTTTGAATAGTTATTTTATTAATTTATGATCACCTATTATTTTTTTGTTGTATAATATCTGCCTCATTCCTAGTGTATTTAGCAGATTTGAGACTGTATCTCTGAAAAAAATTTTAGGAGTGAAATTTTTGTTGTTTTGCTTTTACTAGCAGACAATGGTATGAATTCAATAGCAATAAAGCTGTTCAGAATTCAGGAAATTGAGAATTTAGCCTCTACAAGCAAACTTTGTCATAACTTTTCATAGGTAGGTTTTTTTAAAAGAAGACGGGAAATTGTGAGCTAAATGCAAAGGAAAACATAGATAGGTTTTCTGGGACTGAAGCAAAAAATTGTTACCCAAAGTCTGTCTTCCTTTTTCTCTCCACATACACACACTTCACACTTCACCTAATCTTGGTAGTGCTCTCACTTGACATGTGAAACATGGAGATGTTTTTGCAAAATATAATTAGTTCTATGTGAATAGCTGTGTACCTATCCTCCAAACTGAAAGTGGAGAGGAGCTCAAATCTGAATCCAGGAAACAAAGGCCTGTTTGAGTCCTCCAATCAGGGATGATTGTTACTCTTGGGACTATTTCTTGGGATTTTTTTCTTCTTTGGTGATAGTTAAATATAAAAATTAAAATTTGACATGTGAAACATGGAGATGATATTCTTTGCAAAATATAATTAGTTCTATGTGAATAGCTGTGTACCTATCCTCCAAACTGAAAGTGGAGAGGAGCTCAAATCTGAATCCAGGAAACAAAGGCCTGTTTGAGTCCTCCAATCAGGGATGATTGTTACTCTTGGGACTATTTCTTGGGATTTTTTTCTTCTTTGGTGATAGTTAAATATAAAAATTAAAAAAAAATAGGTTAAGCAAGAACCATCCAGATAAGATTTCACATTTCTTCTAAATTACAGGAGAAATTACTGCATTTAGCTCTTTTTTTTGTGTTCTCTTAAGTGAGATTAATTTATGCAATGGAGTTTAGGAGGTCTCTATTTCAAAAAAGCTGGGTAATTAGAAAACACAGGGGTGGGATGGAAGAACACTACTGTACCTCAGAAGCTTAGAAACCAAACCTAAGCTTTTGTAATACTTTACTCCTAAGTTTTTTAATAACTTAAAAGATGAGTTGCAGCACTCATATATACTTCAGCTGAAAAAGTGAATTTTCTCAGATCTGTCAAATAATAAGCACAAGACTCTGTGTCAGGAGCAAGGTTTTGGTTCAGAATGACAAATGGATGGGAGCAGCTTGCCTATGCAGACTTGGTTCAGACACCAAACTTTCAGGAGATCAGACTAACCCTTACTCTTAGAATTCCTGTTCCTAGCTTCCTGAGTGGCACACACCTCCACTGGATCCCTGCTGTCCACAAAGCCTTGGTCTCTCATTATGAGCTTTGATTTCCAAATTTCTTACAATTAGACTTGTGGATGTGCATGTCTGAATTAATATAGATCACATCTGTGTTGTGTGCTGAGCTACTGCTGCTTTGGTACCAGATCAAATGGATGAGCTCCAAATGAGGACAAGCCCCTTGCTGGCATATTTTGGCCAACATTGTGAAAATAGCCAGGGTTGTACTTTGATGACTGCCCCGCCTCATGATACAGTCTATCCCACTAAAGCCTGGCCACATCTGTTATTTGAACTATGACGTGGCACATTCATACACATTTCTGATGAACATTTTCTGTCTAAATTGGCTTCCTTGTCAACAGTTCCCCCACAAATGCTGCCAGTTTGTGATCCCTGATGGTCCCATTCTGTCCCAGAACCCAGGCAATTTAAAACTTATGCCTGATCCATCTGTCCTCGTTTGCTCAGAAACTTCTGTTCATCAGCAGGGCTCAAAATCCAATTTTAGAAAGGCAAAGGCATTGTTTAAGTATTAGACATGAGCATACTCTTACACAACATTTTACAGTGTTGGCTGGAAATAATGTAGTGAGCTGAGCTGCTGTGCTCGATGTTAGATGTGTGTGTTCCTGCACTTCTGGACCTTTCTCAAATGCAGCTAGAACATTCAAAGCTTTCTTTTACACCATGGCTGCTGAGCAGCCAACCCTCAGAGCCAGAGCAAGACTGAACCTGGGGATAGAGTTCAGACTTGTAGATAGCTGCATAGGAGGAACGTTACCCTCTGGTAACACAGGAGAACAGGAGACTTCCTTGGATCTTGGAGGATGGGGGAAAGGCTTCTAGCACTGTAAAAGAAGCCTGACACCTGAGAAACTTAATTGTTGGGATTTCTGAGAAATTTGTGATTGGATATTAATTAGTCCTTGAGGAAAGACTAAGAAAACTGTGGATTAAGTCTGGGTTTTAGTGAGCGACTGGTAGTGTCTTATATGCCTGTTATAAGGAGTTGTGCTAGCAGGGAAAAAACCCCAAACCAGTCTTTATTTTGACTTGATAAGACACAAACAACATTTGTTTTATGTGTCTTATCCCTGGGAGTTTTCCTAAGTGAAGGACTGTACTTTTTGCCACAACCTTTGCACTGACCCTTTCTTGCTTTGTTGTTGCTTAGTCATATTTACAACAAACTAGTTATTATTAGGACATTTCCTTAGCTGTGTGTTTGCATGAATTGTTTTGTAGTGACTGGATACTAGGAATTGGAGATTCATGGATGGGAATGGAAACAGTTTTATAGCTGTTGTCAGCTTCTTATTTATGGTGGTCTAAGATTAGTCACAGAATATGTAGCCAGCACTGAGTCACTGACAATGCATTTATTTCTGACATAAAGTGAAATCGAATTTGGCTCAGTGTCTCACTGCATAGCATTTGACCTTTAAATTCTTGGCAAGATTGTTTGCCTTTTTTGAGGTAAATCTGTTCATATCTGGGTACAATTAAACATGAATCATGAAGCTTAAATTTATGAGGAGATTAGTAGTGTTTTTTGTCTAATCTAGTTCCATTGTCATGGTAAACCACCTCTACCAGGCTGCAGTATGTTATAAAAGCTGTCAGCTTTGTAGTGGTAGTATTAGTTTGTGATTAAGTACATTATAAGGGATATGAAAGATAATATAGTATACGTACACATGCATAAATGAGTTAGGATTTTATGACTGAATAATGTCTTTGGATAATTTTCAAGATAATGCACATACTAAAATAAAATTTCATTAAGGTTGAGTGAATTTTTAGAAGCAAGAGAGAGCCATAAAATAGTAGCAAACTTCTCCCAAAGACACACTAAAGCTGTGATTATTCAGTTAACTCACAAATCTGGGACAAGTGTAACAGTCATTTAGTTTACAATAAAAATAGAACAATTAAAAAGCCACTTAAGGGTATGCAAAGCTTGAATAATTAAAAAAAACCAACCAACCAAACAAAAACAGCTTCTGCTTTAATTTTTTTAAATTTAGATTTTACTTTATAGACTTTCCTTTGTTTTCTGAGTATGCTAATGTTAATTGTTTATGATAATTGTTAATGCTATTGATTGCGTTATTAAGACACACAGAGTAATTCTCCCACTTCTCCCCCTTACTGCTAGTCATACCTGATATTATACCAGAACACAGTCTAACAAGATGTTGAGGCCCCCACTGTACTCTGGGGACAGTCCTTACTATTTGTTTTTTGCTAAACAGAAATGCATTCATAATGACTTACATTTAGAAGAAATATGGCTAGAAATTTGCCCAAGAAGCATTTTTTCATTTAACCTGGGCTTCATTTTCCAGCCCATTAATAACTTGTAGCTATACACAGAAGTATGCCTTGTGAATAACGGCGAGTAGTGCCTAAAGGAATTGGTGATGGGAAAGTTTCTCAAGTCTTTTGGTGGGGAGGTGGCAAATTAGCATCATCTTTTGTTATACGTGCACAAAGTGTCTTAACTCTCTGCACTCAAAGTGTTCTGGATTTGTATCTCCAGTATGGAAGTTCCCATTGGAAAATGTGGGCTTTTTTAAATCAAAACCTTTGAGAAGCACACAGCATAGCAAGAGCTTAAAGCCATCTCCACATCCAAGGAAATGCTGTTTCCTTCACCATAAATCCTTTTCTCGGGATCTGGCAGTTCATGACAGCTCTGAGCTGGAGTTGCATGATTTTCCTCATTAAGTAGTGAAGAAAGTGACAGATGACTGTGATGTACTGGAAGAATATTTAAACCCATGCCCTCAAGGGGTCTTAGGGCTGCAAGTAGGATGTGCAGTGCAGGTGGTTTGCCCTGGTTATCTTGAGGAATCAACCCGCTGAAGACCCACTGTATTGGAAATGTCAGAGCTTCAGTGTGCCCTGCCAGTAATGCAGAAAAGGACTGTGTGTTTCACATGTTCAATCCCTGCTGCAAGTTTGCATTTCAAAATTTTATTGAAGTAAAATCATCCAAAAATTGTAGAGTGATTTAGGAATAAGAATCTTTGAAACACTTCTTTCCAAGATGACTAATTTTTTTCCCAGATGTAATTTTCTTTATGTAATTTGGAATTCTTTACAGCTTATGATTAGTTGTTTTTAAATTTAAGTTAATGGCTGTGAGGTTGATGGGCAATTTTCACTAGAAAAATGCAGTATCACTTGGATAGTGCCAATGAAATTGTACTGGTGTGATTTTTATAAGAAAGTTGATAAAAGCAGATGATTCATATAGCATAGGATAAAGGAATTTTTGTATTTTTTGTAGGGATTGGATCAACTCTGCATTAGTATATAAGAAATGGTAGTGACATATATGTACAAAGCTGACATGGATAGCATCTACAGGTCAAATACAAATGTTAACTGAATAGCAGACAGTGTTTTGGTTTAATGGAAGCTGAACATTTAAGACTTGAGTACAGGCAGCTTTTCACTACTCTTTTTAGCTTAAAAAAGTTAATTTCTCTCTAGATTTGCATGATTTTATTTTTAGTACTTAGATCCCACAGTTGGACACTGAGTTTTCTGATGTACTAAGGACTGAGAAACATGGTCCATAGAGGCTCTTTTAAGATGTGCTCTGAACAGTGCAATTTCATTTAAAGCATGTCTGATAATGTAAGTCCCAAGTAATGGGAACAATAGTCTACGGTTTTTTTACATTTTTATATTAGCAAATAATTTGGGTCCTATTCATGATGTACTTATTCATACTGAGCAGGACTTTGTATCATGATGAGTCCTCCTGAAGTTAGCATTCTACACTCTATTAGTATTTAGTATGATCAGGCTTATCAGCTAAACCCATGGAACTCATTTGTGTAACTAAGCTTTCAAAAGAGAGAGATAATCAATACAGAATATTTCTTTTTAGTTATTTCTATTTTCTGAAGACTTTTTTTGGTGTGTGCCCACTGCTGTCGGTTCTACTTTGTTCTTCACTTTCCTCCTATTGATGCTCTTAATACCGCTCAACAGACTTCTAGGCTGCCGCAGTCCTTTTAATCCAAACTCCAGCTACAAGCAGCTGTTCTGTAGGCAGGCTTTTTTTTATTAACTTTGTTAGGAACTATGCCATATCATATTACTGTCTTCTGTTCACGGCCCGTGCAGCTGTAGTTGTTGCTTTCCACAAAAGTCTCCACAGAAAGCCGTAACCTCTCTTTTCTCAGCAGATTTGTGTATGTGTCCTTTGCTGTCCTTAGGTTATCTTTGCATTGTGAATAATGTTTTTTGTTAGTTTAAACCAGTTCTATTGGCAAATTTCATCTTGATATGAGTCTTTCCACTGTGCTAGTGCTTTTTCTACCAAGAATTTCCTTTTATTTATGTTATCAAATAAAAACCTAATCTAAAGGCAGTCCACCAGCTTTGGAAGGGCTGATTAGCATTGTAGCCAGACAAGCATAGGGCCAAGATCTGCCAAACTAACTTCTATTTAGGAGTTTAACTTTCTGTCAACTTCAGTGAGAGCTCAGGCATGTAAATAGGTTTTAGGAGCTTAAAATCCCATGCAGATCTGATTTCAGTTACTTTTCATTGAAATTTAGGCATCATATGAGCAATGGTAGATGAATCTGAAAATACCTCATTCCTCTTCCATTCCAGAAACTGAATTCACCAGCATTTCATGGTTAACCTCTCTGCCAGCTCCCCGGCTGGCTTTCAAAAGCTGAATTAGAAACTATTACATGGAAAATTAGGTGGAATATATTGCACCAAATGTTTCAGACTTAGAAAAACTCCCTATTCCAAGAGATAGTTGAATTATAGCAAGCATAATACAATAGGGAAAGACTGTGAGATATGTGATGAGACTTAAGGGATCCTATGTATGATTCTTGGGAAATTTAAATTTGGGATTAGGATGAGAATTTCCACTAGCTAATCAGAGCACATTCCTCCGAAATTAGCTTCTTACAATACCACAAACACAACTTTTTTCATGCCTTTTCTTTCAGTTCACCTTTCGGGAAATTTGGATTAATAATACAATTCCCATTAGGTACATATCAAATTGTCAGTGCATAAGAATTGATAATAAGTCTTTATACAGTTCCAATGTAACCTGAAATAATAATTGAAAAATATGCAGTTTTTGGCTTCCATAATTTTTAGTGTGAACAGTGATCACTTCATCATAGTTAAGTCATGTTTAGAAAATTTAGACAAGCTGCATGATTACTCTAGGAAGCATGGAATGGTTTGTTCAAATCAGTAACATCTGTGGAGAGAAAAAGTTGGGGGAATTTTAGTCATTCTTGAGGAATGGAAATCTGATTTTCCATGCTAGAGTAATTGTAATCCTCTGTATCTGTAACCCAATAGCATAGCTGTCTTGAAATTGTCTCTGGGCACAATCACCAAGTTCAAGAGACACTGTGCCACTGGGTGTCACTGCTCTTCACTGTGGCCTTAGGACCAAACCTCTGATCTGCTCCAGTTTCAGGTCACATCTTTTCATTTGTTCTCATGAGTGGTTACATTTATTTTTGATTTGCCTATGTAAGGAAGGAGACAAAATTAGCTTGATTTTAAACTGACTAAAGTTTAAGGCTCTGATTTAATTTTAAAGGTCTGTCTAGGGAATGACAGAGAAAATTTTACTGTGAATTCTGCTGACTGACCCTTTATTTTTAGGTTCAAAATATTTTGTTTATAGGGTCTTCATAAACTGGAAAAAGACAACATGAAATAGTTATCCAAGCTTTTGTGTGGAAGAAGAAATTCTTGTCTGATTGTCTGCTATCAGGATACCTGCAAGTTTATCTTTTAAAACTGTGGTTTTCATGTAGTGTTACTTACAGGGACAATCCCAGGTGTTACCTTCAGCCTTGTGAAGACAATGTGTATGAGTGTCCTCAGCAGCCAGTGGGAAAAAGGAGAGATAGAAAGAGAAACATCATTTCTCCACCCTCCATTCTTCTCCCACTTTCAGCGAGCTTGTCTCTTTTCCAAACACAAGGAGGGCTAATAGAGGCTGGATTTATTAGAATTTGTTAGTCTGCCAGAGAGACCACAAATCAGAGCCACCATCATTTTGCCTGATATAATTTCTAGTTCTGTGAAAGCCAAGCATCTTTTCCTTCTTTACTGCAAAATTGCTATTTTTTGTGTCATCATGCATGTTGAAAATGAGGGAATCAGGGGCTTTCCTTCAGAAGGAAAGGCAACCATGTCTAGACAATGGGCATTGCTCTTCATACATCTGTGATCAGCCTCTTTAACCTGCCTTGTTTCACCTTCAGAGACTGCAGTTGTGCCACCAGGGCTTAACCAGCTCCACATTTGAGCAAGTGAAGGCATATATTTCCACCTTCCTACTAACACCCAGCAACTAACCAGTTACTATCTGCTTTATGGCAAATCCTTGCATCTGTGTTGAAATATAGCCCACTAATTAGTTTTCTATTCTATCCCACATTTTATCATTATCATATTTGGGTGTGTAAAAAGTCGTATTTTTGCAGTATCTTAACAGATATTAACAGCTTTCATTACAACAGAGTAGAAGATTTATGGAGGAAAAATTATTTTCTACTAACCATGTAGTAGTATTTACTAACCACGCAGCATTTTTCTGCCTTTATTTCCCATAAAGTAGTAGTCAAACTAGGAAATTTCTTGTAATTTACACTAATAGCTACTACAGTTTATAGAATTGCTATGACAATATTGCAGTTATTATTTTGAAAGGGAGTAAACTAAGTATTACATCTCCAAATCTGAGCAAGCAAAAATAGTACTGCATGTTTTGATGTTTTTTACTACTTTCTGTACTTATCTTCATGCTAATATCAGCAGAGAAAAACAGCTTTAATTCTGTTAGGATGGAGTATAATGGTGGAAGTTGTCTTTAGCAAAGATTTTTTTAATATAGTTTGCTCTTGCTCTGTGTCTGGTTAGTGTGTAGCAGGATGGGAGCCTATGTTGCATGCTGGGGTATTGCATACTTGTGCATGACAGCTCAGTGGAAGAACAGGGGAGGGCCTGTGGTTCTCTGCCTACTCCTTCTCCTACAGACTCCACCTGCTTTGGGATCATTTGAAGGGTTTTTAATTTCTCAACCTTTTCATCAACACAGCTTTGTCTGATTCAGATTTTCTTGTTAAACATCCATATTTAGTGGAGAATTTTTAGTTTATTATATTTTATGATTTAAATAAACAATTTGTTGCAGACAGAAGCAAAGATCAGATATTCCCATGAGGCTGAAAGAAAATGAAAAGGAGTGTTTTCTCTTTTTTCCCCAGTAACGTTGGTCTGGGATCCTTTTCCTCTTTATGTAAGCCTTGGGACTTCTTCAGTTTCAGTCTGAGGATGTATCATGTGTTTTTCTTTTACCAGTGATACCTCTTCCCCCAAAGACTCTAAAGCACTCTTTAAATCTATGTGCATACAATGATTTCTGAGCTGATTTTTCTGCAGTTTTTTTGCCATAGAGTATTAGTATTGTCTTACAGAGTCTTAGAGATAATATTAGCTTTCTCTATGACTATGTGATATGGCACAAAACCATATGTTGCAACTGGTCTGTGAAATCTGGGAGTACATTGCTGACTCAATATAGACAGGGTAAATGTGTGTACATGTATATGTATGTACATACATGCATTGCTTCCGTCTCATGGATGTGAATATAGCCTGCATATAAAATAAATGGAAGCAAAGTTTGTGGGAAGTTTATTTTTTATCTTTTATTCAGCTCTTTCTCTTAATGTTCTTGTAAAGCACTTCTATAATGCCAGATAAACATATTGCATGTATTGATACTTTTCATTTCGAAGGTGAAACAGGAAACTTACTAAACTTACCTTGATGTGTTGTGTGAGGATTTCATGTATTAGCAAGAAAGAGGAAGACACATGAGTATTTCTAATTGAGAGGTGAAGAACCCCAGTTAGAACCCACAGTAAAAGATGCTATGGGTAGCGTAGAAAAATAACTTTGTGTAAGTTATTATTTAAGACAGCATCCCAAAAGTGGCAGTAGAAATGTCACACCTCTCAAAGCTGGTCCTCCATCCCATGCCTGAAAAGATGTTTCTTTATTTCAAAAGCTATAGTAAATGTATGCTACATAAATATGTACAATGTGATTTATGCCATTCGAAATATTGCGTATTAAATATATAAAGCTGAATCTTGGTCTTTACATATGGTTATTAAAATATGTTTTCAATAGTGGATAAAAATCATATAGTTGCAATCACTTTTCATTCAAATTAAAGTATCTTACAAGTGTTTTAATCTGCAGTTCCTAGTGCTCCCAGGGATATTGTTTTTTCCAATGTGCAATCAACAAGTGTGACCTTGCATTGGAGATCACCAAAATCTATCCTTGGCTACTTTCAAAACTACAAGATTACCACACAGCTACAATCCATCCACTGCAGTGACTGGGAGGCTATGGAATGTATTGAATATGAGAAGCGTCAGTATTTATATGAAAATGTCCTGGATGACTGGATAGAAGACACAGTGTATGGACTGAAAAAATACAGATGGTACAGATTTGCTGTTGCTGCCAGTACAAATGTTGGTTATGGCACTTCTTCACCTTGGATTTCAACTCAAACCCTTCCTGGCTGTAAGTACGGGTGTCTGCCATGTCTCATAATGCTATAACAATGTGATGTTCATCTAAATAACAAGAACTCTTGTTAGAAGTTATTTTTTCATAGACCTACAATACTGGTGAAATCAATAAGGATTTATAGCAACTCTTGACCTACAATATATATATATGTATGATATAAATTGTGTGGTAGGTATACATACCCAACACTGATATTTCAATGTATTTTATGTACTCTTTTATATTTACTGCTTACCCAACAGTATTTCAATCCTCAGCTGTACTACACGTGTAGACTTGGTAAGTCTGAATTTTTGCTAGTATGAGTTGATATGCCATTTTTCAATACAATTTCACCTGTGGGGTGTGCCAATGAAAAAAGTATTTTTTTTTAATTCTTTGGCTAGAAGTCTGTTCATTAAGTTGTAAAAATTTCCTGAAATGCTGTTGTGTGTTTTTGGCAATGGAATTTAAGCAATAGCTTCTGAGGGATTAAGATTTCTTTCCAAAACCATATCCACCTACAGAGTTTACTAATCAGAGTAGTCATGTGACATGTACAGGATTGCCATGACATATATTAGAACAATCATGCCTCAGCTGAGGATTTAAGTTTTCAAGTAAGAGAAGAGGTAGTTGTCATAAATAAGTCAGCACAAAATATTTGACAGAAGGGGACATGAAACATAAATTATTTAGGCAGTTGTCATGGGAATATATGACCTTCCCTACCAGTTTGCAGCCATCCTAGGATAGAGAATATCTGAAATTTGGCCTCTGTAGAACAACTGAGAATCACCACGGATTGCCTGACTTAATCGCAGCTCTTTTAGTAATTTCCCCTTTCAAAGTAATAATAATAATAGAGCTACCAGGGACTTAAAGAGCTGTGTGCCAAGCACTACACAGTGGTCCAGATATTTACCTTGTCCCACTCAGGTTTTTATAATCATGTGATGTGTGGACACTGTGATAGTAAACATCATAACAGCCTGATTTTTTATAAAGCTCATAAGTAGTCCTTTGGATTGAGAAGTGCTGGAATCAGCTGCAGAGTCATTCTCATGTGCACTTACTTTCTTTGTCCAGTGACTCATGGGGAAGCTCTGCCTGTAAAACAGTGCAACATTTTAAATTAAGTGGAAGAAAAAAAACCAACAAGCCCAGATGGAGCAGAAAATAGATAACAGAAGTTCTGCACAACTTGAGAAACTCTTGAACCAGCAGCTCTGGGGAGATTTCTTTCTATTAAAATGATAGAACTCAGCTGCTGATGTATGCAAATACTTTAAAAAATTGTTGCTGAGTTTAAAAAAGTTAGGGATTTAAACTAGAAGGGGAAGCAGATAATGAAAACACATATAATTGCATAAAGTTAGGATGCTTTTTATTATTTCCTCTTCAGATAGTGATGATTTGGTTTAAGAGAGAGCTAGTTTCCTATCCAGCTCCACTGAAAAGATGGTAGTTAAAAGTATAAACATCTCAATAGACTGCAGCCCTTTCCACGCCAATTCAGTGTCATTCTCAGCAGTAGGTCCTCTGTGTGTTCTATTAGATAGTTTACAAGTGGTGGGTCGAAGGTATAAATGTTCCACCAGTTCTTCCAGCCCAATGTCTGGGGCTGCTGACCTGTATCTGTAGTGATGGAAGTAGGCAGCACTGCTGCCTATGAAACACACCGCTGTGGAGACAAGGCAGCATAGGCACTATTCCAAATGTCATGTCTGGGCAATGGTCTTTTTCCTGGGGTAATGGCAATCAGCTGAGGAGGAAAAAAAGAGGAAGGTGACATGACACATCTGGCAGCGTCCATGCTTCAGCAGTGCTGGGAGCCTCCATGAGCACTGGCTGATCTTTAGCAAGGGCAGGTTTCTATGTACCTTATGCTTTTCAAAGCTTAGTTTTTAGAATTGCTGTTAAAAATCCCCTCAGTTCCGCCCTTTCTTTTGCAAAGGCTACGGCCTATATCAGGAAAGAGAAATTCAGAATGCACCAAGCAGATTCGGCACTCTGGGCAGCCTTGTAAAGTGTATGCAGAAAGCAGGTGTTGATCTCCCTCTCCTCTCCCTCATGAACAGGGCCAAGCATCCTCTGGATTAGCCTGCTGATACACAGCCAATATACATGGTCTGTTAGGGCTTAAGAGTGCTTAGCTGCTATGTAAAATACCCTGAGTACTTAGCCCATAAAATCAATGGGAGTTGTGTTTGCACATTTGAGGGCAGAAGTTAGGCACTGTTTCACTTCATTTTCAAGAAGTGCCTCTGTAAGAAATGTAAGACATTGTTTCAATGAAAGGTAAAGTTACCTTTGTTATGAAATAATAGTCAAAGGATTTTTTCTTCATAATTCATTGGATTCTCAGAAATTTTTGTTTCTCTCAAGCGTAAAGAAAATATTCAAGTATTATATTCAAAAAGTTATTTATGATCATATTCAGGAGGAGCATATAAGGTGAAAACAGACTAATTTCCAGAATATAAAGAGAAGAAACATCAAGAGCAGCAAAAATTACATAAAATAATTACTAAATGTTTTTTACAAGTTCTGAGGATTTGATTGTTGTGCTAAAGCAGAAATGCCTAATAATTCTGACTATCCAGGGAGTAAGGTGAGGATCTTAGCTGTTTATTTCAGTTGTTCATTATGAAGAAAAATGTAAGACTATAGGAATTATTTTCAAGATTCTCTAACTTATTTGCAAGTTTCAAACAAAAAGTAATGACAGTATTCAGTACTGAGAGTGGTTATAGAGTTACTCTGAAAATATTATGGATTGTTAGTGCAGCCCAGTTCTCACCTCACACAGATAAATTATTCAGCCTTCTGTCTTGCAGATTATCCTCACAGGAACTATCTTACTGTCTCATAAAGTAGTGTGATGGCACCATTATTATTACATAGCTGATTGATTGCCCAAGAGCCAAATCTATTCTACAAGATTAAATATTTCCATCATAACTTAGATTTATGTAGTTACCAGCACAAAAGATCACAGTGCTGTGTCACAGTAAGGGAAAGAGCAAGAAGTGTTTTCCATAGCTATGGAAAGCACTTCTTGCTTCCTTCACACCTACACTTACCCCATGTTTCATTATTACATTTATGAGGAGAATAAGATTGGCTGAACTTAGGTTTTCTGAGAGAAAAATAATGGTGGAGGGTCAGGATTAGATGGAAAATGAATGACAGTGAGATCACTGACCTCATTTTGGATCTCATACAGTTACACAATGCAATTCTTTTTGGTAAACTGCCAAGTTCCCTAATGCCAGCATACACTGAGGTACAAAGGAAAATCCCAGATGTTCCAATGTCCCGTGAAGGCCAGGACATACAAGCATGGGGCAGAGGGTTATGCTTCTCTTTTCAGCGCCTTCTTTCCCAATCCCTGCTGATAGCCAGTTGCTTGCTATGATTAAAAAAATGTTTCTGTGTGATGAAAAGTAATGAGATTTCATGTCTTGTTATGAGTTCTTTCTTCTGGAAAGCTTGTCTGGGAGAACTGGTTTTTCTTTGTTTGCTATACTTCCTCAAAAGTAAACATTTGAAAATAATTGTGGGCTAATATAAGATAGAACTGTTTAAAACTAGATAAAAGCAACCTAGATTATTAAAAATTAAATAACTGAAGCACACGCTTTGTTTATGCTGGGAAAGGAAAAAAGGAGCTGATCCTAACAAAACTGGCAAGCAAGAATTTCTGTTAGAAAACTGGAGTATTCAGTCCTATTTTTGAAGATGGGCTATCCAGACTTATCTTCAAACTAACACACTTAACTGCTGCCTTAGCATCAGGACACAGATGGATGGGAAAGATGACCCTGACCTCCATAAGACCCACATTCCTGTGCAAGGATAGAAGCATGATAATCAGGAAATGATGGTTATTAGTTACAGAAAATGCATTATTGTGAAAACCAGGAGAAAAGTTCTTATGAGAGGAAGTGATTGGATTATGGGGGAATGAGAGAATAAGACTAGGTCATTTCTCCAGAGTAAATTGCTGTGATTTATAAGAGAAAGGGGGTAGTGATATCATGGCTTCATACTGACCAGATTAATTTCACAAACAAACCTAAATCAGAATGCGGCAGTTATCCCCTGAATCAAACACAGATTTAAAAAAGATGTTTTTGTAAGATATAAGACATGTCAGATACCTTTAATTTTCTGGTTTTCTCCCCAGTTACACATGTAATTTCAGAAAATATTCCTACATTTCAGTATGATTTGGTTAATGTTTGATATTTTACTTTGCATAATGAAAATAAGCCACATATTAATGTTTAGATGTACTTTAGACAAGTAACCTAAATATAGCATACTCAATCAGAATTTTCTTGCAAATAACCACAAATACATCAAGTATAAAATGCATATGGAAATGAATGATATAAGTAGCTTCCAGACTGTATAATTTGTAGATGAGATTATGCTTTAAAATTATTTCACACCATCTAAGGCATAACTGCAGAATCCATTAGTTCTATAAAAAAATGGGAAATTGTCTTTGGAAACTTGGTTGGTTTGAAAACGAAGGCCCAAGAAGCTATATATATATATAATTTTATACTGTTTTTCAGAAATTTCCTTTTGCAATAAATATCATTGCTGCAGTTACTGGAAGCATTGTTTACACTAAAAGACTGGTAACAATCCTGACATGCATTACCTGAAAAATAAAATTTGTGCTTATTCTAATTTTCAGGGACTATGCTTGCCCTTGTATTTTGTTTTATCTTTTGCAGCTCCCCACTTGACAGCCAGCCTTTTCTGAGCACTCTCCTCTTTTACCACCTCTCATGTGCACTCAGTTCATTCAGTTACATTGTTCATTCAGTTGTTCCATGCTCTTCAGTATTTTTGGGGACTGCTTCCAATGGTTGAATTTGATCCTGCCTATAAAGTCTTGTATATTCCTGCTAATCCCAGCACAGGAATCTAATTCCTGTATCCAACATCCTAAACTCATTTTAGCACCTTACCTAATCCCAAATATTTCTCTTTTATTCTGCAATGATGGTGCCAAATTTTCACCTCCATAGTGCAAAATGTTATTGTTTTCCTCATTAATCTTTCACACATAACTGCAACAGTTACAAACTTCTTTCCATGTTCTTTTCCTTTTCCTACCCTGTGTTCTTCCCGAAGAACTAAGCAGCCTTGTCCAACCCCCAATTTTTTTCCTCATTTAGCCCTCTTAGCTAATGATTAATAGTGGCAAACTACATATTCATGTGTTAATCTTGTTTAAGAAAAGAGACCACATCTTCTGATTAGCATAGGTATGATTGCTTTAGTAATTTTTTATAATATACTATTCACTGATATGGATATTTTTGCGGTAGATTGAAATGAAGGCACCATGAAGTAAAGTTCTGGAAATATGTACAAATATGTTGTTGTTTTTTTAACAGGCTGCTCAATGATACTTTCCACAGTTGTCTTTTTTTTGTAGTACATCCAAAAACAAGGCACCCTGAAGCCAAGTTCTGTGATTGTCTACAAATCTGTTGTCATTCTATTCCAAATTTCATTTTCCTGAAATTTAAATGGTTATTATGAAAAAAATACCATTTGCTGAGAATTGCTGAGTTGTTATTATGATTTCATTAATTTCTTGTTCATTAATTAAAAAAACTAGGTTAATTCACATGTCACCTCAACAAATGAAAATTTTAGGGAAATCTCATTTCTTAATGTGAGCATTCTTGACCTCTTGCAATTCTTACCAGTTTTTTTGTTTGGGTTTTCTGTATTTTCTCAACATGCTAAGTATAAATTGAAGGGAAATGTAGAAACTTATTTCTACTTGTACTTTCCGACAGTCCATGAAATTTTTTCTAGTGTGCAGAATTTGATGTCTTTTCACAATTTTTTGTTCTTTGAATGATTCATTTGACATAAACAAATATATTATGCTTGTCTATTTGTATAAATATTTGCATATATTATGCTTGTGTCAGGTGAAAGACTTATAAAGAACCTGTAATTAAATAACCCTATAATCTCAATTTAAAATGAAGTCGTAGGCAGTCCATACTCTAGAAAAATTGTAGTGGTTACAATGAAAGATGTATTTCTCAATCACATGGTGTGACTTATATATGAAAAAAGAGAAAAATTATAGTTATTTAAGCAGTGTGTAATCTTAATTGTGTAATAAAGTTTTCTTTTCAAACCTCTACTGGCCATTAAAATTATACTGGGTTATTTTTTGTGCACTTTGCTGTCCATGATTCACATACACATTTTTTTCTACAGCTCCAGATGGTCCTCCAGAAAATGTGACTGTTGTAGCTACATCTCCTCACAGTATTAATGTCAGCTGGAGTGAACCTGCCATCATTACAGGACCAACAAGCTACCTCATAGATGTTACCTCAGTAAGGCAACCCTGTTTTACTCAGTGGTTATACAGATGGTTGGGGATACCACTGCAATGTTGCAGGACAGATATAAGTGGGTTGAAAACCATATAATTGTGTCTATTTCCACAGAAATTCCACATAAGAATTAATTGTACGTTTATTCATTTATTAATGGAAGATACATTAATTGGCTCATATTAAAAAACATGCTAATAAGAGGTGTTGGAGGGGAAAAAAGTGTATCTATAAATGTATACAGGAGAACAGTAGTTGAGCTTTGTGGAAGTGGACCTCTTTTTAACCATGATTGCTTTTTCTTCTTCAAAGGAAGGAAAGGTTCATCACAGTGATTTTAGAAACCAAAGTGGAGAGCCTAGCAAAAGGAAATTACTTGTACAAAGTTACACGGCACCAGAGGGCAAACTTTAAAGTCAAGCTAGATTTCCCTCTTTGCACTTGGTGTCCTGTCCATCAGATTAGCTGTATTTTGGTAGCAAAGTAATAACAATTTTTTCTCCTTGATCTTTATAACCAAAAAAAAAGCTGACATAAGAGAATAATTCTAGTGGCTTTTCTCTTTTCATCCTCTACTGCACTTACAAAACTCCTTAAACCCACCATTAATAAACCCCATTTCCTGCCCTGTGGCAAGACAGCATCTTTCTAAGTTCAAGCCCATGAGAAGTAGGATATAGGTTCCATGTTCTGCCAGGAATTATGCAGACAGGGCTGTAAGTGAAAATAGGAAGTAGCTTACCAGATGTTACCTAGGAAAAGTTGCTGTTTACAGTTTCAAAAATTTTGAAACATTCTGTTAGATAGTAGGAAAAAAGTCTACTTCAAACTATTTAAGGCCTTTAAACAGAATGTTAGGTTTTCTGAGAAGACAGTAAGACTATGTGTGTATATTTAATTTTTCTAAATCTGTCATAAGAATTACAGATCTGCTAATATAATAATGCTGAGATATTTCTGTAACCAAAATGTCTAAGGAGATCAGTAAAAAAAAAAATAAAAAATTAAGCTACTCAGAAAAGTTACAAGAGAGAGTAATGTGCAGTCCTGTAATTTTCTCTTCCTCTAAGTTCATTGTACAACATGCAAAGAGAAATCTGCTCAGGTTTACTGCAGCAATAGAATGGCAGGATGAAGGATGTATGACAAGGGGAGGACTTACAGGGATGATTGCTTGGCCCAACGGGTAGGTCACTAAAAACTACATAGCAAGTTTTATTTCTTCTCTAATGAAGTTAGAGAGGACTTCTTCCTTGTAAAAAATTCCTGTCATTTTTGACTAAACAGTGTTTTAGTGCATCAGCAGGAAAACATTTCATGGTTTTTATAAAACTTAAAATTCAGTATTCAAAGCTTGAATTTTTGGGGGTTTAATATTTTATCAATTTGCATTGAAACATTTCCTCTCTGTCTGATAATTCCAAAGTTATAAATTATATCATCTCAATCTACACTCTAAACTATTATAAATACCTTATCAATGTAAGTTATAATAAAACTCCTGAAGGAAGATGATCTATGGAATGTTCCGTGTGAATTTGTCAGGATTTGAAAGGAAGTTAACTGTTTTAAATTTTCAGTTTGGAGAACCAGTTTTGTTTTTACAAAATTCATTTTTTGGGGTTTTATCGAAGTATATTTCAGATAAGCTGGTTTATGTTTATGGATTCTCTGTAATTAGATGTAGTCTGTCTAATGACTGGCACTACAGGTGCCAGTTCTGGAGAATTTTGTAGACAAACCTCTTCCTTCCTAAAGACCAGTAAATCTGTCTCAATCTTTTTCAGTGAAATTTTTAGTATATATTTTATTGTCCCAGTGAGAAAGTTTTATGAAGACTCCAAATTGCACAAACTTCCAGTATGTATAACTTCACTCATTTTTATTCTCAACTGAGTATATTTAAATATTTATAAAAATAGTATCATAGAACAGAATAATTCAGGTTTCTCCTCTGTTATATACTAAAAGTTAATAACTAGTACTCATAACTCAATGTATTAGGATTCTGCTTAAATTACTAGGATGTGCCTTGCAGTTTTAAGAATCAGAACAGCTAAAAACTACTCCATTATTTTTCCTCCTAGTCATGTTTTAGTTTGTTCTACTATAATTCTGAATAAGTACTTCTGAATAAAATATTCCTGGAAATAGGTAAGGAAAATGGAACTTAACCATTAAACTTCATGGAGAATAGAAATACATTTAATGATGTAGTGCTGTGATTGTACTTTAGCTGTTGGATAAATAGTTATATTTATCAAGAACAGATTCTTGATAGGCAGAAAGAAGAAAATGTTTCAGCTCTTGATGGCCATCCCAGGAAATGAATGTCTGTGTAATTCATCAGAAAGTTTAGTTCAGGTTAATTCTCAGTGGGGATATATGCCTATCTGTCAAATAAATGGTACGCTTGAGCTGTTCTAATGTTTTATCAGCTGCATTTAATACAGATTTTGTTCAGTGGGAAAACTACTGTACAGCTACCTAATTCTCTTTTCAAATTACACACAGAAGAAACGATAATAAAAACATTATTAACTGAAGCAGTGGGAATATACATAAATACAATTTTGTAATTGATACTTCATGAAACACTAGAAAAGCACCAATTTTTTTCCTTTTTCTTGTTTTTGAAGATACCATTAGAAGTGATTAATTGTATATAAAGTCCAACACAGGAGATTTTTCTACAAAACTACAGATTATTTGAGATGTAAAGATGAGAGGTATCCACAATGTAACTCAACCTGTAGCCTGCTCTAACACGGAAACAAGTGTACCTGAAGTATTCCTCAAAAATTCTTAATTGTCTTTTTCATGTAATATTCAGTGCTGAAAACTGCTCAGCAACCCTCAATACATTATGTTAGCTTATAAATAAATTAATAGTCATGGTTTTAGTTATATTTTTAGATATATATTGTATATCAATGCAGATGGTGTAGTTTTTAATTCTAGTTGATTTTCGTGTAAGTAACATCTTTATTTGTATGTTTGTGAACACTGTAAACAGTGGTTATCTTCAATTTATTAACATCCTTTTTTATATTTTAAAGTCATTACTAGGTCTCCTGTAGTTCTCCCATTTTTAGTATGAATCTTAAAGCTTTCCAGGTTTTCTGCTGGGAGAATTAATCTTTCCCAACTCTTTCATAAAAAAGAGCTTCTATTAATATATCCAAAGAAGAATTGCTCTTTCTGCTGTTGCATCAACATTATATATTGCTGCCCAACTTTCTAATTGTATTCCAAACAATCTTCTGATATATAGATGCTCATCTTCTGGATCTTTTGATGTTTGATGCCTGTTTCAGGTCACTATAACTGCCTGGCCCAGTGTCTCCAAATTGAGACTCCTTGTGAACCCTTCTATGTAATTAGTTAGGGAAGTGGAAGAATAAAACTTAAATAAGATATTCAAATAATAATTTCCTGCTTTTGCTGTTTCAAGCCTTGTAGCAACTTTATTTTTATTTTACTGTTTTTTTACAGGTGGATAATGACAACTATAAAGCTCAGTTTTTGAAGACAAATGAGGAGGATAAAATGTTAGAAATTTCTGATTTGAAAGCATTTACAAGGTATTCTGTATTGATCATTGCCTTTACGGGGGATGTTAATGCTGCACTCCTAGAAGGCAAGCCTAGTTCCCCTGTAATTGTCTCCACTTTTGAAGCAGGTTTGTAATTTTTTTCTACTTTACAAAGATCAAAGTTCACAGTTTTTCTTTAATTTGACAAATACATGAGCACTTTGAACACAAGGTGGGCTTTTAATACAGATTTGTCGTCACAATATTTTTTCTTTAATATTTAAAAAGGTGTCAGACAACAAAAAAGGGATGGTTATAAATACAAAGTTTTACGTTTAGTTACACTGGGATCCTACCTTGCTCCATGTAAAATGTGGATATGTGGAACACAGCTAACTAGATAACTTCTATGGCCAATGAAGAGAAAGGTTCTGTCTATACATTAGCATGTATATATGAGATACCTGTCTTAGGCAGGGATGACTCCTTTGTGGAGGTACCTGTTAAGAGACTACTGAAAACTTCATGCAACATCCTTGGTTTTGGTGCAAAATTTAAACATAAAAAATTAGGTGAAGTGAATCCTACAATTTATAAATAATATCTGTCCTCAAGCAGGCTTGAGGACATTATCTGTGTATTCTTTGTGGAAGGAAGTTGCTAGTGAAGGCCCATAGAAACTCTGCTTGAGTCAGCTGTTCCACAGATTCTAAACAAACTGGGGAATGAGCAAGATATTAAGGTGACAAAAGCAGATGATGCAGTTAACTTAGTCAGAGAAATAAAACTGAGAGATGAGATGTTAAAGAAAAATAGACAGCATTTGCATTTGCTTAGAAAACTATAAATAGTACAAAAATATAAAAATGTACATGGGGAAGATTTAACCCTAACTTTACATACGTAGATCATGGTTATGCCCTGTCTACAGTACTTGCAGGTTTTAAATTGTTTTCCATTGTTTAAACAAACAAACAAGCAAAACACTAAAAATATTTTCTTAAGAGGTATTGAAGTTCTGTTTCATTCTAACTAATTATCATCTCTGTATAAAGCAAAATTACCTTATCTCTAGTGGGTCTGCTGCAAAACAACTTTTTAGTTATGCACTCAGGTTAATGTCTGATTTAAATGTAGTACACAGTGACTTTATTTATCATTCATCTTTCCTTTGATGTATGAAAATCCAAGGTCCCTATTGATATGATATGTATATGTATATGCATGTGTGTGTGTATATATATATATATAGATATCTCCAATGCTTTAAATAATTAAATTTAAATTCTAAGGATTTCATTACCTATTTCTATGCCTGGAAGATTATATGCTATTTTGCTGTAGAAAAAGATGTGGCTATGTGGTCGCTGGGTCTATTCTGAGACAGACAGCATCCTGTGGTACCTCTTCTGGTAGCTCTTTTCCTTATATCAACATGTGATACATTAGGAGGTGCAGTACCTTTAGAGAGGAAAAGATTTATTTTTTCCATCTCATTTCATCTGGTTTGTACAGCTTAGTATATGGATTAGTTAGGACCAGTTGACACAGACTCTAGAGAAGCCTCAGTAAGCATTTGTTTGGTATAAAAAACCTGGGAAACAGGACAACTGCATGTAAATCCTTGGCTGAGGGAATGTGTTTACCTTCCGTGGCTTGATTTCACTATTTAGAGGTCATGCCACATACTTGTCTGCTCAGGTAGAGCAATAAATATTTAGCTGCCTGGAAAGAATGTTACAGCCTTTTCTTTCAGATAGGGACATTGGGAAAATGATTTATACCTTTGCTGTCTTAAGAATAAGCTACTGAAATTGGCATTTGACAAGATACTGCCTCCAGGAAAAATGCATGTTGTGCTTGCGTCTCGGCATCAGTTAGTGGAAATTTTTTCCTAAAGATTTAGTTGTGATAAGGAGAGAATCTTAGGAGCACAGGTGGCTTGTTTATATGTTGGAGGGAGCTTGTTCTTAAGAGAGGAATACTGTGCTATTTTCAGAAAGGAATACTCACTGACTCTTGCTTCTTGCTTGTCAACTTGTGCAAGGATTTGCCAACTCCAGATGTGTTTTGAGGTATAATGATGCTTTCAGGCTTTTTAAATAGATAATCAGAAAATAGTTTTCTGAGTAGCAACTACTGAGTGTTATCTAATAATTATTTTAAAAGTTTGCAGCATTCAGTGCCATCATTAAGAAAAGGATTTCACTAGATATTTGGCTTTTTAATGTGTTTATGAATATTTGCATATGCAATATTTATTTGAGAATTTTTAATACAACCCAGAAAATATCAATGAAATAATACTGATATACAAAAAATATAATTTTAATTTTTCAGGTTTTACTCTAATAATAATAGTAGTAAACTGATTAAGTGGGTCATTGAAATATTTATTTCAGTGCCTGAAGACCCACCTAACAACATAACTTTTCAGAAGATACCAGATGAAGTAACAAAATTCCAAGTAACATTTGTGCCACCATCTGAACCAAATGGAAATATTCAAGTGTATCAAGCTATGGTTTACAATGAAGATGACCCTGCTGCCATCCAGATCCACAACCTTAGTGTCATTAAAAAAAAAGATCAGTCAGTCACTGCCATGATAGAAGGACTAAAAGGAGGACATACCTATAATGTCAGCGTAAGAACTGATACATTTGGGGGGGCAGGGGGGGTATTTATTTTTCTTTTATATAAGTGTGAGATTCATTTGAAACTTTGGCTGAATATGACATTTTCATGCCAAGAATGTTGGGGTGCAAAGAGAGGCAAGCCTGAGGAACAAGGGGAGCAATGAAGAGGATGAAGTGAGTGGGAGCAAGATGCATCACTAGTCTGGATGACCAGTTCATGTAGGAAGGCAATTTGTGACACATAGTCACGAGCACAAGACTAAAAGACTCTCTTAATTCCAGTACTGACATTGCTCACTGGACATGAAAGGTCCGTTTCTGCAAGGGCAGCTTGCTAGAAGTATGTGCATGAAGTACTTTCAAACAGTCAGAGACGGACATGGGAGGAGGAAAGATCATTCTTTAAGTGAACTTGCTTACTTCTTTTTTAAGAGCTACATTATAAGCAATGAAACGTTACCGCACTTAGGATTTCAAAGCAATATAAAGTAAGTTCTATCCTAGTGTGAATGACAGAAGCAGTGTTTCAGCATTTATTGTTGCTACAGATATATCCAGAATTGGCCAATATGAAGCTATTACAATACTCATTAAAACAAATGTTTGTTTTTTTAAGGTGTATGCAATTAATGGTGCTGGTGCAGGGCCAAAAATTCAATTGAAAATAACCATGGATATCAAAGGTATGTTCCATAAAGTATGCTGTATCTGAAATCTCTATAAATTCTGAAGAAATTGCTGTTCCACCTGTGATTACACAGCTGTGTCCCTTGAACTATTATTTAGGGGCTGCATAATGTAGGAACAGAAATGTATAATTCATCCCTTTGAATTGTAGTGTTTTGCTGATCATTTGCTATTTGTATCAGAATCATACTGTCAAGCACATGCATACTCACTGAAATAATCATATCAAGTTCAGTATTTTAGTCACCATCAGCAAACAGTTTAGAATATGACATAGGATTAGCTAAGTATGCAGTATCACAGTTTTTGAAATAAACAAAGTCATTGATTTATATTAATAGAAAAATTAAAACTCACTCTTTTGTATTGTTTTTTTCTTTTAATTGAAAATTATATACATGGGCATTTACCAGAATATAGTTTTTAGAGGTTTAAGACAGTAAGTAGAACATTAAGTCATCCCTGAAAATATGCTGGAGATGTTTTTTTGCATAACTCAACTGTGTGCCTGACTCATGTACCTCCACTGAAAACATTGTAAAACAGAACTCTGTGGTATATCTTTTCTTAAAAACAGAACCGCCAAGGCCCAAAAAGAAACCAGCACCAGTTTATGATACCAGTGGAGCGTTACTTGTCACAGATACAACAATTACAATCAGAATGCCAATATGTTATTACAGTGATGATCATGGCCCTATCAAGAAGATACAAGTTCTTGTTGCAGAAGCTGGAGGTAGAGTTTAATCAATTCCCTTGAAAGCTGCTTTCAGGTTCAGGCTGTTTGTCTTTTTAATTTACTTCTTGGATTTCAGTAATTTCATTTTAGAAGACAGACAACAAAGTCACTTCTGCTGTGGCAACAGCAATAAGGGCACACAATACCTGTGGGCTGGGTACTGAATTCTGGGAATGCTTTCCAGTGAAGTGTCTTCTATGCTGTTTGAAGCCACCAATATTATTCATTCCCTAATTTTATCGCGACAGTTCTTTATTTTCTGTTTCCTTGAAAACCACCCCAACATTTCACATTTCTGAGTAAAAATAAATAAGAGGTTTTTGGGGTTTGGCAAGGTTATTCTTCTGTTGGTATTAGTGTTGCCTGTAAAAGAATGCAGCCATGTGCAGCTGATATTTCCATTTCGGTATGGGGGCAGAGAGTTCTATAAATCCCCTCTGCACACTGTGGGTAAGAATGTTTATTCCCTTGTACGGACTGATGAACATTTACTCGTGTGAACAGTGCTGTGGAACCTTTTGAGTAATTGCTTACCAATGTGAGTGGGAGTTTTATGATAGGACGTCTCATGGCCAGGCTTATTTTACCTAAGAAGGACAGACTCCAGGCATTTAAATACCTTATTTTACTTGGTTTCAAAGTATAGAAGTAAAGAATGCACATTAAATGAATACACCTTAAGTGCCTCACTTTTTTCTGAATTTTGAATTTTAGCACTAATCCTAATGACATTTAGTTCATAACTATTGCAGTGAAGATTCTCTTGAACTGAAAGATAAACAAATGCCATGCTAAGCAACATAGTAAAGATTTTTCTCATGAGCTGCTGGGTATGCCATGTATGTAAATCTAGTAATTTTTTATGAAATAATTCTTTGCTAGCTAGCTAGCTAGCCATGCTCAATTTCAAAGTCAAGTGTCTTGCACAAGAAATATACTCTACAGGCAGAACTGCTGTGTGAAGTTGCCCCTCGAAGTTTCTACATATGGTTTAGTTGGCTTACTCAGAGTTAACAAAACATGGATAGTGTGGATGGTAAGGAAATTTGGGTTTAAGTGCAAATTCAGTTATAGACTCGGTTGTGTTACTTGCACCAATAGCATGCTAAGCTCTTAAAAAATAATTTCCTATGTAACTTCTTTAATTGCAGTCTGGTTAGAAAGTAAATTGTATCTATTATTTCTTTTCTTGACAATAGCTCAGCATGATGGGAATGTTACCAAGTGGTATGATGCCTACTTCAACAGACCAAGGCCATATTTTACAAATGAAGGCTTTCCAAATCCACCATGCATAGAAGGAAAAGAAGATCTGAGTGGGAAAGAAGAGATATATGTCATAGGTGCTGATACTACATGTCTGATACCAGGCAGCCAAGACAAAATATGTAATGGCCCACTGAAACCAAGAAGGCAGTACCTGTAAGTACATTTGTCTCCATGTTTGTCCAAGAGAAAGATTTAAGTGCGATACAAATTTATGCAAACACTCAAAACATGGGAAAATTAGAAAAGGAGGAAAATTGATCATCATATGTATCTAATTTAATTTTTTTTGCCTGAGTGTAGATATGGAGACAAATTTTTTACAAAAATTTCAAGCAAAAACAATGCTTATTGAGTTCTTAAATTAAATAAAACCAAAATTGAGATAAGTAATTCACACTGAGGTTTTTTATACATTTAAGATTTTGACACAGTTCTTGCTGTCTGACATAATGTCACTTTTGCAGGTGAATAATGATTTAAAATTATGTTATACTAAATTTAAATATATTCTTTTAGTTTGTAAGTGAAACAATTTTTAAGAAAATGCACATAAACGATATTTCAATACTTTTCCTGGTTTTCTTTCACAGATTTAAGTTCAGAGCAACTAATATTAAAGGGCAGTTTACAGATTCTGACTATTCTGACCCTGTCAAAACATTAGGTAAGAAAACTGTAATTTACTAAAGTCTTTCTCTATCTCTAAAGTCTACACAATTCCATGTTTCTTTTTAATACAGTGGTTTCCATGAAGTCAATAATCTCTATGTTTCTTGGATATAGTTTAACTAGAATGGCTGAAGAAATATACCCATTGCGTTGTATATCCTTTTGAGGTAGTCAAGGGACACTATAGCCTGGACTGTTAAATGAAGAGGCAATAGTATTGACAAAGTTTATTTGCAGAAATTCAATTATACCAATAAAAATGTTGCCTGGATAGTTCATCTTGTTTGGCAAACTGCCAGTAGTTGTTCTGTTTGTATTTGTACTGTTTCCTTCTGTGTTGGATGTAGAACAAGTACTGGATGCATGACAAATTGGCTGGGTGGCCTGGCCGAAAGAATGGTGGCTAAATGGAGTTCATCCAGCTGGCAGCTGGTCCCTAGTGGAATTTCCCAGGGCTCAGTATTTGGCCAGTCCTGTTTAATGTCCCTGTTGGTGATCTGGCTGAGAGGATCTAGGACACCCTCAGTCAGTTTGCAGGTAACACCAAGTTCGGCAGGAGTGTTGGTCTGCTGGAGGGCAGGAAGGCTCTGCAGAGGGGTCTGGACAGGCTGGATTGATGGGCCAAGGCCAACTGGGTGAGGCTGGACAGGGCAAAGTGCTAGGTCCTGCACTTGGGTCACCCTGTGCAGTGCAACAGGCTGGGGACAGAGTGGCTGGAATGATGCCCAAGGGATAAAGTAGCTGGGAATGCTGGTCAACAGCAGCCAAACATGAGCCAGCGTGTGCCCAGCTGGCCAAGAAAGCCAATGGCATCCTGGCCTGGATCAGGAATAGTGTGCCCAGTAGGAACAGGTACAAGGATTTTCCTCCTGTACTTGGCACTGGTGGGGCCACACCTTGAATCTTGTGTCCAGTTCTGAGCTCCTCAATACAAAAAACACTGAGGTGCTGGAGCGTGTTCAGGGAAAGACAGAGGAGCTGATGAAGGGTCTGGAGCACAGTTCCTGTGAGGAGTAGCTGAGGGAGCTTGGGTCATTTAGGATGGGGAAAGGGAAGCTCAGGAGAGATCTTGTCACTCTCTACCTGAAAGGTGGTTGTGGCAAGATAGGTGTCAGTCTCTTCTCCCAGGTAACAATCAATAGGCCAAGAGGAAATGTGGTGACAGGAGAGGTTTAGATCAGATATAAGGAAAAATTTCTTCACAGAAATAGTGTTAAGCATTTGAATAGGCTGCCCAGGAAAGTGGTAGCCACCATCTCTGGAGGAATTTAGAAGATGTGTAGATGTGGCACTTATGGACTTGTGATGGCCTTGGCAGTGCTGGGTTAGCAGAAGGACTTGATGATCTTAAAGGTATTTTCCAATCTAAGTGATTCTATTATTATATTCCAGTGAGCTTAATGGCAGGTCATTTGAGGGCATGACCCTTTAGCTCCTTCATCCTTTATATATAGACAGCTCCGTGTGAATTAATAAATTAATATTGTCTAATAGAATCTATCTGGTTCTAAAGTCACTAGCAAACAGGCCAGCAGGTATTTGGTCTGCAATCAAACATAATTCCTTCTTGGCCAAGTTGATATATCCCCAAAACTGGGAATGACATCTCTTGTAGCAGATTGCAATAAGATCTGTAAGTTCTTTTAATATATTTGTAAGTCAAAAACTTACTAAGCTGAGCCTTAGCCCTGAGTTTCTGAAAATGGATATCAAGACAACTGGATGAGTACCCAGAAGAATTTTAGTGGGCACATATTTTTCATTTGGCATTCATCTTCTGTGATATGAGCTCCCTTATTCATCTAATCCATTTTAGGAATTTGTTACATGATCTGATACTGAAGACCCTGAAATGCTAATTCATTACCTGAATATTCTGAAAGGATCTGGCACTATTTATCCAGCCCAGAATGCTTTGGAAAGTGCAACATAAAAGTTGTCTTTATATGCCCTGAGTTTAAAAGTTTCAAGCAGTTTTAGCTTCTAAATTTCAGAGTAATTCCATCTTCCGTGGAATAGGTAATCAAAAGCTCTTTGCATGCTTTCTTGCAAGTGCTTGGAAATCAACATCAAGTTGATCTATCACAAGTGATGCAGGTACTGCAGTCGAATGGTCCTGAAGAGAGAGCACTCTCTTGAGACACATGGCATGAGGAACCTTGCCCAAGAGTTTCCTTAGAGAACATGTTTGGTTATAGGAACTTACAGCTTGCTCTACAAATATAACTCAGAAAGAATGCCAAAAAGTCAGCTTTTATAAATCTTTGCAACCCAGTTACTTCTACTGCACTCATAACTTCAGCTGCTCTCCAGGAGGAATTTATGCTGCCTGAAATCTGAATTGCAATTTGATTTTAAATCAGTTAGCTTCTTTAGTAATAATCTCTGAAATCTGTAGGTTTCCAACATTACACTTTCATTTTAATGAAACATTAATTTGAATGCTGGCAGACATATTCATAACAGTTTAAAAAATCCTACATTACTCTGGTTTCTAAATCTACTGATATAAAATATCTTTGATCTGAAAAATCATCAAGTTAACCTTTCAGTGCAATTTAATATTATGTCTTAGAAGCAGAAAAAAATATGGAAAATCTTGAGAAATCGTTTTGTGAGACATATCAGATTCTCTTGTAGCTAATAGGGATTTTGTTAGGTAGGAACACTGAAGCAGAAGTCTAAGGGAATATACAGCTGCAATAATGGTTTTTAATTATAGTAAAGGATACATTTTAAGAGGGTGCACCCATCCAATCATATTTCATGTACCACAACCTTCCTCTTGACCTGGAGAGGTGGAGTTTGTTCTTCACAATCTATGACTCTCATTGCAAAGTTATTGTCCATGCTACAATAAAAGGTCAGCATTTTTCCATGAGATAATTAAGGTGCAGTGATAAATACTGTCTAAACTTGTAATACATTAAGGCAGCTTGTAACCATTTTGTAAACTCCGATGGTTCGGCAAATCACTGTGGGATAACTGGTAGTTCTGTGCAAGTGTACCTTTTCCATGTTAATTATAGAGCTGATGAGACAGGAAATAATTGAAATAATATTTCCTGACACTGTCTTTTGCACAGAAACTAACCTTGTGGGATTTTATTATTGCAATTTTTTATCATCATGTATTGAGTGCACCACTTCAGAATTACATGTCATGATATTCTCTATTTTGTCTCCTTTTCCATGCCCATGATTATCTCTACAGACATGTATACAGAGATATGTTTAGTCCTCTGTTGCAAAGAAGCATGAGAAAATTTGGGGTTTTTAAATTCTTGGTTGGCGTTCTACCAGCACTGTTTTGTTTAATAACATCTGCATTTTTTGATTAATGCTAATTGTGCATTTTAACATAAGCTTCAATGTTCAGTGCAAAATAGATAGAACTTTTGTAGAGGTTTCTTTTGATATTCTTGTCTTCTTTCACATTGCTACTACTTTTGCCTCATCACAGTGAATCGTGAATGGCAGGAACTTTTTCATTCCTTTTCTCATTGAAACATTTTTGTATGTACCTGTTTTTCTATTCCATTATCTTTACCTAAGATTAAAATTTTTCTTACCTTGTAACATCCAGTGTTAAATCTAAAATTTTACTAATGCAGTGGAAGGATTGTTTCAGGTGTTTTTCAAACTATACTGAATTCTGTTGTCTGTCACTTCATACAGGCCTGATATTGCTTATTCATGTTGGTGTCAGTCTACAACAATCTCACACTTTCTTCTGATAAATTTCTACCTAGCCTACTGTTTTCTAAGCTGTATTGTAGCTGATTATTCCTGCCTACATGTAGAACCATGCACTTGTTCTTACAAAAGTTCATCCCACTGTTTTAAGGTGACCAGATAAATAAGGATCATTTTGAATTTTAATCACATTCTCTAGTGTACATCAGTCCAGATTATCTGCAATATACTTTCAAATCCAAAAGTCACAAAGCCAAGACTATGGTGTTTCCCAGTGTTTCCAGTAGGAAGGATGTTGTTCCTTGTCTGGGAAATAGTTTCATAGGGCAGGAAGCGGTACATTTTCTCCTTTTCCTTGAGACTAAACAGGAGCTAAGTTTTTCTACAGTGGGCCAGCAAGTGGAGGTGAATGTCAACAAAAGGGAGCAATACCAGCAGTAGAATTACCTTGCTTTTTTTATTGTCACTGTTGCCTAAGAGAAAAAGAGGGTGGGTTTTGTTTTAGGTACAGGATTACAGGAATGGTGGGAAATTAAATGAGTCCCAGAAATTTAGCATTATAGAAGTTCAGAAAGAGGCCTAGAAACTACTAACCTAAATAATTTAAACATTTCTGAATGAGCTTTCATTCTCACCTGGAAGGACTGATTAGAATACCAACACTTTATTTTTCTATCACAGAGGTCTTTATGATTACTTTTAACCTGCTACAGTGGTTATTCCTAACAATATCACCAATTCTCACATAAGCCAGGAGCATCAGTTAATGGTCAGTGAGGCAGATTAATCCAGAAAGTTCAGATCTCATCACTAGTTCAGTTCATTCAGCACCCTTAAAATATCTCTAAAAACAGTGTTTTACTTTGCCTTTGTGAGTGGCAGCTGCGAGTCTCATTGCTTTAGAGTTGTGCTCTCCCTTTTTCACTTGAGGAGCTGGAGCAGTCCTGCACAGAGACTGAAGCAGGAGATGAACTCAGGCCAGTGTTCACACAGATGTTACTGCAGTATAGACTGACCTTAACCTGTTCAGCAGGTAATACTGAAAAACACCAGGTGACACCTGCACATTCAGCTGTATTAAAATAACATGTTGGATACATCAGCAATGCTTAAGAACCCTTACATAAAGTGTTTCTGGTTTTGTTATACTTTCCTTTCTGAAGCAGCTCTTCAACAAGCATAAAATGGGTGCAGTTAGAGTCTAAAAGGGTCTGTCTTTCATTATTCCCTAATTCCATACTGTCAGAAATTTAAAAATTCCAAAGAATCTATGATATATTAGCTTTCCACTTTCTGTTGCAGGTGAAGGACTGACAGGAAGATCTGTAGAAGTTGTCCTTGCTGTTACTTTGTGCATACTTTCAGTTGTTCTTTTGGTGGCTGCAGTATATGCTTTCGCAAGGTGAAATTTATATATCCTTCCATAGCTGGTTTGAAAACATTCAAAAATGGTTTAAAGAAGAATTGAAATAGTCCTATAAGTGGAACTAATCTGTAATTTCAAAATGTCTTGATTTTTGGTTGGGCTTTATTTTGGGGTGGGGTTTTTTTGTTTGTTTGGGTTTTTTTTGTTTTTTTTTTTTTTTAATCTAGAACTTTAAGGAGAGACTCACAAAGAATTTAGTCTAGTGAGGGTAACCTCCATAAATGAAGAAAATCCAAGTTCTCCAGAGGGTAAATCAGTGTGGTAGCCTTTCTTAACCTTTCAGAGCCACTTCTCTATTGACAGATCAGAGTGTCAGCTGGTTGTAGTTATCGTGATGGCTAATACTATCTACAGCTGGGTGTGAAATAAATACTCTCAATTATATTTTCTGTCTTCCTAATAAATTTATCAGTTAAATACATTGAGTTCTCACATGGAGAACACAAATTGAGTTTTAATTCAAATAGTAAACAAAATATCCATGTAAAGAATCAGGCTGTGTACTGCACACATGATGGTAGTTTTCTCATTCATCAGTTCTGTTCTTACACAGCTGCATTATTCAGGCATTTCCAAAGAATTTATGTAGAAAAACTAAAAGAATACAGTATGTAGATTCTTTCCTCTGAATTTTAGACATCATAAATTTAACTAAATTACACTATTATGAGGGAGATAATGATAAAAGCCAAGGAAGGATTCTTGGCAACCATTTTTCAGTTTCAGCCTGTCAAATCAAAGCATTGACATATGTGTCCTTAAATATTTTGTATGTGTATTTTTCACTATTATTTTCCATTTAGAATTCGGCAAAAGCAAAAAGAGGGAGGCACATACTCCCCACGAGATGCTGAAATTATTGACACGAAATTCAAACTAGATCAGCTGATCACTGTGGCAGACCTGGAGCTGAAGGATGAGAGATTTACACGGTAAGCATACTCCTCAGGCAAAACAGTAGTCCAAAGGGTCTGTAGCCATGACCCCTTTCTGACCTTTGCTTGTTTGGAAGTGTTTGTGCTGTTCTTATTTACACAGGTCACTGAGATCCTTTTTCAAAGAATGACCTCCAGCCTCAAGACACTTCTCACTAGCTTTTAGAAAATCACTTAATCTTAAGCTCTTTTTATGACAAGATAAAAATCTAAGTGCAAATTACTGTTTAATTGTGTTAGCCAAAGAAGGGCTACATATTTTAAATATGCAGAATTTCTGAGTGTTTTTAATGGCCCAACTTTTTTATGTAGGCTGCAAACTTACACAACCTTTTGAAAAAGCCAGACTCCTAGAAGTTCCTGTGAACTAATTCAAGAACAAATCAACTAGCTCAGGAACAAATCTGTCATTGTTTAATTGACATTTTGAAAGCATTTGTCTTGTTTAAAAAAAGAATTGGCATAACATCTGGGTTTCTGTGGAGCTCAGCACACTGGCTATCCTAACATCTGCTCATTTAAGGTGCATGCAGCAATTCACATTTTGTATCTGACAAGAAATCTTGTCACAGATATTTATCAAAATAACTGCTTTTTGACTGCCAGAAATGTTGATATTACTCAACAAATAAATATAATGCTGGTTATCAATACTATGTGACATCCAACTGTGTTAAAAATATTTGGAGAACATTCTTCACCTGCCTGTATTTTCCCTGCTGTCTCACAGATGAAACACTGTGGTAGGCAGTCTCCTTAAAGATGAGAAGCCCAAAATAGTCTTGCCCTAGTAGCCAAATATCCTACTGTTGCAGACTAGGAATAGCTGGAAGATGAAAGGTTGTAGCTGTTGACCTGGGGCTTTTGTGTGTGTCTGTGTGTGGTACAGGGTAAGTTGATTGCATGTACAAACCTGTTCAAAATAGAGCACACAAGAATGGCTGCTGGTAACAGATGAGAAAACATACTGGGAATCATCTGGAACTCATTGACGTAAGGGCTGGGCTATGTCCTGTGCGGGGCACTTGCTCAGATAGCAGAATTTAGTACCTGCTAATAACAGTGCAAAGCATCTTCTGAAGGCAGAACCATTGCCAATGCACTGCAGAAACTGTGCTTCAGATAAATAATCTCAATGGATCTTCAAAATTACCTTGTATCCACGTTGTTAGCTGAATATTAATAGAACTAATGTTGTTTATGTACTAAAGTGTTAATGGATTTTACTTCCAGATACTCTTCATTTTTCTTTAGACGCAAGGAGATTTTTGTCATCCAGTAAGTTTTTGTATTATTGAAGCAACATGGTGTGTTTTCCATTCTCTTCTCCTAACCTGTGTGTTATCATACTGTATTGAATTATATAGCTGATCAAAATGAAATGTCAATCTTTGACAATATTCTAATGGCAAACAATGGTATTTTTCATCATGAGATCATATATATTGTTAGTTCCTAATGCTGAATTATAGGACTCCCACAATTATTTTCAAATAAATCAAGGTAATTTTTAAATGGAAATTATAACACAGTATGGCAATACAGTCCTGATATAAACAACCTATTCTTGAAACAAAGGCAGTGTAAATGTGACATAAGAAACATGAAGTTTCTTTCCTTTGGAAATTAGGGTAACTTATGAGAAACTAGTTTTTTTCTCTTTTGTACTTACACTGCAGCTGTTTCATGCACTATGTCCCTACAATCTCAGCAGCATATCCACACAGCCAAATCCTTTGTTGGTTTGGAGATACCATTCTGCCACTTTTCTGTCTAAATTATTTTATTTTAAAATTTTTTAATTTTAAATTTTTACAGTCTCAAACTCTAAAGGGTAATTGAAAACTATAATATTTCATACTTATGTACACTTTGTTGTGATTTATGCACAGCAAAACCTTTACTGAACAGTGCTTAGTTACATCGCCCTTATTTTAATGAGTCGGTCTCACTTTTTGGTTTGCAATTTGTCATGTCCTTCCATCTCTATTTTCCTCCTCCCTCCTTCCAACTGTGCCTTAATGGCCAAAAGCAAAGACTTTCTACTTCTGTCATTGTAAGGTGCAGGATGCAGCTGTTAAAATTTTGGATTATTATTTTTCAAATTATATTGTCACTGAAGCTACAGCAGACTCCTTGCCCAGGTCCTTTGCTGAGCATTATGACAAACTGTTGGAGTGCAGGCACTAATTGAGAGCTCCTCAGGACAGGATTCATTACATCTTTTCATCTGAAGACAGAAAATGTGCTCCGAGGAACCCTCTTAGATAACATATAGTGATGAGGGGCAGGATGTGCTTTATCTGTTCAAAATTCTTTAGTTTATTTTGGCCTTTTTTTTTAAGCCTCTAAGAATCTTTCACTATGTGTAATATTCTGTTCTGGTAAAGTCAATGGCAAGAAGGGACATTTTAGGTATCTAGTACTGTCTTTAATACAGTTAATCCTTCCTGGTAATGATGAGTTATATGAGGAAGCTGGCAGAAGCATGGCCGCATGTACCAAGGCAGCTCACTGCAAAACCTAATGACTAAAATGTTTTTGTTTCCTGCTTTTATATTTCCGCAGTTGCACCATAAAAGAACTTTGTACCTGTTGCCACTGGGGAACTTCAGATATGCTGAAGTCAATCACAGTCCCAGTTCGTGACCCTATCATTCTCATGATTTGTGGCTAAAGCAGTGACATGTTGGCATGTTTAATTACAATATTTAATGTTGATGACTGCAGTCTAACCATGTGTATGGAACAGGCATTACTGAATGTGCACAATCTACATGGCTGCATTTAGGCAGCTGTCTCAGCTGTGTTTGCAATGCTTGCTGTGTTGCGGTTCATGGCATCTTGCAAGTGTATGAGGAGGGCAGAGATGGGCAGAATCCTTTACCAGACTGGCATGTTTGTATTTTTCGGGCAGCAGTAAATCAACTGAAATCTGGTCCAGCTTCACCCTGAAAGGGCAGTGGGTAGTTTGCGTGAAAATCCTCGGTGAAAACAGAACAATATAGATTTCCTCCACCTACTAATCATTCCATTCAGTGCTAATTTGAAGGCACTATTTTGGAAAACAGGTTTTTTTGTCACTACTCTGGCATGATATTGTTCAGCTGCTATAAATCAATAAAGGCACATACTTGTAGCTGACAGAGCTGATCCACAGAATCAAAATACTCCAGCCTGCTCCACAATGTATTTTGGAAAACAGGGTTTTTTTCACTACTCTGGCATGATATTATTCAGCTACTATAAATCAATAAAGGCACATACTTGTAGCTGACAGAGCTGATCCACAGAATCAAAATACTCCAGCCTGCTCCACAATATCCCTCTTGTCTCTCATCCATTGTCTCCTCAGACATTCTGTCATACTTGGTGGATTGCAGCTTATGATCTTGGCTCATAACCTCAGAAAATTTTTGCAGCTGGTATCTCATGAGAAAAACAATAAATTAGAAAAAAAAGATTTCTGTTATGTATGAATATGACTGTAAATACTTTAAATCATTCTTAGATCAAAAATTCAACAGCTTGAAGCTCAGCAAATGTTCAGTATAGGTTAATCAAAACATTATATTTCACACATTTTTATAATTTTTTAATGTGAAATATTTTGCACTACAAAAGTCAGTTTGAGTAGGAAAAGAGAAATTTAAAAGTGCCAAGCATTTCATTTTGACAATTTTGAAACTTTTTTGTGGGTAACATTTTTTTTGGCCAGGAAATTAAAGGAAAATCAGTACTAGTCTTTTAAAATAATAAAAATAATAAAAAATATTATTGACAAACTTCAGTGGCTAAAATGACTACTACTAGCTAGTACATATACACTTACTCCCAAGTCTTTCTTAGGCATTTGATCAATTGGATGTAGTTTCAGAGGGCATGCAGGGAATTAAGTCCTACAGAATACAATGGAAAATGAGGTCTTTTTGAATCCCAAATGCTAATTTTGCATGTTTGGAACATACATTGCATTCTGTGATAGTGGAGATGGTGTGAGACAGTAGTAAAAAACAACCTGGTTTCAAACATACAAAGGCCATAAATCTAAACTGAACTAAACACTGTTTCACTAAACTCACTGAATATACATACAATGGATGCACTCATCACTTGCCTTCCACTTACTTACAACAGGTCCACAGGGTTTGCCAAGTTGCTCTTCAAAGCAGACACTAATCTTCTTGAACAGGTTCTCTCCCTAAATTTTCAGTGTGCACCAGGTTTGGTGAGTTAACCCTGTTCCAGGCGCTTACCTAGGAGACAACTTCTCTGGCACCCTACTTTTGCAGTGGTTTCCACAGCAAGGATAAAGCCATTTAGATCCCTGTTTTTAAAAAAATCTCTCCTTGAGAAGTTGAACCTTGTAGTTGATTCTTTGAGGCTTTTGTTTCACTCTGTGGGACAGCTTGTCAAGAAAGTGGGGTCAGAAGAAATATTTCTGTATTACAGACAGTGTAGTCCCTGCAAAAGCCAGGTAATTAGAACACCTTATGGAAAAGTACTGTATAGAAAATGATTGTCTGATCTCATCTTTCCTATACGCTATGCATTCAGTGGGTGTCTATATCTGATGTAACAATTTTGCACACACACTTATTGCTAAAGACCAGCCTGATACTTTCTTTGTGTAGACAGATCTGTCTTCTTTGGAGTAGGGATAGGCATGGCTTCTCCCTTTCATTTTTTCTTCAACAAATTTCACTTTAGCACTGAGCTATCAAAAATAGGCTTCCTGAAGTTTGTGCTCCAGGACAACAAGGTTTATGAATGTATGTGTCCTGGTACAATGGAAGAAATGACCATGTGCTCTCTTTCCTTAGGCCTTTAATACATAGGAAGGGTTAAACTCAATATTGCTCTCAATTAACTTGTAAAAAATTAGTTCCTCTGTTGGTCCTAGTAAGTGTCAGTGGTGCTTATGAGTTAAGCCTTTTGCCTCCATAGTAATTTCTGCAGTTTTCTGGTTGGACGAAATTTTAATTCCCTGTGGATTTCAGATGATTGACCCAGAGAGAAAGCTGAGTCTGTGTGACAATATGTCTTCAGTTATCACTGCCAACACAAATAAATGGCTTCTTTCTAGCTCTATCATATGTAATCTGAGTGGGATTGATTTTTGATAGTCTTCAAAAAAACCCCACACATGAAACAATACACTGTTTTAAAAGAAAATCAGATTTAAAGCTATAAAGCATTCTTTATCTTAGAGAATGTTTTTCTTTCCTCATATCAAAGTCAGGCAAGCGGGAATCTGAAATGGTCCAGCTGAAATAGGAAAATTTTCTACTTCATGGCTTGATTCTGAACTGTGCTCATCAAGATCTAGTGATATTTATATTTTTAAGTTTTATACAAAACACTGGGAAATGTGGAGGACAATATTACATATAGATGAGTATTTGTTCAGTGACAAAATATTGTAAGATTATTACTGTGTATTCAAAATCAAGAGACATAGAAAAAATACTATTTTTTAAAACCTAAGGATGCTGAAACTGAGAATTGCTGGAAGTCTTTAGTGCAAACACAAAATTCATCCCTTCTGAAGATCCTTACACAGCAAAGCCAACACCTTTGCCACAGTCAGACAAGCTAGACATTAACTTTCCTATAAGCACTTTAAAGTAAATCATCTTATTTTCTAAGCTGTCAAGCTATTGCTATGTGCACTTGCTACTAACAAAAAAGTGACAGTGCAGTAGTTCTAAAAATCACTTAAATTCCTACAGATAGGTTAAAGTGTCAATCCATAGATCCCTTGCTTTTTTAAAAACCTCATACTGTTGGATCCATGTACCTTCATCCCTGAAACACTAAATTACCTGCCTGGATTGATTACGCACAGCACGGAAGTAATTTTGATTTCCGAATGACAAAACTGCATTTTCTTACTGCAAATTATGTGCAGTAAGCCCCTCATTGCTAAAAATGTGAGGAGAGTATTTGAAAAATTACTGGAATGTCAACTGGGACATGAATTTAGGTGAATTCAAAGGAAAAAGAAGTGTAACTTCCCTTCAAATTCTGCTTAAAATTTTGACCTGAAAAAAACCTACAAAAATTTCTGTTCTAGTCAAAGACTAGGTAATTTATTTGTGTACAGTACCTTGGTACAACTATTGAAAGTTCTTTTTTTTTTGTTAGGAAATTCTAATGTTGCCAATATTACTAGAAGGTAGTTTCATCTGCCATATAATGCAGATAATCACAACTGATGTGATGCACTGAGCACAAGCTACGTGTCTAAACATTCTGAATAAATAGAGTGGCATGCTTTCTTATCTTATTGCCTTCTTTTTAACTCTAAAGCTCTCCTTCACTTGTCCTTCTTTGTAAGCATCTTTATTTCTGTGAATACTTTTAACTTCTGTGAGACTGATCCAGTGAGGCTTTCATAGCCAGTTTACTGTTTCAGGATAACTGCTCTAAAAAAGTGTGTACCACAAAGGCATCCTTCATAGCTTTGAAATTAACCTCTCTGATGCTTAATAATAAATTATTTAATAATTGTATTCATCTAATTTTATTACCTCAATTAAGATTTAAGTAATTAAGAATCATTTAATAAACTATTTTAAAGCCTTTTTTTTCCTTTTCTCCTAAAATTATGACAGCAATACAGTAGACTTTGTATTATAGAATATTTTTTGTAATATTGTGTGTAAGAATGTATATTTGGAGGAACAGACACATAAAAGGGGTAGTTAGAGTTTTTTCAAGGAGCAGGTTATCTTTAAAACTGAATTATTACAAACTTTTTTACTTGGTCCTTTAAACAAGTTTTCTGAGTCTGAGTGCTTAAAATTTGGTTTCTAAATCCATTCAGAGGCAATTTTGACCAAGTTTCAAGGCCATCTGAAAGTCCTCTGAGTACAGATCCTCATGTTCTATCTTCATGAAACCTGCCATGAGATCAAGTTAAAGATTTAATATGTATCACAGTTTGTAAAATTGACATATACAGAAACAGCCATGAACATGTGAAAAATGAAGATAAAACCAGGACACTAATTTTTAAAATCTTTAGAAAACAACCACGGCTGTGGTTTCTGTAGAGGCACACCAGTATCATGATTCATCTGTGACTCATTTTAGATATCTGCTTCAAATGAGATGAAATTACACCTATTTCTCTTCATTGGTTATAAAAGAAATCTAGAGTGACTGAGAAATAGGTGTCTGTGTTCAGTCAGATTGATCCTATCCTGATGCTCTGAAATGGTCCTTAGAAGAGTGATATTGGGTAAAGAATGCAAAATGAAGCCTGTCAGTGTGTATGTAGTGGTGTGCAGCAAGGATGGGTTTCCCAGGGCCATATGAGCCCAGAGCACTGTGAATAATCTAAAGAAAATGGTAGAAACTATAACTATGTAATTCATATCTGCTGATACCTGAGATAAAAACTAATAAAGACAATAACCCAAGGTATCTGAATTTGAATCCATAATGGAAACCAATCTTTAGGTACATGGTATTTAATCTAGAACCTATTAAAATGCACAATATTGGTTAACTGTCAGCTTGCTACATTTAACAAAGATCTCTATTTCAGGTTACTTAGTTATAGAAAATCCATCAAGTAAGTTTACTAAAGATTTTTATGTTGTGTTCATTGGTGAGTCTCAATGTGTGGTTCCCTCCTCAGTGTTTGTTAGAAAAAAACTCCAAGCTGCGTATAAATCATAAAAGCATGACTAATTGCATGGTAACTGGAGAAATGCTTTCTCTCTCTCTGGGGTGAAGCCTGCATGTCTGTGTTTTAGCTTGGGAAGTAATACAGGGTTATTTAAACTCCTCAGGATTTAAAAACCATGCCATTATGAGAATGAGGTCATTGCAATATTTTATACGTCTAAAACCTTGCAATGTGTAAAATGTTTTCTGTCTGATAAAGAAGTATTATGTACCTTAGAATGCAATAATAAACTTACAAATTTACTTTAATGTCAAAACCTCTCCTTGAAATGCTGTTACCCTTAAAAACAATCATACCTTACAGTAGTGTTAACATTAGCAACATCAAAAATGTTGTGGGGGAGAAAAATAAGGGGGTAAAATGTTTCTCTTTTAAATGATCAAAAAGAAATCAAATAAGCATGCTGTAAGCAATTTATAATTTTCTGCCTGTAAGTATAATTTTCCACTGAACTGGAAAATATTGTTTATTAATAAACTACAGTTATGTAACAAGAATGGCAAAGATATTCCCTATGGATTTCTAATTCTTCTGTCCTTACTTTCAGGCCAATAAGCAAGAAATCCTTTGTACAACACGTTGAAGAGCTTTGCACAAACAACAACCTAAAGTTTCAGGAAGAATTTTCGGTATGTTGCTAGCAGTTGTCACAACATCGCAAGACATTCAGTCGTTTCATGTGTCACATTTCATGTCCATTTTAAGCAGGCAAGGCCATGAAGGACTCTGGCCTTGATAATCAATACCCAATTACCAGGTTGATTGTTTAGAAAGTAACAGTACACTGATTTGGATTCTGCAGCCTATACTGCAACCTAGTCAGAATTATTCACCTTAGTGTCAGCCAAAGATGATCTCCTTTAGTCTCCAACATTTCAAGACCACCATATTTATGTTTTTACATATCTAGTGTTGCACATGTAGGTTACCTAAGAACAAGTTATTTAGAGTTTTCTAACATATACACAGGTGTATTTAACTGCCATAAATATGTTTGTTTTCCTGAGTGGTGATGACTCCAAAAGGAGAGTTAATGTTCATTCTGTAAAATTTTCCGGCCCCAGTCATACTGCCATAAAACTCAGGAATGTTTTTCTTTCATAGATTTTGGTGCAGAAAGTCAAAGGTTTGTACATGGTACTTTGGCTTTTGTTCCTCTACAAGTAATAGGGCAAATTTCTTATGCTCTTGAGAATAGCTTCCATATGAATAGCCTTCATTTCCTTACATAAGCAGATGAACACAGCAAGTCTGTCTTTCTGAAAGGGGCCTCATTCTCCAAATATACATTACAGATAATATAATATCTGTATAGTTCCAAATTTAAATCTCAAAGTTCTCACTATTTTCATTAAGTAATATTTTATGGCTATCATATTTTTTCTCAACAATAACTTCTTGTTATTTTAGAATCTTTATCATTATCTTTCTTAACACATACAGTCATTTGCACCAAAAAATTTGTGAGTGTCCAGTGACTTTATTATTTTGGATTTATAAATTTACCATGAATAATTTACCAGTTGAATTAACAAAAATGAAAACTTAACAATTGGCTTTTCTTTTGCTAGATTATAATATTTCAGTTTCCAAGGAAACACTAACAAAAGTGTATAAATATTAATGATATTTCCTACAGGTTTTTTTGTTATGCTCATTAGGTAAAATTGGTCTGGATTTAATAACAAAAAGCACCATAAAATTCTCAGAGCAATAAAGTAGAAGTGTTATTTCACTTGAGCAAAAAATTATTATAGTTGCATTATGCATGACTGAACAGATGAAAAGTTTTGATATCAATAACACTTTCACCTATTAACATTCATTACTAGAAAGTCTCTAGTATTACTTTCTTTAGGTGAGACCCACATTGGCTAAGCCTTACAGCATTGTAACGTCTTAAATCTTAAACAATAATGTTTTATCAAACCAAAATTGTTGCAGTCTGCTTAAAATTTAGAGAAATACAAGAAGCTGAGGTGTCCTTCAAATAATTTATATAGTCAACTATAATAGATAGTTTTATATGTCATTTAGGTTTTCAGTCTTTTTACTCTCTGACCTTCAACTGCCATGTTTCAGAGTGTAGTGATATCTTCCCAGATGACTTGTCCAAGGGCAGGCAGAATTTCAAGGTAGGTTCAGTCCCTCAATACAAGTTTATCTATGTTATTTGTAGCACATCTTAACAGATAAACAATAGGATTGCCAGCATACTTCAAATTACATTTGAATGACAATACTCAGGAACAGGCAATGCATGCAATAAACAAGCAGACCTCAAGATCTGCATTGTTTTATCCACATGCATAATTCTACTTTTACAGAAATGACATGAGGGTCCTGCAATGTGTGTAGGAAAGATTAGCTCAAGATATAAACTCTTGAACATTATGTAAACCCATATCTGCAGCACATAACTAGGTGGTGAAACTGGAATAAGTTTCCCATAGAAGCTGTGCATGCCCTATCCCTAGACATGTCCTAAGCCAGGTTCGATGGGGCTTTGAACAACCAGGTCTGGTGGAAGATGTCCTTTTCCATGCCAACAAGGGGTTGGACTAGATTGTGTTAATGCCCCTTCCAACTCAAATTGTTCTGTGGTTCTATGAAAAGCATAGTGCTGAGCTTGCTTGGGCTCTCAGTCTGTCTCTGGATGAGTAAATTCAAGTTTACTGGGAACAGAATATGAGAATATGATAATTTACACTAATGAAGTGCTAGTATACTCCCTGTGTTGGATTTGGTCTGTTTCACCTAGCAGTCTTCCTGGACAATTCCAAAATATACTTTGGTAGGTAAAGTAGTCCAGGGATAATTTACAATAGGCAGTTTGCGGACAACAAATATAGTTTAGAGTTTTCCAGAGTAAATGTGAGTCTTTCTATTTCACTTACTCTTGTAATCTATGGACATTCCCAGTTTCATCTAATTTGCTTGACTGACCAAACTGCAGTGCCAGAACATCTTCAGGGGTTAGTCTTGGTTCACATGTGAACAGGACCTGTGTGTAAATGTGATGAGAAGGAAATCTGGACCTCAGAATGGACCTGGATCCATTTCTTGTCAGAAAAGATGAGTTTAAAGGAACCATAGGGAGCCAAAGTAACGGATGATGGGCGTCACCTCACTGCTATTCAAACTTCCAGCTTTCCAGCTGATTCCTGTGTCTCTCAATACATTTGGGAACTTATGCCTTTCAAGTGACAGGCAAATTACTGCAACAGAAATACTTGTATAATACTTGATTTATGATAAGTTCTGCTCATGAGTAAAAAAACTGAAATCCTTCAAAGAGTCACCAGTGTCACAAATGTACTGCAGTAAACAAAATGCAAACTTTATTTCAAGGTTTTATGAGTTTGCAAAGAAACATGGTTTCTGTGACAAGTTTTTTACTGAGTCTGGGAACCCAAATACTCTTAACACAAATATGAAAATAATAGCTAAGACTGAAATCCCTACTAATGCAGGGAATTGGTATGAGGCTTTTGAGCACTTGTTCAGTTATGGAAGCATTATGAAAATAACAAGATCTGCTTCTCTATTTCCTCTCTACTACAAAGTGCTGTATAATGGTGCTACTTCTACAGTAGATGACTGGTAAGCTAAAACTCAGAGGAGTGAGGCAAATGAGGGAAGTTAAAGTTCACATTATACGGGATTCCATGGCCCAAAACACTATTCAAAATAGGCATTTTGTGTATGTCCTTCCTTCAAGAAAATATTCAATAACAGAAACTTTGTGGGAGAGTTTCAGCTTTCTGAATTAGAGGAATTTTAACATTTCAACCTTTAACTGTGTTTTACACACCAAGTGGACAAAATATTTGAATTAACAATGAAAGAAAAGGACTGAAATAAAACAGTCCTGGTTTTCTATTTTTCATTACCTTATTTATTTATTTATTTATTTATTTGCCAGGAGATTCCTATTAAATTTTATTCATAAAAGACAGACTGTCTCAAATACCTCGGCAAAAGGGCATAATTAATATTGAGCCTCATAGTAAGGCTATCTGCCCAACTTTTGGATGTAGCCCATGCAGATGGTAACCGCTAATACTAAAAGACAAATTTGAAGGGACTTCAGCAAAATTTTATATTGTGCTCATTCAAAGCAAAAAGTAGACCTCTTAATTTATATCTTAGATATATATATATATATATATATAAAACAGATTTGTGTATAACATCTGTCAAACAAAGCAAAATTCTATTGAAGTTAACAATGTATTTACAATTCCGGATTTTCTGTGTCTTCTATTCTTTTAACACCAAGGTCACCACTTTAACACATTTTCTACATTAACAAGTTCTGAAATTGTCTCCACTCTTTTAATCAGCTTTGTAAATTATACCTGTTTATGCATACAAACTTCCCCATCAAATAAGTTCCTCACCATGAATGATTTATCTCTGTCCTCCAGTAATAGAGCAAATTGCCAGTGATGAAGCTGCAGTACAACCTAAAATAGCTCTTCCCACTCCTTTCACAAACAGTCCCAAGAACAATAACTTATTGCCAGTTGTCTCAACTTAATTAAATTCTCATCAGTTCTCATGTTGTAGCACAAACTCTCCCAAGCTACAGAGTCAGGAAAAGGCATTATTCAAGACTGAGTCAGTAGGGCATGGTAAGCAAGCATGTGACTTCATGAAAAAAATCAGAAAACTAAAAAGGTGATAGACTGACTTTATCCAGGCTTTTAAAGGTGAAAGTTCATGTAGACTTAATTGTTCAAGTCGACAGCATTGTCTGCAGTGCTGCATCTAACACTGCTGATTTAACTGGGGTTGACAGTGAGGTGGGAAGCTCTGTAATGCTTCCAGCTATTCTTAGAAATGCACTGTTGCAGAACTGTAGAGTTTTTCCTCTTACTGGATGATTGTGTCATATTTTGAATGCGTTGCAGAACTGTAGAGTTCTGCAAAATATGACACAATCATCCTCTTACTGGATGATTGTGTCATATTTTGAATGCAAGTGGAAAAGTTTTCCAACAAACATTTATTCCTTTGCAGGAACTTCCCAAGTTTCTTGAAGACCTTGCTTCAACAGATGCTGATCTGCCTTGGAACAGGTCTAAGAATCGTTTCCCAAACATAAAGCCATGTACGTGTGTTTATTGACCAACTCCTCCATTTTGCTCTTTACTTTCAATAGTGTAACAGATATTTGTAATGCAAGTGTATTTTTGTTTGATCTGTCTTTGAAATAGCAGTACAGTCTACTCCACATTATGAAATCATTTTCTGTCAAGTAATCCATCTTTACTTTGTGGGTTTTTTTAAGGCAGTTTTATTTGCAAGTAGCTTTCAACTTGCTCTCACAAGCTTTAATATGCAGGTGCAAGAAACTGTAGCCTCAATAGTTTCTTGGCTTTGTAATTCAAGCCATGTAGCAAACTCTTTAAAATTCTTCCTTATTGGTTTCTTTTCCCCTTTAGTAAGAAGTAATTTTTTAAACATATAAAATCCACATGTTTGTGCATTCAGCTACCTCAGGAGTCTGGATATGCTTTCTTGTGGATATGTGTACATGTGCTAAAAGGTTCCACAGAAGATCAGAGTGACTGTATGATAACTTATAAGCCCAGGCTAGATATTATCACAGGAGACAGCAGTCTGTCTCTCTATACTCAACACTGCTTCATTTTTCAGTTAATAAGACAAGAAATGTCATTATTATTTTAGGCATTAGTTGTGATGTGAGATGGATTGCATAGCATTCCTTGGTTAATAATGCTACATTCTGTGCTATTAACTTTTCAGAGCAGCTGTTCTTGCTATCTACTGCCTTGTTCAAGACATATTCTAAGTCACAGTCACTAAAAATTTATCCTCATGACAGATAAGACATAAACAGATATGTTTCATAAATATTAAACTTTGTATTCTAAAGTTATTTACTAAGTTGAAGACCAAACACCAAAACTCTGGTGTTACACACATGATATGTTTCTTGGGTTTTGTCTTTTCTGCATGCATACTGTAGGACCAAATCAGAAAACTTTTTTTCTTTTTTCTTTTTTTTTTTTTAATAATGGATTAACTTTATGTAAAAAAAAATAAAAATAAAAAAATATAATTATAAAAGTGCCAGAATCTCTCTCAGTGACCTAGGTAGCAAGTACATATAAAAACCATCAGTCCCCTGACTCTGCCCTCTGATTCACGCAGAAGCTGTGTATGCTAGGACAGCATGGCTTGAAGTACACAGGCTCATTTTAGGTACAGAATCCTCCCATATGTACATCAAATTGGAGGTTTCAGCTCATTCACCATTTAAATTAAAAAGTATTATCTGCTACATGTCTGGAACATTGAAGAAAGACCACATAGTAGTGTAAAAAAGGTTAAATTACCTTTGTAGTTAGTGTTCTACTCCATCAAATATTGTTACTGCTAATAACAGTATTTTTGATTTCCTAGCACTCCAGGAACACTTTTTACATGTTTTATGGTTTTTGAGCCGATCTTTCTGTTAACTAGACTTTACTTCCATGATAGATAATAACAACAGAGTAAAGCTGATGCCTGATACTGGTATTCCTGGATCTGACTACATTAATGCCAGCTATGTGTCTGTAAGTAGAAAGTCTCTCACATTTTTACTGTATTTGTTTTCTGGTAGAAGAGTAAAAAAATAATTCGCAACAAAAACAAGATTCTAGTTTTTCTTTCATTCAGTACAGCCACTGTTGCCATGACATTGTTCAAGTGACTCCTGTGGCACTAGACATGGCAAGTTAATAAAGTATATATTCCATTTTCATTGCTAAGCAATGATTTCCAAAAATAATCAAAACTGTGTCCAGCAAGTTGCTTTTTATAAGTTATCTCATACCATTTTGATAAAAGGAAATAGTGGAACTCACACCTAGGTAAATTGTTTAGATAGGTGTTTGGTCTCTTGATTCAGGAGTTAAAGTTGTTGTATATGAATAGAACAGTGCAAAGATACTGAACTGAAAACTTTCATAGAAATAGCTAACAGTTTTAGTGTGCTCCTTATTATTTTGTGAAAGTTATGATGAAGGAAAATGAAAGTAGGCTTCTTGAAGAAGAAAAGAATACTATATTTTTCATCCTCATCTTTCTTCTCAGACTTTCCCATTTTCTTATTGTGTGCTCAGTAAATTCTTCATCTATATTTTAATCTCATTTTTGTCCTGTTGAAGCTCAAAGTGTGAATTATATAGTTACGCATCTAATCTCTTCTAGCAGTGGCTGGTGATCTCACATGAGGTCAAGACTTGATTTACATTAAATACTTTTCAAACATGTAGCAAGACATGAGAGTTGGCAGATAGGAAGAACCATGCCATTTGATGCTGGGACTACACAGAATGGCTGAGAAGGAAAGCAGAGGCATCTTGGAGCATGGTCTGGTCTTTACCCTTCCTGTCACTGACAGGCCAAGTCTTAGGCAGGGAACACTAACAGCAATTCCCAAAAAGCTGCAGCAAAAGCCAGCTACAGTGTTCCCTGCTGAGATTTTGCTTGTGTGCATACATTTTAGATGGCCATTCATCAGTGAATAGACAGTTCCAGTGTTATGGTTTCTCAAGGCTAAAGTTTCACCCTTTATATGCACTCACTTTCCATGTTTGTAGATGTATAAATATATAAATGCATATAGCTGTAAACATGCAATATGTATGTGTATTTACATACCTAATCACCTAGGCCTGTCTACATATGCATGCTTGTAAAGAAAGGAAAAGAGAAGTCTTGTACGTAGTTTTAACAAATGGGAATTCTGCTACTACTTTGACCTTCATTGGTTAAACGAAGTCAGTAACTGAACTGTGAGCTTTGCATCCCTGAGTTATAGTTTCTCACCTCACTCTTAAACTAAAGAGGATTAACATAGTTTCCCACTGCCACCTGTTCTTTATATTATAGATGGAGTAAGTAACAGGCAGCTGTGAATTATAGGGCTATAATTCCAACAAGAAGCTTTGGTGGTGCTATAAACCACTGTGTCAGTTGTTTTGAGCAATAAGCAGGACACTGTGATATTATAAACTGCTAGTTCTACAGCATAAATTTATTGCTATTATTGCTGTTGTAGTTATTTTAGACTTTCTGTAGTACATAATAGTTCCTGTAGGTGTACTTCTTTCCTATGAGGACCCAGATCCATGTGAAACCATGCACTCAGAGCATTGATAAATTTTTTCAATAAACTTCCTTCTTCCCAAGTTTTACACCAATTTATAAATTAACCAAAGAGCAAAAGCCAACACTAAAATAAAAGTCAACACCGTCAGTAGGTTTCTTGAAAACCTTTAATCGGAGATCATTTATTTCAATAAGCTTCAACCCCAAATTACAGCATATCCCAGACAATCACCAAAGAACAAGGTCATTAGTGTGTGTATTACTTGCACTGGCTCTGAGACTGCTCCTTATTTGTTTCCCTGGCTCCACTGCTCCTTAGCACTATTTGATTCTCCTTTGTTGGCCACCTCTTGATTTAGTTCTTGGTGGCCTTTTGCTGGATCTGCAGTAAGTATAATATGAAGGCTTAGATACTTTTAAATGGGAATTGATGACCTGATGTCCCTGTAATATCTCTGCTAAATGCATTTCTATTACCATGGCGCTTCCCATACTTTAGTAGAGTATTGGTTCATAACTGGACTGCCAAAAAAAGCCATTTCTTTCTTAGTTTTCCAGGGCAGCCTGCCATGCAGTGACTATTGAGGCATATGCCAATTCGCTTAGTATGTCTGACAAGGTTTTAGCCTTAGGCATGGCAGATACAGGCACAACTGTGAGTCACATGCAAACTCTTTTGTTTCCTTGCCAACCATTATGTATTAAACATTTTCTCTTTCTTAGGGCTATTTATGTCCAAACGAGTTTATTGCAACTCAGGGACCTTTACCAGGAACAGTGGGTGATTTCTGGAGAATGGTGTGGGAGACAAGAGCTAAAACACTTGTGATGCTCACACAATGTTTTGAAAAAGGACGTGTAAGTTACCAGTGAACTAGTTAAAAGCATTTGATATAATTGGGAATTCTGTATGTAGTTTCTGTCAAGATTATAACATGATAATTGTTAATTAATTAGTGATCATCTCCCTGCAGATAAGATGTCATCAGTACTGGCCAGAAGATAATAAACCAGTGACTGTGTTTGGGGATATAGTGATTACTAAATTGATGGAAGATATTCAAATAGATTGGACCATCAGAGACCTAAAAATTGAAAGGGTAAGCCAGCACTGGAAGTTGATGGAAAAAATTCATCCAACACCCAAAAGAACATCAGATATGCTACATCCCACCCAACTACTCCCTCAATATTCTTTTAATATTTTAATGTGCATGCTTTGTACTGCCTGGTTGTCCTGCATTTTATTTTCATTGATGTTTTATTTCCTGAAGATTTTTGTCACAAAGAGCTCAGATATTTGTCCAATATTCTATGAAGGGGCTGTTAAGGTTACTGAACTTCTGATCTGGTGGGAGGTGAAGTTTCTACTTGGACACAATTGCGTCTGTTCTAGAAAGGAGTAATCTTAACCATTCTGAGATCAGACAAATCCCTTCAATGTATCCCTCTCAGATTAAAGGGCAAGATTCTCTGGTGCAGCTGCTTTGCATTGTACCACCAGCCATTGGCCTCCACCCCCAGGAGATTCACCCAATGAATGAGAACCATCAGTATTACTCCTACTCTTTGTGCCGGGAAGGAGGAGCAGGGGTACAGCAGAGACCTTCACCTTTGTCATGACCCACAATACAGTTTCCACGTGTTGGAAAAATTATAACCCAGCATTAACTGGGAACAGCAGGTGGGCTCAAAAAGCAATCCGGGAATAAAGACCCAAAATTAAATCATCTTTCTTTGGCACTGCCAGAACTGATTTGCGTTGCAAGTAGTGCAGCCAGATCCTAGGACCTGAACTGGGCTGTGCTAATGCAGGCATTGCCATGCTGTGGCCTGTGCACGTGACAAAGGGCACACAGCAGGTAGGGGCTGTCTCAGCAGCCACTCCATAGGGATATGTTGTGCACATACTACAGAGAAACTGAACATTTAAAAATGACTGAGAGAAGATAAACCTTTTTTTTTTCTGCTAAAATTAGAACATAAAGAAGCAAGACTGGAAAAAGGACTATTTAGAATAAAAATGAATTCCAGTAAAATGCCAAGTCACTTGTGTTAATGAGGGTGAGGCTGAAAAGAAGATAATCTGAATTGACTGGGTGATCAATTTACTGTTGCTGAACTATCCTGCACAAAAAGCTATGCCCTTTATAAGCATGTCATTTTGCTTATAAATTTGCTGTATTGCTGATTCTAAGATTGTATGTCCATTCACAAGCGGGTGAATGCTTGATGATCTTCCAGTGAAGATAAAAAGCATATGTGAAGCAAATAACTCAAAATCATTGCCATTGTGAATTTCTCTTCCATTTTTATGTTGATCAGTTTAAAAATTTCTGCTAGAAATAGAACATAGATAAGCAAGACTGGAAAAAGGACTATTTAGAATAAAAATTAATTCCAGTGAAATGCCAAGTTACTTGTGTTAACGAGGGTGAGACTGAAAAGAAGATAATCTGAATTGACTGGGTGATCAATTTACTGTTGCTGAACTATCCTGCACAAAAAGCTATGCCCTTTATAAGCATGTCATTTTGCTTATAAATTTGCTGTATTGCTGATTTTAAGATTGTATGTTCATTCACAAGTGGGTGAATGCTTGATGATCTTGCAGTGAAGATAAAAAGCATATGTGAAGCAAATAACTCAAAATCATTGCCATTGTGAATTTCTCTTCCATTTTTATGTTGATCAGTTTAAAAATAATAGTACAACTACAAAGTAATTGCTACACATAATTGTTCACCATTGTTCAGTATTTCTTGCAATATGAAAGAAGCCAGTGATTGGTTCAAAAACAATTTGAAAAAATAGAAACTGGTTCAATTCACAACAGTTGATTGAACTGTGGTACTCCTTGCTGCAGGATATTGTGAAGGCTAAAAATTTACAGGGATTCAAAAAATCTATATAAATTAGTAGAAAAAAATACTAATGAGTACTATTAAATTTCGATTTACTGTTTCACTGAGGCAGTTCACAAGTCACAAACTACTAAGAATGGAAAGGATATTCTGGGGAATTACAGCTACATTGTTGTCATGTTTTATAATGTTCCCTAACATTTTTTTCTTGACTACTGCTGGAAAGAGCACATTGATGTAGACAGGCCTTTGGCATGATCCTGTTCTTTCAGTTTTACGTCCTTCAAAGGTAATCTGGGTATTGGATCATAACCTCTTTTTTGACGTTACTGATGCTACTGCTCTGATTGAGAGAACATGGAAGAAAATATATCTGTGTTCACCCAGTGTATGTGCGTTTGCCTTTACCACACTGGATCACTCTTAGAGTAATTGCTTTTTTCCTGAACAAATTTGTCATCCCAGCTGACTAAATTTCTAAATGAGCCATAGAAACTTCAACCTGAAATCTACAAATTACAGATATAATGACTAAAGTCAAATGAAGAGTCACTACTGAAAAAACTAATACTTTCTGAAAGATGGACTTGATGCCATCCCTCAAAAAACCTGTCAGAAGTTCTACACACAGCAAATTATCTCTTCATGCCAGTAATCTTATAATTTATGCTATTCTAACTTTTTTATATATATATTAAATTACTGAGAAGGTTGCATGTACCTTACTGAACCTTCTGTAGCATTTCTTCTGTAAAAACTGCATTATTATGTACTTTTCAGCATGGAGACTGCATGATGGTGCGGCAGTGTAACTTCACTTCTTGGCCAGAACATGGAGTCCCCGAAACTACTGCACCAATTATCCATTTTGTAAAACTCATCCGTGCAAGTCGAGCACATGATAGCACACCCATGGTGGTTCACTGCAGGTGAGTATATTCACCAAATCATCGTTTGGTAGCTTGGACTCTCAAGTCCATAATAATGCACAGGGAAGTTGCCAGAAGAGCTACCATGGAGACTGAGTACACAGATATTGTTCTAGTACGGACAGCAGTGAAGGTTTCTCTAGCAATCCTTCTCACTCCTTTCTAGAAGGTAAAATGCCAATGTCTGTTCTGCTGTTTATGGAAATCCACTGAGGTGACGTGAGGGAAATAATTGCTAAAAAAATTACCATAAAGTACTGCTGGATTTTTCTCCATTTTCCTCTTCAATCATGAGAAGAGGAACAGCAAATGACATGTATTGGTTTAAATTACTTTTATTACAATTAAAACTCTTCTTAAGAAGCAAGTATTAAAAATATTTTTTAAATGTATATGTCACATATCATAAGGAAGAAGCTGTTTGAAGCCACAGAGTATGAGAAATAGAAATAAGGGTTTGCATAGGCCAGATTTCAAACTTGGATGCCTGTAAACAGTTAAAACCTATATTTAGGCTCTTAAATAAATGGTCTGGTGGTTAGAGATGTTCAGCTGTCACAGTTTCCACTGTTTTCATTAATACCCTTAAATTTCTGTTTCAAAGAGTATGTGTGGGGAGGCCTAAGTCTTAAGGAAACCAATGAATGTGACTTGCATTTTGTGCAGGTCAGTGTTCCCACTGAATGTGTGGGCATGCTCCATAAAAGAGAACTGAACTCATAGGTCTGTTACTGAGTCTTCTTTGCCTCATTCTCACTTGGTGTGAGTCTGGAAATAAGAGGAAGGAAAAGATGCCTTTAATGCTACAAATATTTTTCCACTTTATCTCGCATGGGAGTTCTTATTATTTGTCCTCAGCATCCTATGGGTAGTACCCACAAAGGGTAGTAAAGCCTTACTCATTTAATATTGCTGTCTTTGATGAACATTTCCCTCTACTGCAAGGGCCACAAAGACTATGGCAGGAGAGAACAACAGAGTCTTCATGTTTTCAGGACACAAATTCTGTGGGGACCCTCTGCAAGGAACCCTATATCCTTTTCAGAAGGGAGAGATGTAAAGGGGCCAGCATGGTCCTGATACCACACCTGTGCTCAAATTCCTGATGGTTATAAAGCGTTACTGTATATTCTCATATCAAGAAAACTCATTCATTAATTTTTGCTCATTAGATATTGCAAGCTCAAGAGTTCTGCTATACATCTCTTGATTATCTGCAGTGATATACCCTGCATTTATTACACCAATTGCAGAGAAGTCTGATAGTCATTTGGAAATGATCCTATTCATTATAAGACCTTGAAATAAAACACTACCTACCAGCAGGTATTGCACACTCATCCTCCTTTTAAAAGTGTTTTCTTTTGAATTTTTTTGTTAGATCCCATGTTATTTTGGGATATAATACTAAAAGTATTACAGAATCCCAGTGTAATTTCACAAAATCTTGTGATTTTTTTTCTTCTCAATTAATGAGCTCTAGAAAACTCACAGAAAAGCTATAGGATCTTTTTTTTTCCACTCAAACATGTTTGGTTCATATGAACATATAAATAAGTAATATCTCATTTACCTCATGAAAATGAGAAATCAAAAATTATGAAAATGTGAAATCAAAATTTGAAAATGGCTCAAATCCAGATTTCACTTGATCCAATTCACAACCAATAAACACAACAATGAAAGGAATTCACAACCTGTAAATACTTTAAAAAAAGAATCAAGTTTTGCTTCAAAAGTTTTTCTTTTCACAATAAGCAATTTATCCAGAATATTCTAAGAAGATGCTGAAAGCATTAACACAAAATCTTTATTTTATCTTGTTTATCACGTTTGCAGTGCTGGTGTTGGAAGAACAGGTGTTTATATTGCACTTGACCATTTAACCCAACATGTAAATGACCATGATTTTGTGGACATCTATGGACTTGTAGCTGAGCTAAGAAGTGAAAGGATGTGTATGGTACAAAACCTGGTAAGACTTATCTATTCTGTTTTCCTGTTGTTGAAATATTAGTGATGTCTTCACATGACCTACAAAACAACACTATAAAGCTAATAACAATCAGCTGTATAATAAATTTTCTATCAAATCCCGATTTTATTTATTTCCAGCATTGCGGATTTATATTGTCTGTATCCACCTAAGTACACTTAGCCAGCAAAGTCTTAACAAGTGCTGAAAAGAGTGCTAATTATTTTTAAACCTAAATAATAATTTCTCCGTTTCTAAGAAAGTTTATTTCAAGTTTTGGGTAAATAACAATGGTTATATTAAAAATGGATTCACTCATTCTCTACTTAATTTGACTTTATTTACTAATTTAGTGTATTTTTTGGGGTGTATGCATATGTGGCATAGTCCACCAAACTTTAAAATATTCATTTACCTTTGAACTCATTATTTATGCCTTGATTCTTTTTCAATCACTTCAAATAAAATCGTACATATGGATGGATTTAATCACAGATTTCAAAATTTTCAAAATCAATGGTGGGTTTTGGGTCTAGAAAAAGTACATTTCTAGCAGGTTTATTTTGTATGGATAGAACTCAGTGATGATCTGCTGGTGAGGAAGACTTCCTTCTGCTGTATCTGGGATTCTGAGTATATGTAAACGAATAATATTAGAATTTAAAGCTGATCCTAAATGCCCAGTGGAATGGAAATCAGCTTTGTTTGGATAAGGCTTCTAGCATAAGTTGCCTGCTGGCCAGGTCTAACCCAGGGCAACCTGAAGCCTTTGAGTCTACAGCATGACTTACCAACTTCTCAGTATGGATGAGTAGTTTCAGGATGAACTTCCACATGACTGATGGATTTAAATTGATTTTAATATAAGGAGATTTGCTTCATTTGGAATGAAATTCTGCTATTCTGTATCACAACAGAATATGTAAAAAGTGTGTCAGAATACACAAAGCAGTTAATCCTTCTTCAGAAGATTTTATGGGACCTTCTGGTGATATTCTGAGATGATATATCTTGTAAGGTGCAGTCTAGATACCATGTGCTCCAAATTTTCACTTCTGAAGTTTTGATGCAGCTAAAAAATTGCTAGTGCTTTCTTGTGAGGATAAATTCTGGGAATACTTTTTGGTTCTTGTTTTACTTTTTTGACTAGAAGTAGAATCACCTAGAAATTAATCAAAGGCTGGAAGACAATTTAATGGAAGCACTCCCAAAATAAAATTTTAAAACAGTGAGATATTTGATAATATCATTGCATGTTTTTAAGATATCATTTTTGTGTATCTCTTCATTAGGATGTTTTGGCAGGGGCTAGGAAAAGGTGTGCCAAAATGCAGTACAAGATGATGGTGTCAGAGTTCAGATTTCCTAACAAATCAAGTATCCATCTGTATGCTAGCTGCAAAATTCTGACATAGCCTGTTCTCTGTCCAGGTCATTTCTAGCTCATATTTGCAAGACTACAAAAGTCAGATCAGCAACAAAACTTGCCCAAAGGGAATCAGTCTTGTAAAGTTTTATGGCGGATTCAAAAGTCAAGCTGTTCTGAGAGTTCTGTTATAAAACACTGTTGAGTTGCCTATTAATCAGATTTTATGTGCTCAGTACAGAAGATATAAAAGAGAGGAGCAATTCCTTCCCAGAACTCAGTATAGAAATCCCTCAGTCAAACTGTCTGTAAGACCTATGAGAAAGATAAATAAAAGCTGATTGCTCTCAGACCTTATTTTGCTTGTTTATAGCTTAAAAATAATATTCCTTTTGCTAACAATATGTTACTGTAACCAATGGATGAAAATAGTTAAGACTGTCATTGTTTCTAACTGAGAAAATATGTAGTTAGACATAAATAGCCCAGGTAGCCTGCTTCACTCTCCCCTGGCAAACCCAGAAAGATTTTCATTGTTACATCATCAGAAGTTGCTGTATGCGTGCAAGAGGTTACAGAGCTTTCAGAGACTGCATTCTGAACTGGAATAACCAATCTAAAATAAACCACTGAAATTTAAAACTTTCATTCTAGAAATCCATGTTTGTTCAGCAGACATATCAAAGTTTATCTTCTTGACAAGTACAAGGGCTAGTTTGAAGTAATGTCATGCTATTATTTCAGTAAGAAAGTTATTGAAAGGTGTAATGGTGCTGCACACTTCAGAGGACCCGTGAAAAGCTGTTTTAATTACCCACAGTTCTGGAGCTGTGGCAGTAACTCTTATCCATGTAAGCAAATTTCTCTCATACATCTGAGACACTTGGATTGCAAATTGATTCTGTTCTGAAAGAAAATAGCAATCATTGAGCCAAAAAGTCACATAAATATTTTTACCTGTGCAAAAAGTCAAGGGTAAGAGTATGATTTTGGTGCAGTTATTCCAAATCCATCTTGACAAGGTCCTGGGCAAAATAGCTGACCCAGCTTGTGCAGTGGGTAGTTGCACCAGGTGGTCTCAAGAGGTCTCTTCCAATCTGAATGTACCTGGCTTATTTTCTGCATCTACATATACAATACTTCTCCTATGTGAATATATGCTTAATCCATTTATTATATTTTTATCTGTTTTCATTCCTTTATTTCATTCTTACATTGTCTTATTTTGTTTTCTTCTTTTCAGACTTTATGTCCTTGAAAGTGTCAAATTACCTTTAGTTGCCCACTCTTTGTGTTAGCATATGTTAAAAATGAGACTACAACTTGGGAAGTATCACTCAAAATACTGGTTAATTTGCTCCTAGCACTGGAGCAAGCTCCTAGAAATATAGGTTTAGATTTACTTGAACTTCTGCATTTGAGTGCACCCTGCTGGTTTTCTCTATGGTAGAAAGAGGAAAATTTTCTTATCTAGATATTACCTTCATGTGGTCTGCATCAGTCTGCATCTCGTGGCAAAATGTCTTTTCATAGAACAAACATTCACAGAAAATTGTGGAGTAGCCTATTACTCTCAGTGATGGTTAGTCTAATTTCATATATATTAATGTTCATAAATATTTATATGTTTTCACAAATTTAAAGCATTATGTTTCATAATAATTGAAATCAGATCAGGAATATATGATATGGTCACCAAAGTACTGAGATTGCTGAGTAAAACTGCAGTTACTTTGAGATTTTCTAGGTGTTATAGAAAAAGTTAAAAGGTTTTTTGCTATTATAAGTAGATTTTTTTTCTACTTATAGAAAAATTTTTTTTTAAATTTGCATCTTGCAGGCACAATATATATTTTTACATCAATGTGTATTGGATCTGTTGACAACTAAAGGAAGTAGTCAGCCCTTATGTTTTGTAAATTATTCAGCACTGCAAAAAATGGACTCTCTGGATGCCATGGAAGGTAAGGAGATACAGACTGTGTCAAAATTATTTTTCTACAGCAGGTGCAATGACTTTTCCAGACTAAGAAGCAGCAAAAAATCCTTTGACATGCATTTTTTGCTTTAAAAGTATAAATATCTAGCCTTTTTCTGCTCTTTATTCCCTCTCACAATAATGGTCATTGCTCAAGCTTTCCCCACTTTTTCCATGCAAGAGCTTTTAAATTCAGTGAAGAACAGTTATCTGCCATAAGTTACTATTTGTTTACAAGGTAGTCTAATTTAATATATGTTTCTTCTGCAGGTGATGTGGAGCTTGAATGGGAAGAAACAACCATGTAAATACTAGGAGTAAATATTACAGAAAAGGAGATTTTGAAAATCAAAGTAATATTTTTCTAAGCACAGGGGCCAAAGCGAATTCCCCTATTTTGTTGATTAAAGGAAACACAGATGATTGAGACATCTTTTCTTCTATCAAGGTGCCTTCATAAATAAGTTAAAGTATTTTACTCAGAACACTGAGCAATAATGGTTTGGAGTACTTTTGCACACACTGCACTTCTGGTGTTACATAAATAGTGCATTCACTATGTATTTAAAGTGTATTTGAACACATTCCTTTTTTCCAAACTAACTTTGTAAAAAGAAAAATGAGCCAAATAGGATGTAAAAAATTAATATTTCTATTGAACTTACTTTGGTGTGAATTTGCTGTGTTCTGTATGGTTTTGTTTTAAGTAAAAGCTAAGGTTTCTTTACTCATTCTTGATAGATTGGCTTCAGTGTTGTCAGTTCTTGCAGATTAATTCCTGAACCATCACAATGATCTTTACCTAACTGTATGTTCTTGTGTTTTGAATATTTTTTTTTTTACAAGAGGTAGTACATCAGCTCATGATCCTGAACAGCTGAAGAGTCACCTTCTGACATGGGGAGGATTATTCAGCTTTTACACAGCACACAGTAGCTCTTCAGGGACACTTGGGGCTATTTAAACTATTTTATAATCAGCAGGTTGGGGTTTTTTCAAATACATAATGATGATTGCATATGTTCTGTGCAGAAAAAAGTGGTTTACATTCCTGCTACTTTTTCAAGCAGATAAAACAAAGTAAAACTATTAATCTGTTATCTGTTATAATAAATGCTAGATCGACTTATGTAACAGAATGTTTAGAATTCATTCAATTTTCTTGAATATAACACTATTCAGCATTTTGAAAGGTTGCTCAAAATTTCATATCAATGTATTTTATAACACGGTTGTCAAGTAAAGAGTTTTCGCACTTTCCTCAGATTTGGCAAATCACTGCAGACACTGAAAATTATGGGAGCTAATACCTAGAGATTTAATAAATGAAAAAAATCTTCCACTCCCAATGATGATGATATGATGATTATTGCTATTATTGTAAATAGATCTGAAACAGAAATGAGAGAACCAGGAAGCTTTTATCTGAGAAGAAAAGCAAAAATTAGTAGATTAGGAAGACTAGAGAAATAATGAAACTGTGTGCCCTGGTTTCACATGGAAGTGACAGTATTCAATTGGTATTATTGGGTGAAAGGGTTAATTGCTAAGTTTTTCTCAGGTAAAAAAAATGTATGATCATTCTGAATAACAATGAAGCTGTGACCTTAATATGAGATGCAAAACATAATAGCAAAGAGACTTTGGAACTGCCATCTTATATTGTGTTTAGACAGAAGAAATCAAAGCTGTCTTGTTGAGGCATCAAGCTCAGGGAAGTCAGACAAAACTCTTTAGAGCCCTGAAATTTGTATGTGAGGGGCTGTTCTTATGTGCACACACTCTGAACAGAATAGCCAATGAACAAAAATTTCCATTTCTTCACTGTAGCTTCCAGACAGAAAATACTATGCAGAAGGTAACATGGTACTTTTTCAGAACTAAATGATGGTAGTTTTAGAAACTGGCAAGGATGGCACAGTGCAGACCCTTTTTAATTTTGCAGAAAGTGCCAAATATCTAAAATGAAAATTGAAAGACAGCATTTAAGGAGGTAGAAGTGGGCTACAGAGATATTTGGGCAATCTGTCTTTTAGGAAGATCAACGGTATTGTAAACATCACCTGTCAAGCTAAAAAGAAAACAATGCCTTTTAAAGCTTGGTAGGGGGAGAGAGAGGTGATGTCCACAGCTGTTCAAGTCTCTGGCAAAGCATTCGGTGCAGCTCTAGTTTCATTTGGTTCCTATGAAACATGTGTTCTTCATTTATTATATATGTACTTTAAAGTATTCTGACAAATTGCTTATAGGGACTTACAGATGTTTTTCATGATTTGTGGTTGTACTTGGTAGCAGTACAGGGAGCACTGTGATAAATTGACATTATAGAGTCATAATCTTGTATAGTCTTATATCTACAATGATCTGGAGGAAAATCTAAGCCTTATGCAACTTAGGGATGAACTCCAGAAGTTCTAAATGTGCTTAAGTGTTCTCTGGCTTTAATAAAATACTTAATGGTGAAGATTCTATGCACTCCTTTAGGGGACCTGCCTATGGGTGCACTGTGGGTTACACTGCATTCAGAAACCTGCCTGTCTGACAGAAAACGGGACTCCCCTTTCTCTATGAAAAGTAATTCAAGTACTTTACTGTACAATTTGACTTAAGCAATGATATATGCCACCTTGACGCATTTTGCATTGTCTCCAGGATAAAAGATAATATTCAGCATAAACTGGCCACAGGTACATGGTCAGGGAAAGAAGTATGTCCAAGCAATTCTCTCCAAGTACTGGCTTTTAGTACAAACACAGCAGTAGTTTGAACCTTATTGTGTGTCTGCCAGTGCTTTACAGGGATAGAGGAGCATCCATATATCAAGAAATTCCTCCAGACCTCAGCTCAGTTATGGTGGAACAATTTCTACATAGTCTCTTGTCTTCCATCCCTCCTTCCCTTTTGAAACAACCCTTCCCTATGGCAGTGCCTCTGACAGCACTGCAGAGCTGGAATCAAGCAGAATTTGTCCATTTGCTATTTTAAGAATCTATCTATCTATCTATCTATCTATCTATCTATCTATCTATCTGTCTATCTATATTAAATGACCCATCCATTCATTTTTAATGTCACCACTCAATTTTTACAAATTCTTGGCACTACTAATATAGCAAGAGAGTATTCTGCCAAAATTAGAAATGGAATGAATAAAAATTGGAGAAAAAAATCAGAAATTCTACAGGATTATTGAAATTAGGTCACACTGTATTAAATTATCTGGGAATTTTCCAGAGCCATACATATATATATGTATTTATAGCCAGTTCTGGTGGACATCCTTACGAGAGACTACCCTCAGTGCCCTTAAAATACTGACTTGTTCTGTTCACAAATGTAACAGAAATACAGCAGAACATTAAGTTCATGTTGAATTGAAAGCACTTCTTATACTGTTAAAAGAGTTGATAAAAATAATTATGAGTTCAATTGTAATTTTACTGCATATATGGAGCTATTCAAGGATTTAATTTCTTAACATTATGTGAAAGATTAATAACCTGAATTAATCTGTGTAGTACCATCTATGTATTGCTGAATTATAGAGTATGATCATAAGCAGTTACTAAAAAAAGACAGCAAAGAACAATGAGTCAATCATACTTCATACTAAGGTAGCACGACAGGGAGCTTTCTTGGTTGCACACAGAAATTGAAAAACAACCTAGATGTGGATATGAATTTGCTGAGATTCAGGATACAAACTCCTATGAAGTCTGTGAACAGAGGAGATTTTTTCTGAAAATGTTTTAACAGGAGGTTTAAATATAATTAGAGAAGTACCTGTTTCAGAGGGCTACATATGTGTTAAGCATAACACAAGATCATTGTGTGTCCATGGAAATATCCAGTAAAAATAGATCCAAAATAATTTTTCCTTTAAGACATATGACAAATATTTAATTAGCCACTGGTTTAGAGGATATGCACATGGTAAAAATTAATTCAGGGTTGTTTTATAACTAAGTTATGTGCCCATTCATTGCTGCAATGCATTGAATACAGTAGACTGTAACTGGAAACCCTTGACTCATAGCACTGAACATGTCTTTGTTAGTTTTGATTTTAAGGAAATTAGTCAGAAAATGTGCTGAAAGGTGATGCTCTGTTTCAACCTTTTCTCTGTAACTGTTGTGTCACCACTGTACGGTGTCAAAAAAGCCAATTCCTCCCAACATTGTTCTCCATGTTCTCTTTTCTAATGTTGTGTTTCTTATCTGTATGTGACTATATTAGAAGGAATTGCAAACAGTAATATGGATCATCTGAATTCCAGTACTGCAGGCACAATCTGCAGGTAGTGGTCTTACTGCAAACATTTCCTCCCTCTCTTTCCCATGAGTTGATTTCCAGATGACATCACGAAATATCAGCCATGTTTTTGCTCTGACTCCTGTTCAATACATTTTCTGCCCTTTCCTCTCTGTGGCTATGATTACCAGGCAAGTGCAAAGCTACTTCTGTGGTTCCAGAGCTGAGCTATGTTACCAGTGGCATGTCTGTGCAGCATCAGCTCTGCATACAATTGTAAGGGTAAGCTGATTTCCCATCCAGAGGTTCCTCTTACTGCTAAAATAAATTCTGGTATAAATTTTAGTACTGGTTATTGTTCAGTGTGAGCTGAAAATAGAAGGACGGATTCAGTGTTTGATATTTTGCATGGAGATTTCTTTTCCAAATAACTTTTTCCCAAACAATGCTGAACTAATTACTAATTTTGTTTCTTCTCACAGCTCCTTTATCATGTAGGCCTTTTCTCAGATTCTGTGTAAACAAAACTGAAAATCAATGGCTTTTCACCACTGAGTGTATGACACATTTCATAGATCCCACATCATCAGGCAGCTTGCAATGAAGTTGTGAGTCTGTGTTTCAGTTGAAAGACAACATTTAGAAGGTTTCAGATATATTTGGATCATCTTACTCTGCTTGTTGATTGGTGTTACCAGGGTGATCTTTTTGTAGGATGACAGCTGCACCCAGCTATCTACTGTAATAATGAATAAACTGTTCCAGTACTCCTTACAGTCAGTACTGTGAGAGCTGAGGGAAGTTTTACAAGGATGTTCCCAAAATATTTTGGAGGAGATGGAGTTCTGCATGATATAAAAAGAATACTTGGATACTGGAAACCTAATATGCAGCTAAAGCTGTACCATTCACAGTTGCATTCCGTGAAGCCTGCTGAGCTGGGGGTATGTCCTGAAGCACACAGAGATATTTGGGACAATATAACAACCTGAGTAATGCACAGTGCAGGGAACTCTTGCCATTCATGCAGGAATAAACTTAAATAAGCTTTACCATAAAATGTCCCTGGTTTACTTGGAAAACACAAATGCAGGTAACACCTATTACGACAGCTGGTAATCACAAAGGATGCTTTGTGATTCAACTTAGTAAGAGGAACAAAGGACTCTATTTAGTAAATTCTTTCAGTAATCTTAAATATAGAAACAAATACTTTGACACCACAAGTGTAGAATATGGACAGACAGTATAGACAAGGAAGGAAGACAACATAGACAAGGAAGATTTTCTTCCTCTCATGGCAAATACTTTGACACCACAAGTGTAGAACATGGACAGACAGTATATAGACAAGGAAGATTTTCTTCCTCTCATGGAGGCACAAGCTTAAAACGAATGAAACCTGTATGTCCCTCTCTTCCCCTCAGTCTATCTGCATGTGCTCACCAGTTGGGAGTGAAATAACATTAATTCACTTTTAATTTGATTCCTGTATGGGTAATCCCTTTCTCAGAATCCAGCATAAAGCAGTTGCAGAGCATTCTTTTCACGTATCTGCCTTCTGTTTGGATTCACAATAGCTCCATCTAACTAGTTTTCTTACAGAATTCTACTAATTCTCTGTCAGCATTAGAGAGACAATACACAGAGTGTGAATCTGGTCTTGCATATTGTGCACAGAATTCTCTACTGAGCTGCACTAACACAATGCTGCACTCCATGCCTGGGCAAAGAATTGACCTGAGGAGATTGGATGCCTAGCATGAAATGCTACTCCCTTTGAGAACAAGATAGTTATCTGACAATGCACTGTCCCATTCAGGGAGTCTAGAAAATGTTCTCAAAGCTGTCTGACATTTATATATATGATATATATTTTAATATATATATATATTTATATATTTATATATATATATAAAATATATATATATATTTATATTTATGTATTATCTGAACCTTTCTCTGCTAAGGATGAACAAGAAAATTCAGGTCATTGTCGTCGTTGCCAGCAACCCATCTTTATTGCTTAGGTCACCAAGAAGCAAACCTCTTGTTTAACTGGTATTAATAGTGCTTTTAACTTATAAATACGTGCTCTCTTTTTCATGATTTGCACTTAAAGTGCACTTAAATTTTGACACTTTTCTGTCTTTTGTGTCTTTTTTTTTCCTCTTTCAAAGTGAGGATTTGAAGATATGACTTTTAAATAGTTACAGCTTGTCTTAGGAAAATAGTGAGCTGTCCTGATAAAACAGCCACTAGGAGGATTCTTTGATAATAAAAAATGTTCTATCATAATGGCCAGTTTATTGTAATTCCTAAAAAATACTACACCCTGCAATGTGGCCATTATTGTAAGAAAACATATCTATTAAATATCCTGTACACCAAAAATATGACTGAATGGTTATGAAAGCAGATACATTAATCACTTCTTGATTTTCCCATTCTTTTTGCCCTTCCAGTTCCTATTATCCTATCCTGGCACTCCAAAGCAGGTTCTGGAGACATATCAGGTTGCTGGTTAATGATGATTAATGCATCAGCTATATTAATTCTGTCAAAATTTAATGACACAACATTACCCTTCTGCATGCTGGTGTGCTCTCTCTAAAACCAGAAGGGACCCCTGGCATCACTACCAGTGCCAGCTGGCAGTCAGAAAAAATGGTCCTCAGCTAATATGGGAGAAAATCTGTTCTTAGTTCTAAGTTTTCAAGAACTTTGCATGTCTGAAACAGATCACTTAATTTCTGTATAATAAAAATACCTGTCAAACCTTTTTTCCTAACACTTATGTGTCCTATGTCTTTGTATTTGAAAGTTCTGAGGGAAACCAGTTTCTCCCAAAATGTCTTTGTGCACCTTCTGTCACAACTAAAAATCAAAGTAATAAATTCCTTCTCCATCCCAACCAAACAAATGGCCAAAAAATTGTTAAGGGTCACTGTGGATGGCATCACTGCAACACAGTGCTCGTGCTTTGCTTATCTTTCATCATCCCTTCAGTTTTCTTGCCTTGACAAGGAAAAACTTGTGGTAGGCAGTGGCTCCCAAGATGTGGGGCACTGGCTAAGAGAGATTTTGCATAGAACTAACTTCATCTTTCTGGAGGGATTCCAAATCTGCACTTCAGGAGTACAGCAGCTAATTATCAACCAAAGCATCTTCTTTCTTTTTCAGTGTTTGGGAAAAAATCTCCCAGCTCTATGTCTGGAATACTAGAACAATTACAAAAATTAAAAGAATTAACTGAAGATCACTTTTTCTAGCTTGTGATCATTGTTACGATATAT